GTAAAACTTCTAAGTCTATGAAATAAGTATCAATATTATTAAGTTTGATTATCGGTAATTAATCTTCATTTTCAATAAAATCATTAAAACTTGGAATGATCTAAGATATCTTTAATTAATAAAATATTGAAAAGTCACTTATACTATCAATTTATTAAGAATTGTATCCTAACATCTAGAAAAAAGCATTTGTTATTCCCCCTACTACTTAATTTACATCGACCAGTATATAGGCTTATTCAATTACAATTTCTTGCAATAGTCCGACTAGGATTATTTTATCCTGGTTGGATGAAATAACATTATCGAAACTAAATTCTACTACTTTTGCCATATTCTTTCCTGTTTTAATAAATGTTTAACTAAATCGCTTAAGATACTTTGAATATCCTATTTTAAAAGACCTTGAAATAAGGAGAGGATGTTCTCTTAAAATGAACGGTAATAATAATTTTTCAAAAATTAACTCTTCATTTTAATGAAAATCAATCATTTAGAGCAAATTTGATGAATATTTTATTAATTCTGCTGTTTAAAGATCATCATCTATTTAGATTATAATATAGCTCATATCATTTGAATGAAAATTAATTTTGAGATCTTTATTCTTAATTGTTATTTAGTCTTCTGATAGAGTAGACTAACTATGCATTTTATAGGCCTCTAAGTAATTTTAAAAAACTTCAGCTTCATAAAAAATTTACAATGATTTTATTCTTTTGCTTTTTGTAATTTCATATTAGGACTATAATCCACTTTTTAATACAATCATTCTGCAGGTTAGATCCATCAATGATTTCATAAGATCAGAGATTTTCATTTCTTTTATTTATAGAACTAAATTTTCAAAATATTTTAGTTTTATATTTACTATTTTCTTTATTTCTTTTATATATTCATCTAATTTCATTTCTTGTTACATAAAATTTTATATTTTTTCAGATAGATAATGCATTTCTGGAGTTAACTATGATGTGCCAAACATATATCTTAAGTTTTATTTAATTTCATTTGAAAGGTACATTATTTTCGATAATTAAACAAACTCCAATTTAATCTAATATTTAATCACTTACTGTTATGAACTTATTTTTTTGTTCCTCTATTTATTCTCAAGTTATTTATCGGGATCTATTTGAGTCGACGATTGAAAATCATTTCTTAAAGTTGCAGAAAAAGAATAAAGATTTTAAAGGCTCTAATTTAAGCTTTTAGTAGACGTTTTTTAATTCAATTTCCCGTACATTAATTAATTAAAGTGCTTTATCGATTAAATAGGCCATCCATTGTTCGCTAATAATGCTCCATATAGAATTATATAATATTAGAGTTAATTACTTGCAAAATTTTAACTAAAGATATATCTTCTTACCTATTTTAATTTTTAATTAACAAAATCTTTATCAATTTCATAAGTAAGTGCAGCAGCATCCCTTGAATCTATGTAATTGATTTATTGATTACAAATGCATTTTGCAATTCTACATCTTTTTTAATGATAATTATAAATGTAAAGCTTGTAAATTAGAGGTTGAAAATAATTATTTTACTTTTTTACTAAAATTTGAGTAATGGCAAATAAGTCAGTTTGTTACTTTGAAAATGCTAAGTTTTCCAATTTTATATTAATCTTAGCATCAATTTTTAGCATTATTTAAAGTAATAAAGGAAAGGAAAATAATGTGTAGATAAATACCTGAAATGATTGCATTTAAAGGATTAATTAGAGAAGTGAATAAAATACATAGAGTATGTTAAATGAATCAGAAAAGTAAATAATAAATTTTTTAGAGTTTTCTATGACTATTTAATTCTGTTGTAAATTGAGGGCATCCAATGAAGAGCTTAATAAAACAAGTAAATGAATAACCCAAGAAAAAATCTAAGATTTTTCCACAACTGAAAATAAAATAATAATAATTAAATTTAAAAATTAAATTATGTATTCTTTAACTGTTACTCTTAATCGATCAAAACATATAATCTTACCATCTATTGATTCTTCAGTTATTTATAAATGATATATTGCCTCCAATTATAATATCACAAAACATAAAATTCCAAATAATATATTAATTTAATTACGTTGGTTTACTTACAATTAATAATTTTTATTACTTAAAAATAAACAACATAATTTTGTAAATAATATATTATATTTATTTTAATTTTATTTTTTTTTATTCCCAATCATTTTATTTATATAAATATATTTCTTTTCTTTTTTCTCTTCCAATATTAATAATGCATAATCTAGTTTCTCTATAATTATAATTCCTAATATCAAATTATCAACAAAATTCTTAACAACTTCAAACGTTTACAAAAACAAGTCAATCCTAAATATTACAAGTAAAACTTTGTTAAAAAAATATAAATCTTTTCCTTCCGTCCAATCGTAATCAAAGTATAGCAAAAAGTATATCAGCTAAAACCTACAAATAAATAGAAGTATTAGTTAGAATTTCGAATTCAATATTATACTTTTTTTAGAGTGCAATGTAATCGATATTGTTTTGTTTAATATATCTGTTAGCCCTATATATTTCTTGTTTGATTTTTCAAACTCTTTTTTCATTATGATTTGATTTTTGATAATAAATATATTGATAAGTTAGTATTGAATTTAGTGATAAACCAATATTTATTAATAAACCCTATATATAAAATATATAGTAAATTTAAATTGCTTAAAATAAAATATAATAAAAGGAGATAATATTAATATCATACTGATAATATTTGCATTATCTATTGAGTACAATATTAGATAACTTTAAGAGATATACTGTTAGTTTAATATCTAAACAACAAATTAATTAAATTAATTTATAATTGCAGACTTCATGGATGAATTTCATAATGAATTATATTATGTTGATATTTCAAAGTGATTCCCTGTATAGTTTTAAATAGGTAGGAAATATAATTTTAATACAATCTTGTTAACTTGTATCAAATAGTGCGTTTTTTTTAATTATCATAAACCAAATAATTTGCTTATAATTTAGTCATACTTATAAGCGATCTAAAATATATGCCCTTCAGTGATTTTATTTCATGACACCGATGATGAAAATTGTAAGAAATAATTTTTTAGTTTACAATTATATGTACTTACTTATAGTTCCTAATTAAAAATTTAAATATATTATCCGAGAGATGAAAAGAGAAAATATAGTATCGATAAAAATTCAAAAAATTGATTTTTAAAGAATCCAAATAAGTTTATTCTTTTAACAGCTTTTATTATCAGATTTCTTAATATTACCATAGAGGAATATGGAATACTTTAAAAATTGAATGTATTAAGCCCTTAAGTTCATTTATATTTGTTTAATTTTAATCTTACAAATTTTATATCATTGGGAATAAATCAAAATTTTGATTAGTATTATCTTATAAGACAATAGAGTAATAATAAATATTAGATCATTTTATTCGGGGATGAAGAACTACTTGAAGAATATTGAGGCATATAAAATTTTAGTTTTATATTGAAGTTTAATTTGTAAGGTTATCGATCAAACTAATGAAATAAATCAATAGCCCCTCTATATTAATTAATTAGTACTAATAAATATTTTTGAGTTGAAGAATTATATTATACAACTATTAAACGATTATTTTTTTTTTAAAACATAAAAATACACATATAATTAATGTAAATCATTTTAATTCTTAATTTAAGGCTAACTGCTTTAAAAATCTCTAGAAAGATTCATCTCCTAATACTATCTATTGTGGTACTAAATATACAATCCTTCTTAACATAGCATATTCCTTTACTAATAGATTCTTGAGTATAAACACAACAACTAATAGGAAAATAATCAAATAGCAAAAAAATATAACCGTAATTATGAGAGTGAATTCATTTTATTCGGTGGTAATTTATTTCAATCCTACCTAAAATTCATCTGAAATCCTAAAAAATGATCTAATAACTATTTAAGACCCTTCTAATTCATACAGATTTACTTCAGCTCTTTTAGTAAAATTATTAACAGCCTATTAACTTTTAATTTGACTTGACATAAAATTAAGAACTGATATTTAACCTGTTTTTAATAGGCCATCAAATGATTTTTCACAATACAATGACATAAAATTGAGATATATCTAAAAATAATAAAATAGAAATTACTTAATCCACAAATTCGCAGAGATCATGAGTTTACTAATATTCAAAAAAAGAAATAAATTAGTCAGATAATAAATATTTATCTGCCTAAAAGGAACTTGTAAAAACTAAATATTGTTAAATATTAGTTTATGCTTTGTCAATTAGTAAATATGCTCTATCTAAATCGTAAGCTGTTAAATAAGTAAAATTTTTCCATCTTAACAAATGTTCTCTGTACATATACATTGATCCACTTCTGAATTTTAAATTTTATATCATAAAGTAAAAATCTGCTGTGTCATCATACTTACTTATATATTCATTTGTTTTAATTTAAATAACTATTATATAAACTGAAAATATGCAAGCTACAAAAGTCAAAAACACCAAAATATTTCTTCTTGCAAATTTAATTGACGCATCATTTTCTACGATTTTCTTTGCATTTTAGATTTTGTTTAAAGCCACATAATTATTCATCATTTATTCTTAGCGTTGAAGATCAAACTAATATGAGTATATAAATTCTTAATTTGCAGTAATCAATTTCTATAATTGATTAAGTTTGTCAATTTCCAATTGTACTTTTTATTTATCAACAAAATTTAATAACTATAAAAATCGATCATATAACTTATAATATTGATGAAATTCACTCATAAGAAAAATTGAGTTGATTATTATAATTAGGGCAAAAAATAAACAAATTATTTACCATTTGATTCCTACATTTCTACTTCTATTTTTAGAATATTATAATATATCATTTGTAATGCCTTCAAGTTTATCTTGGATATTATAATAATTTGAAAAAAGAAAAACTTAATAAGGTTAGCCTGCTGTGCTCTGTCTCTTTTAAAATGTTCTCATTTATGCAAATTAATATTGTAGTATAATCAATAAACATTCTCTAAATGTCTTAGGTTCCATAGCATAATTTTCTGTATCATTGTTTCTCATAAATAGTAGTGTCATCTCCTCTTCATCTAAAAACATTTTCAAATAATCATTGTCTAGTTAATGATAAAAACTGTCTCTCAATTCGTAATATCCAAATTAAATATTTAGATAGTATGGTTCAGTCAAATTTGTAACTTTGCTAGTAGGAATAAATCCTTCTCTTGCCATCTATTGATATGAAGTGATAGTATTTCTCATTGAGAAAAATAAATCATGAGGTCCTTATATGCTTGCATGCAGAGCAATAATCTCGATATCTGAAATAAATTATTATATATCATTATGAAGAATTGATACAACTAAGAATAGGCATATAGTTTAAATCAGCACAAATAAAATAAAAGTAGCCAGGGCAATTTTTAAAATTTTAGGAATTTTTAATTTAGTCAAAGAGTCCAATAATTCATATTTTTTTATAATTTCACTATTACCCCCAACATCTGTTAATTGTAATGAATTTTTCAATAAATTTTCAATTTATTTTTAATCCGCTCTTAAATTGAAACCATCATGATCCATACTATTCTGATGTTTATTTAGTTTTTAATATGTATTTATGGTGTAATAATCTTATTATGATGAAAGACGTAACAATTTATTTTGTTGTTTTTCAATTAATTGACTAGTGCTTTTATTAGGAGATAGCATTATTTAAAGTTAGTCCATCTTTAGATAAACTTCTTCTTAATCAACTTCTTTAACTGCAAATAAATTGATAATTTAGCTATTCTTTTGCATATTCTAGGAATATGTTTCTCTATTTCTTATTGTAAATTAATTAATGAGCCTTGGCATAGCTTCTTCTATGGATAAATTTAACTAACTGATTTCAAAACTTTATGATTATTCGTGATTTTTTATACTTTCGCTAGATTTATCTTAAGTTTTAGTAAATTTTTAAGTTTAAACCAAAGAATCAATTTGTATAACATAATAATTGTAACCATAAATTTCATAAACATAAATAGTAATACTTGAATAATACGATTTTACATGCTGATCATCCCATAATTTCAGCAAAAACTATGCTTCCTGATGAATTGAATCAAAATTTTCATTTTGCAATTCATTAAAAAAATATTCTAAATCAATAAAACATGTATCTATGTTACTGAATTTTAAAACTGATTATTAATTCTCATTTTATACGAATTCATTAAAATCAGAAAATATTTATGTTATTTTTATTTGGTAGAAGACAAGAAAACTTGTTATGTTGTCTATGAAAACCTAATTGTAGCCTAAGTTAGAAAGCAAGGATTTTGTTATTCCTCCTACAACCTAATTGACATCCACCATAATAAAAGGATTTTAAATATCGATTTCTTATAATAATCCAATAATTGTAATTTTTTCTTACTCTAATTAGACTACATTGTCAAAGCTAAAAATAATTGATTTTGCCAAATCTTTTTTTGTTTTTATAAAACTTTAATTGAATTATTTATAAAATTTAGATTATCCAATTTTGAAAAATTTTGATATTAACAATGGATGTTCTCTAGATATAAAAGGTAGAAATAGAGAATAGAAATTTATTTCATCGTTAGGACTACACTCAATCATTTGTCTTAAATTAGTTGAATATTTTATTATTTCTGCTCCTTATAAATCATCATCTATCTCTAAAATGATATAGCTTATTTTATTAGAATAAAATTTAACATTCATATTTTAATTTAATATTGCTATTGAATCTTCGGAAAGAGATGCTTAGTTGTATAATTTAAAAGCCCCTAATATGTTTCTAAAGATTTCTGCTTCGTAAAAGATTTATAGTGATAGTAGCCTTTTACTTTGATAATTATCATATTCAAGTTTTAATACATTTTTAAATATCATCAATTTATTTGTAATTAAGGATAGACCTTTCATAATTTAAGAAATTTTTTTTTCCTTAATTTGCTAATTTAGATTTTCAAAATATTTGATTTTCAACTTTAAGATTTTCTTAATTTCATTGACATGTTAATCCATTTTGAGTTCCTATTTCATAAAAGCTTATATTTATTCTGACAAACTATGTTGTTCTGCTGTAAGCTAATGGCCCCCAAACAAATTTTTCAGTTAATATTTCGTCTCAGTTAAAAAAAATTAAATTTTTTAAATTTGAATAAAATCAAATTTCACCATCTAAGTTAAAGTGTTTTTCTAAAACCGCTTTTGATCATTCATTTAAATTTCTTGAAACTTTTTCTCAGGTTCATTTATTGTTTGAGATGAAGAATCATTTTTTTAGGTTACAGAAAAGGAGTTAGGTTTTAAAATTGATTAATTGATGCTTTGTTGAGAACTTCTCCAATTTTTTCGACCATATATTAATTAATTAAAATGTCTTATTGATTATATTGGCCAACCATTATTGGACAATAATGCACCATATAAAACTGTATAATATTAAAGATCATCCAAATTGTCAAATTTATAATTCATAATAAATTTTCTTATTTATTTTAACTTTTTTTGAATGAAACCTTTGTCTATTTCAGATGTAATTGTAGCTGTATCCTTAGGATCAATTAAAAGCTTATTGTGATGGCAATAACATTAGATGTCATTACATTTCTTTTTATGATGATTATAAATGAATAATTTCAAAATGGCTGGAAATTTAGAATTATTTTATTTTTTAATTAGCAATTAAGTTATGGCAAACAATTATATCTTTGTTCTCTCAAACGCCTAATGAAAAATAATATAATTTAAGTGTTAATCTACTTTAATTAATATTTAAAGTAATAAAGGAAAGGAGAAGATTGTGTAAATAATGACTTGAAATGATTGGCTCTAAAGAATTAATTAGATAAGAGAATAACCTACATAGACCATTGTAAATGAATCAGAAAAGTAAATAATAAATTTTTTAGAGTTTTCTATGACTATTTAATTCTGTTATAAATTGATGGCATTCAATGAAGAGCTCAATAAAACAAGTAAATGAATAATCCAAGAAACAATCTAGGATTTTTCCACAACTGAAAATAAAATAATGATAATTAAGTTTAAAAATTAAATTATGTATTCTTTAACTGTTACTCTTAATCTATCAAAACATATAATCTTACCATCTATTGATTATTCAGTTATTTATAAATGATAAATTGCCTCCAATTATAATATCACAAAACATAAAATTCCAAATAATATATGAATGTAATTAAGATTGCTTATCTCTACTTATTTATACTGCTGATATATAAATAAGCAACTTAATGTTGAAAATAACATATGGAAAACAGTATAAAATAATTGCCCATACAATCCAATAGATTTTATTAAAAATGGAAGCTTGTTTTACTAAAACTTATCATCAAATGATAGTAATATGTAGGATAAATACTTTATTGTAATAATGCCTAATATCGTATAGATACTCAAAGCATACATATTTTCAAATGTAGATATTAAGAGGTCAATTCTAAATATTAATAGCAGAATGTAGTGATAAATATATAAATTATTTTTGTTTTACCATTCATAATCCAAGTAAAATAAAAAGAATAGCAGCTAAAATTTGCTAAAAAAGAAAAGAATCAATTATATTTCTGATCTTATTCTTACACTCCTTTCGGAGTGCATAGTAACTTAAATAATTTTACTAAAAGCATCCCCGATGTAAATTCTTTTATTACTTCTTTTGCTATTTGTCTTTCGCATTTAGCGATTAAACTTTATAATAATAATTTAAAATTGTAATTCAATACATATGAATACTTGAAATGCAATGTAATATAAAATTAAATCAAAAATTAAATGTTCTTTAAATAAATATATATTTTTTATACAACATATATCTTCCTGAAAATAGAATATTATTTCTTATCTTAATATTGCTGCCATTAATATTTCATTGAATTTTGTTATTCTACGAATTTGGATATCTAATCTATTTTTAGACACATTTTTGAGCGAGCTAGGACTTTATCTCCCAAAAACTCAAACTGGTCGATTTTAATTTTCACCCTTTTAAAGATCATTAGAGAGATTTGCAGGTCACTTAATACAAGCTAATGGTAGTTTCTATTATAATTTTACAATGCATTAATAAATGTTGTGGGATTTAGAAAATAACGATATATGACTTTTCAGTGTTGAATATACTTTTATTCAAAAATGAAAACTGATGTAGTTGAAATTTGGTTAATTGGACACATATTGGATATATTATTTAATACCGTACATATGTTATGACAATTATTGTTATAACTATTTTTTAATTTTTGGGAATAAAATTGTTTATAATATTTATGCTTGAGATTATTCCTCAAATTCGACAATATCTTTCTTAATAGTAGTGTCATTCACAATTTTTTCACCTTATACTTTATATATATTAATATCCAAAAGTGCTTTCATGTTGTTTTTATTAAAAAGTAAAATATTTTAAAGTAGTTTATTTTTGCATAATTAGAAATTTATTAATAAATTAAATTATTTTGTAAAAATCAATATCAATAATTTAGAAAAAAAAAGTTAGTCATTTTCTGTAAAAATACTTAAGAAAAAAGTTTATAATAAATCACAATATTTATAATTTGTTTGCTTAAATCAAAGCTAAATACTTCAATAGTAAGTTTAAAATAAAAAAATGAATCATAAAACCACAGAGGCTTCTTCATTTATCTTCAGTAATTCGTCTTCAACATTATTAAAGTATAATTAAATTTAATGCTTCATGTTTCTTAGTTTTCTAATTTTATCTTAATCTATATTATTTTCCATCTATTTTATCATATTTTATTTAATTATGTCAATTAATTTAAGATCTTCTGTCACCTTTTAAATAGAATTTTCACTACTTTATCTATTAATAACAGGAATTTATTAAAGGTCCTTAAAACTATTAGTTAGTTTATCTTTTGCTGTTTACACTCTTTAAAGGAATCTAGATTTAATTATTCCATAATACCTTTACATTTCCTCTATTTCCATTTAGATATTGTTGATCTCTCCTTCTACATGTTCCTAATAAAACTGCTCAAATGATTTTTTTTAAGGTTCTTTATTTTAATTGTAATTAATGTCTACCCTTTCTTAATTCATCATATAATCCTTGAAACATTTAGATGATTACAAGCTTTACTCTTATTCATATTCCTTGGAAAAGTTTTGTACATTATTGAACAAGTTCTCCTCCTACCTTCTTTTCCCAATCTAGTCATTTCCAAAATTAGAAGTATCATAACTGTATTGGTGTTATTATTATGAGTCTTATTAGGATTGAGATAATTTAAACATTTCTTCTATAGTACTTGTTCCAAACTGTTATTTAGAATCTCTGATTAATAATGTTTAACCTGAATTTTGAGTAGTTTATTATTGTTGCTAATCTTATTAGACTAACATTTTTTCATATTTATTAATAAATTCTCTAACATTATCTTAGTTTAATTCTTATTGTTATGATTAAAAAGTCATTTAATTGCATTTAATTTGAACCTCTTCTGTTAAGGATTCACTAGTTGGATAATTTCCATTTTTGAGTTTATTAGTATCAAAGCCCTGAATCTGATTTCTATAATAATTGATTTATTTTTCTGATTAAGCTGCCAAAACCATTTCTAACTATATTATATAAATCTAATTTGATACTTTGATTTGTTCAATCCAACTTAAATATTTTTTTAATTCAATTTTTGCTTCCTTAAATCTTCTGAGTGTATGCAATATTTCTTTATCACTTTTCATTAACGAATTTAATTAAAATTAATAATGGATGCAGTAATGAATGGCGCAATAGCTGGAGCTACCACAGTTCTAATCACAAACCCATTTGATTTGGCAAAAACACGATTATAAGCTTAAGGGGAACTTGTAGCTGAAGGCCACTATAAGAGAGCATATTCTGGAGTGATAAATACATTAATTAAAACTTCATAATCTGAAGGAATCTTTGGAGTTTAGAAAGGCCTGTAAGCTGCAATTGTATTTCAAATTATTATGAATGGATTACGATTTGGAAGCTATGAGATCGTAAAGGATATTGCAAATGAATAATTCCATTTATATAATTCTCATGGATATGTAAAGGTTTTATCGAATATTGGCATTTCAGCAGGAGTCGGTTGTTTTAGTGCGTAATTGATAAATATTTAATTCTAGTTTTGTCTCAAGCCCATTTAATATGATTAAAACTAGATTAATGCTTTAAACCAAGGATTTACCATGTGGAAATAGATACGATTATTCTGGGCTTATTGATGCTATTTCTAAAATATTTAAATAGGAAGGGTAATTTAATAGAAGAGTTAAATAGATTGAAAGGACTGTATGCTGGATCATCAATTATGGCGTTCAGAACTGGATTAGGATCTGCAATTTAGTTACCAGTTTTTGATTTTACAAAAGAACATGGAAAAAAATGGATCACAAACCAAACTGAATTAAATATGGTGGCTAGTGCTAATGCAACCTTATGGTTATGTTTAATGACCTGTCCTGTTGAGGTAGCTTTGACAAGATATTTTAATTAATAATTTGATAAAGTAGTCATATAAAATATTCTAATTAGTTTGGTAATCCCACAGTTTATTAAGGATGTTTCCATGCCATAAAAATAATTTTTACATCAGAGGGGTTCTTAGGATTATACAAAGGATTAGGAGGTTTATTTTTTAGATCTGGACCATAATCGTTTATCTCATTATTGATTGTCAATCAATTAAATAGTCTAAGAAATCAAAAAAAAAAATAATGAATATTGTATCTGTATAATTTTGGTTACAAAACACTAATTAATCATAGATCCTTAATGAATCTAAAATTCTCGGGCTCTTTTAATGCTCTTAACAAATTTTGTCGATACTTGAGATGCCAAATAGTATTAGAAATTCTGGAGTTATAAACGTAAGCTACTGACTAATTCTTTAAAAAGTATTAACTTTAATAATAGAATATAATAATTACCTTATTATTCGAAAGACTTTATTAAATTCAGAAAACTTTCCTCCATCTACCCAAAGGTCTCTTAATTATTTGATATTAGTCATTTGATTTTTTTTATTCTTTAGCAAATTCAAAAAGTCATCATATTGTTTATTAGAGAAAAATGATTTAAGTAAATCTGGGTTATTCATAATATATGAGATGATTGCTTTCGAAAAATTCTTAGTGATGTTTTTAGTATCATTTATTTTCTTTTCTTTTTTCTTCCTTATTATTTTGAAGGATTCAGAACTATCAACATGTGAGTGCTTATTATAGTACTTTTTCATCTTTGATGGTTGTGGAAGTTCATTCCAACTGCTTTCTTCTTATCTTATAACTTCACTTTAACAAGATTCTTCTAAATTCAGAAATTTTATTTCTTCCTTTTTGAAATGTAAATCTTATTTTATTGCTTTTGGCTTCAAAATGATTGACTATTTACAGAGTTAGTTGGATTGTTAAGTATTATTACAGATACCTGATGTGTTTTGTTATTGCTCTAAATTTTAGTGCAACTGCTGTTTATGGTTTTGATTTAAGTTAAGGAATGGGCAGAATGAGCCATTAGGTGACTAACTGATTAATGCCCCTAACTAGTTTAAGTATTATTGTTAGGCTGGAACTAATAGCAATGGTCTTTAGAGCAATTTGCTATCAAGAGAATTAGTGATTAGTAGTTCTATATATTTTTGTCTATCCTTGAATTACTCGATTCCTCCATCCAAAGATAGTTTCGAGACAACCCTTTGATTTTGTTAGGATTATGCTTGCATAATTTTTTAGATTGTTGGGATGTCTCCTGTGATTAATTAGATGGCGTCTTTTTATGAGCCAGGAACCTTAGGTTCAACAGAATATGATTAGACAGGATCAAAGGATACATCCTATTTAAGGTTTTATTATCTGTGGATTAGAGAATTGTAGGGAAGGAAAGATTTCCCATATTTTTTTATGCCTTCCTCCATATTTAATTATATTATGATATATTGATAGCATATATTAATTAAAAAGTGAGCTACATGTAAGCCTGATTTTTGGATACAATGAATTTGTCTTCTTAATTCCAATTTAATGAAATATGAAAGTGTTAAGATTCATTTATATATATAAATATATATTCAATAATATATAATGTTCAATTAAATTAAAAATCTGGAAACTGTGGTTTAATTTTTGATCATAATAGAAAGTAGTTAGTTTGATTGTGTAATATCGAATTTAATTAAAAATAAAAATTATACAACTATCAATACTCTTGACCAGCTATGATGATCCTGACATGCCGATCAAATTGATCATCTAAGAATAACACCGATGTTGGAATTAACAAAATAAATCGTCGAACTAGAAGCAACTCTTTCTACAATTTTGGTAACAGATAAAATACAAAGTACAGCATTAAAAGGATGGAATAAATCATATATATGATTGAAATACTCTAAAAACAATAATAATAACTAATTACATTTGAGATGGTGATCTATTGATTGGTAACGTTCACCATTCCTGCCTTAAATTATTTACTCATGATTTGTGTAGCCCTCATTACGATCAATCCCCCTTCGTTCTCATACCAATTGTATTCGATTCTTTTTGTAAAATTATTCATCTCCATCTACACAGTTATAGTGGAATAGATGAATTTTAATGTCTATGTCAGCCCTTGATTCAAAGAACCTTGTAAAGATTTATCACAATATTGTGTTAGAAATCCTAACGTATCATCACCAATTGTTGTACAAACATCATTTTATTGAATTTGAAGAAAAAAATCCAAGAAATCTTAAGAAACTTGATACTTTGTTGAATCAAAAGTATAAGAGAACTCTAAGAATGTACTTATAGTGTCCAAACCCGTATACATAGTTACATAAAATTTCTCTCTATCAAAGTCTCTTAAATAGGGTAGATTAGGAAAATTAAGACCAAAATCTCTATTCCTAAATAGTGTTCCTGCGTATAGGGTCATGTCTTATAACAATTTATAAGTATCAGCTGTGGCAGTGTATTTATCTAAGTAATCAGCTATTTATATGTTGGCCACTATACTCAAAGCTAAGAATACTAGCCAGCCAAAAATGATTAAGAAAAACCCAGAGAAAAAGGAGAGATTCTTTAATTATTGCTACACTTTGATGTCTTTCGCTTTCAATTAATCATGATCGCTTTTCTGCTTTTCTTTTAATATATTATCTTCTTTATTATCAATAGAAAATTAATAATTATAAAGTGACTCTGTATTTTTATTCATAATCTTAATTATTGACTTTAACTTTTCAATTTCTAAATCCATTTTATACGAAGAGCAATATCTAAATAGATTTGTGTATTTATCAAATTTTAATCTATATATTCTATAATAGTAGATGCTGGATAACAAAGGACAGACTCCTATGAGTAAATAGATAATCCAAATTAGATTCCATTTATTACTAGTCTCAACACTCCTATTTTTTGAATAGGCTAACACTTCTAGGGTCAAATCCTCCAGCCAAAAATGGAAATTATAAACATTAGCAAATTAATAGATTTGATAGGTTTGATTAGCAGGACTTAGTCGAGATTCAAATCTTAATTTAAATTAATAGTAATATGACAAGGTTGCCATTAATGCCTCTCTAATGTTTTACACTATCCCGTATGTTTTTGTGGCATCATAAAGCATATAATATGCTGTTATATTCTTGTCTTTAAAAAAGGGAGTGAGATAATCATTGCTTAACCAATAGATAAACCCATCTTTGAATTCGTAATATCCTATTGCAATATTTTCATATAATGGATTGGATAACTAGTTGTATTACTCCTATGTGAGTTTACCTTAACCTAAAAATCCTTGATATGTAAATATAGTTTATCTCATTTGCAAATACAAATCGTGTGGATTCATAACACCGGCATGCAATTGAATCATATCAATTTCACCAATAAATCTATTTAAATCATTTTAAACTCCAACCAGGATAATGAGAAAATAAGTTAGAGAGATAAAGTAGGTTAATTCTTAGAAGAGTATAAACAACTTTAAAGTATTAGGATATATTGGTTCTACAAGTTAGAGGATCATTTCGTATTTTTTATAGAATTGTGATTTCTTGATACCTTTGAGAACATTGTTCGATGATGACTCCTCTTCTCCTTACATTATTTTTTTCCGTTTCAAAATGTTCTACTCTACATTTTTTCTACTGGCTCTTCTATTATTATCATCATCAAATTCATCTTAATTATTAACTATCTTAGAATCATTAACAGATATAGAAATGTCTTTTTGTTTATTAAAATAATCCTATTGATGGATTGACTATTAATTGTTAAATTACAAAGGGATTTACGATGAATCTTGCCAAGGAGTATTACTAACATTCGGACTTAAAATATTGGGTTCTTGAAATGAAATGTAATCTGGTTATAATATTTATATCGGTTACGCATTCTATATTTTATTTATTTCTATTTCATCGCCTGAACGAATCATTTCATCATTTAGTTTTACTGAATTAACAGCTCTAAAGGCTTTTGGAGAATTAGCAACTGCTTCATTTTCAGATAAATCAGATAGTTCAAAAAAGTGTTCTAAACCTTCTAGTGCTTTATTCCTACTTGATTACCCTATAGACTTTTTTGAATTAAACTATTGTTTTAAATCTTTGACTTCTATTATATAATAGTAATAACCATAAATTTCAAAGTACTAAATTATTAATTCTGCATCAAAAATGTAAAGCTTTTCTAACTGTGACCAATTCGTAGAAGTCATGGATTATTGTCTTTTTTACTTTCTATCGTATTCATCCCGATTAAAGAATGCCTCTTTAACAAACCTTAATTCAGTTATGGCACTCTAAATATTCGAATCAATTAGCTTTTTAAAACTTGGTATCAGTAAATCAATAGGTAAATAAAAGTCTTCAACAGAATTTATTTAATTTATCGTTTTTTCATTGAATCCCATCTTCTCAAAGAAGCTCTCTGTTAGACCGCCTACCAAATGATTAATGTCAACTAAGATATATGCTGATTAATTGACACTTTCAGAGAAAAATGCAGAAAATTTATAATGGCTTACACTATCAAAGTGGATATCAAAAATGAATTGACATGTTTTCATCAAAATATTCTAATAGCGAAAAAATGTTTAATTAGAATTAAGATAGAATTTGGATTTACTTGTTTATATGAATCTCTGTACTAATAGACTATGTTCATTCTATATACCAATTGGTAAAATATATTCAACATTAGAGAATTATTTTGTATCGTCAGAGTGTATTTAGAAAAACCGTAAAGCATTTTCCGACCTACGCTAAATAGACAACGTTTAGTTGTCCTCCAAGGTTATGTTTAAATAAACAACCTTTTTAGTAAAAAAAGTTGACCTTATGTTAGAGTCCATGTTAATTAATTATTCATCAGGCATTGATGTTAGAGCTTTATATTTAAAGGCCTCAATGAAATTGTTTAAGATTTCTGCTTGATAGAATGTTAAAATTGATTAAATTTTTCTACTTGGGAATGACTAGTATCTCTGAAATAGTTTGTTCTCCACTTTTAATTACAAATTGCTGATATCTTTTGCTAAATTGAAAATCTTATCCGAATCTAGAATTTTCTTATTTGTAAACTAGGAAAGGAATTTAATTTTTTCATTTATCAACATCAATAGAGTGTTTTTCAAATTCTAATTTCTCTTTTCATTTTTTAAAAACAATTCAACCCCAAGTTAAACATCATTAATTTAGGTTTTCATCTTATTATTTTCAAAGAACCTCACTTAAATTTCAGCTTTTATTTAGTTTTTTAACAATAGGGCACGTGAAGTTTCAATCTAAGAAAGCTAATGCTTACCTTAAATTAATAACTTACTCCTCTATTAATTATTTTTCCTCGCAATATCATTAACATCATCAGAATTAGATTTTATAGATTTGCTAGATATGGTTTGATGATGCATTTATCTACTTGAACTATCTTACCCTTTGCTATAATTTTCACTATCAATCAAGAAGCCTTTACTTTTTGATTAGTTTAAAAAAGAATTCAATAGGTTATTGATTTAATTTAAGGCTAGATTTGTTAAGCCATATTTATAGAGTAAAGCGATATAATGTAAGTCATAGCCTTTATTCTTTTAAATAACCTTGGCATATTGTTTCATTTTCTTAGTCACAAATTATTCCATGCTTTATGGAGATAAAAAATTAGTATCATAGTTAGAAAAATGAGCTAATTCTTCAACTTACTCTTATTATTTAACTAAACCATTAGTAATCACAGCATTGAGAATTCTCTTTTGAGTTTAATTAAAATGTTCATTAATTAATTTTGTGAAGAAATATTTCAAAGGAAGTTGCTATTTAATTGACATAATGTTATTACAGAGTACTTTTTCTTGGTATGTATAAATTTCTATTAAAACCTTTGATACAACTAAAAATAACAATAATATAATCGAGTTAGCATTTTAACTGAAATTACTTTCGTTTATATTATATATAAGATATAATATTGATTATGTTAAACCAAATGATGATATAATTAGAATTAAATTGATTATGGTATTGTTTGTGTACTAAAACTAAAAAATTTATAATATCTTGATTAATGAAATTGTTATTATTAAGATACATTATAAAATCTAAGCATTATACGATTCAGCGATAACACCATATACTATAATTTATAATGTGAAAAGAATTAATTAAACATAATCTAAAAATGTTTAATTTAATTTTTGAAATCTATCTTTTTTTAAATCTATTGTTTCTTTGCATAATATGGATAAAATAATTCCGAATAGAAATAAAAGTCCAAAAGTCAAGCAAATGAAAAATATATTAGTGTAATTTGCGGCATTTGGCGTATCTATATTAATTAATAGAGAATCCACGCAAAATATTGAAAAAGGAACAAACATTGTGATTATAAATATCTGGCAATAAATTGAACTCAATGCAAAAAATAGTTTTAGCAAAGTATATTGAAAAACTTATTGCTTATGTTTAATAGTAATTAGTAAAACTATTGGCATCACAAATAAAAGTAATTGTGTCATTAATGCAATCAAGTAAAATGTTTAAGACTTCCCAAATTAAAAGTAAGTCAACTAATCTATTCTTGTAAAATAAATAGCAAAAGCTTAAAAATTAATAGATTTGTCATAAAATCCTATTTAGTGAGACTTGATATTAGGTACCCATAGAAAAGTTAAGTATTGAATTTCTCCCAATATGATAACAATATATTATTAATACTCCTTGCAACTTGAAAAATAATATAACTAAAGTATCCTTTCATAAAATATCATCTTTATATTTATACTCTTAGTTTAGCTTTCTTTCGTAATCATCTGCTCCAATAATTTGAATTTTTCTTAGTCTTTAATAATAATAAAAAAAAGAGCACTTAAAATTGGATAAATCAATTTAAGATAGGTTTCAACCTTCTCAAAGGTAATACTAACTTCACATTTAATATTAATATCAAGATGATTCAATAATAAAAGCAATATATATATAGATTAATCACTTTTTCATTCTTTTATTCATAATTCCTTATATTTTATCCTATAAGGAAGGAGCAGGGCTTTTTGCTTGCCTTTCTGGAACTCTATCCGTCTCTGTGTTGTTTTATTTCAGTTTAGTGAGATCAGCATTTATTTTATTTACATACATCAATGTTTTGATTTGTTTGAGGATGTCACTTAATTATTAGGATGTTTATTGAAAAGATTCCAGAATCTAGTCATCATTCTTCGAGATATTATGTAATTCAACTAAGTGTTTATCAATTTGAATAAGTCCTTGAGTATATTGTTATTACATTATAATAAATTATTGAAAATTATCGTTATATTTAATTTTGAATGATCAGAACCAACTCTACTCAAAAAACAAAATAGGTAGTGCTTTCAAACGGATAAGTTTAATCACTGAGTCCATTTAATAGTGCAATCAGATTAAGCAGTCATTATTAAGAAGCACCAAGCACACCGCAGAGATAAATAGTTTCTTAAAATGCATTGAGAGTGATAGTTAATAATCATTAAGCAGAAGTTAGATAATCTAATGCTTTTACACCAAATGGCAAACAATAATAAGCAGGAAAGACCTATTAAGAGAATAGATCAGTGATAGTTCAAGATAACACACGAATGCAATAATTAATAAATGATAACATGTACTTATCCTAAGCATTGGAACAAACGAAAAATGAATTAAAATAGTATCAACAATCGACACATGAATCTCAATAGTTAGATTTCATTAAGGTGAAAATAGAGAGTCTCGAAAAGGTGATAGATGATTAAGCTTTGGAAATTGAATAGTGGAAATAGAGATATCAAAAGGTTTGTACACAGGATCCTTAGGATTCGATGCTACAAATGGAATCTTAGATTATGTTAGTAATTTAAGAGAATGAAAGATTGAACATTTTAGTAAAAAATATTTAGGATTCAACAGACAAAAAGGATTAATTAATTTCACAATAGGATTAGGAGATTAAAAAGCTTAAAGAAAAAATTAAAGTATCAGATAAAACAATATAGAGTTAAAAAGAGGGTAAATTTTAATAATTATTTTAATTAGAGATAAAATAATGGCATGATAACTTTGCAGAATTCGAAAAAAATTCAAAGTAGTAAGTAAGTCATGAATCTGAATTATTGAAAAGCAAAATGAAAATATAAGAACTTGAATTTTAATTACATAAAAAGAAGGTCAGTGAGAATAATAATGGATAGAAATTGAGTTAAAGGAAATTTGATGAAAATCCAGAATTAGAGCTAAAATTAAGATAACTACTAGAAGAGAATAATAAATTGACTCTTTTGATCGAAAGTTTGTAAACTGAAAATACAAAATTAAAATCAACAAAGTAGAGTAGATCAACTAGTTGTTTTTAGTCAAATAGTCAATTATCTTAAGGAGTTCTCGAATAAATTAAATAAGTAATTGTATATATCGATAGTTTAGGAATTATTTAATTAATAGTTATTTAGTACTGAAGAGTTTAAGAAACTTAAAGTAATCTATCAACAGAATGAAAATTTGAGAAATCAGTTAGATAATGCTAATGAATAAATTTCAATTTTGAAAAAAACTCTTTAATATTATGAGGATGAATAAAATGTACCTTCTGATTAGCTCTTCGATGAATTCTTATAAAGCTAAAGTCATTGTTTAAACATGATATAACAATTATAATAATGATTTAACCAATTTAACTCTATTATTATATTATTCTAATTAAAAGTGCTTAGGGTGTGAATTATTATATATTTTTTTATAAAGAATCCATATGAATTTTAAAGAAGAACGAATTCTTGAATATCTCAACAATTTACAACTCTAAATTACTGATCCAACCTAGAAATAGCAGGATTACTATGAATCAAAAAAGCACAAAATTATTAACTTAGATCATAAACACTGTGACAGCGATCCTTCATCCCCCTTTTCGCTTAGAGAGATACATAGCCCTGTATCTCTCTTTCATGCTTACAGTGTTTAATCGTGCGATATTAATAGTCATCATAATTATAATCATCACAATAATCAATAGATTCATCATGCTCATCATTCATTCAGATTGCACTTGAATATACATTCAGGTACTGAAAAGAAAGTAGAAATTTGATTTCGAATTCGAATGGATTTAACAATGAATAAATTATTTTGTATTATCTTTATAATTCAAATTCATCTCTTATCTGCATTCACATCTAAATGAAATATGAATAAAAGAAAACTGGACAACTTATTAGGAGTACACTATTGATGTATATTTTAAATATTAAAATATCAAACTTCGTTTATTTTATACTCTTTATAAAAGTGAGAATTATTTATTAATTTATGTATTTTGGCAAGTACAATTCTACATTTAATATTGCATTATTCATGTATTATAAATATATCCTTTTACAATGCATTTCTAAGTGACTAGGTGGATCTACAATTAGCCATTAGATATAGTCATAATTAATAATAGAAAATTTAAATTAAAAAAAAGTAAATTATTATTATATTTTATAATTATTTATAAACTATTATTATAAATAAAATATCAAAACTTATGTGGGAATATTTATTAGCTATTGGTTCTTGCCTTTTGATTCTCATTTTCATTAAATTTTCCTTATTCAGAGTAATTTATTTAATTTAATTAGGTGTTCAAAGAAAAGAAAATAGAATACTACAGTGACCCTGATGAAATGGCTATTGAATTATATTCAAATATGCTGAAATATGATACAAAACATTAACTTGCTAAAATGATGAATAAGATTTATGTATTAATATTAAGAGATGTTTAAATCATACTATATTAATGTAAATTTATTTGCTAAGCAAATAGTTAAATTGGGTTAGAATGATACTACTTTACCAATTATTTCAGAGAGATTACGAAATACTTCTAAAGTAATAGCTCTTCTGAAACTCATGTATCCAAATGAGATACCTGAAAAATTTGAAATGATAGGAGAAAAAATTTATGAGGTAATTGTTACAATTGAATAGAATTTTACTATATTTAAGATATTAATTTAATGGTGTGAATAAAATTAAATTAAAATGAAAGACTCTAAAAGAGGTAAGAATAGTTAGTTAGACATTAATTTAATTAATTCAATAAGAGCATATTCGGAATATATTAACAATGAACTTGGAATTTACTTTAAACCAAAGTGAAGGATAATGATTATAAATTATAATATTCAAAATTTTAATGTTGGTTTCCAATATCAATACACTTTATGATTGATAGGTCTAAAGTCAGCGAATTTCTTTTGTAGATCGGTGATGTCAGATTATTAGATATTTCTATATGATCAAAATTAATTTACCCAAAATTCATATTGTTTTAATCGTTTCTTTTATTGTTTTGGTTATTGTGGACCAAGAAGTTTTTTAGGTAACATATGGACTCTTCATTTCTCTTAGTAATTTATTCTAATTGTTCAATCTTCTTGAGTTATTTAGAGCCATACTAAATTGTATAAATGTAGTATAACATACTTCTTATTATTATTTGTTCTCATAAATAAATTCCTTAAGTTGATCTTGAATATTTCTATTGGCATCATCCAGTTAATCTTGTCTCAATTTGATGGTGCTGATTTCTTTTTCAATTTTTTTCATTTTGACTTCCATGTTTCTATAGGAATCACAAGTGTCAGAATTCGAGTTCTTCTTATTTTGAGTCTTACCTGATAAGATTATTAAAAAGAGAAAATAGAAAAGTTACTTTTAAGAGTCTCAGCCCCACATATGTCATTTGGGGTAGAATCATTGGGTTGTTTTTGATTGGTTGGTTTGTTACTATAAGAAGGACCTCTTTTTCGGTCAGGAGTAACATTTTGTTTAAGTGTTTAGCCTTATTAGTATTACAGATAATTTGATCCTTGTTTTTTTAAAGTACTTTTGTAAAACTCATTTGACTTTGTGTTGAAGATTTTTTGTAAGTTGCTTCATTTGTAGAGTTGAATGGTTTTTTGGATTGAAGTTCCTTGGTATTAGATCCAGATTTGACAATCTATTAGATCTGGTTGATTAGAGTAGAACAAGATGATAGATTTTTGAAATTTTCTTTGTCTTATTATTGAGTGGGTTTCACATTGGACATATTCAAATCTTTGATCATTTGGGAATGCTACTTAGATGATTCAGTCGTTTGTTCAACAGAAGATATGAGATCATTTTATTCTGGAATTTGAAACAAAGTAGATCCTAGATTGATTCTTTTGGGATCAATTTTCTATTGTTGGTATTCATCCTCAACTAAGCCAGCTATCCTCGCACATATAACTTGTTGAAAATCATTATTAGATTATGCTCTTCTATGAATTGTATTATTATAGTTCATTCAAATTTAAAATGTTAATTATTAAATAAATAATAATAAAATTTATTTTCTTACAGCTATTCCTAAAGGTTGATAAAGTGACTTAATTATAATCAAAATTTTGAAAGATTAATACAAATCGAAGTTAACCTCATTGACAGGAATCAATGGATATCTCTATTTGGCTTGCATATCTCAAAAGATATTTTAAGATATTTTAGGTTGTTTTAGTGAATAGAGAGATAGTCCCCAAGGTGATTAAATAAAAGAGATTTAAATTAATAAATATTGATAGGTTATTTCAGGCTGTTTGATTGTTTTATCAATTTTATATCCTTTCCTCTTTATTTATGCAATTTTATTTATTTTATTTTTTTCCATTTTCACATTTTTTGCAATGACATTATTCACCACATGATCTGCCTTTGATAAAACATTCACAATAGTTAAGTTTGCATTTACTTTTCTTACAGCAACAGCCTTAACCCTTATCACCTGACAATTTTTATTTATAATCATCTTTATACTTATGAATTATCTTCCCAATAGCTTTATTTCTTTCGAGATAATCATTTAAACTATTTTTACAACCATTACAACCACATGATTATCCGCAGCATTTTCCATCATGAAAGCATTAACAGTATAATTTTAGACATTTCGTTTTTTAACATTAACATCCTTCTTTAGTCTCCTCACTATCATTCCCTTGTATTTATAATTTTGGAGGAACAATAAACATAATCTTCTTTTTCATTAAGGATGTTATTAGATATAAATTACCAAAAATTTGATTATTTTATTAATAAAATAAAATGACAAGTTATGTACCGGTGTACAATTCAGATGAAGGTTCTACTAATTAACCTAAAATTATCAAATAGTTAGACATTTATGATAAACTTGAATAATGGGGGGAATGGCTATGGCTGAAATTTTAGGCTTTGCTCTGGATTTCAGCAGCGGTGTCTATAATTTATTATTCAAACTTTTTTAAATAATTGTTTCATAATGAAAATATCAATGAGTAATCAAAACAATCAAATTAGACTTTTTTTTACATAAGCATTATTATTTATTGGCATGAGCATTAGTTTATCATTATATGTTGCATTTTATTTACCATTTATAAAGGGTGTAACTGAGAACATCGAAAAATACAACCCAAAAGCAATATAATTGGGAGCTTTTGCTGGGTTTATGAGTTTCATAACGTATATAAATGTAATCTCATTTTTAGACTAACAATTGCAATTTGGCCTATATTTGGATGGTGGAGTTTTCCTATGTTAATTGCAATGTTTCTGGGTTTCATTAATACAAGCCACTTTTTACCTAATCATTAAGTAAGCGGTTTGCTTTTTGGAGCTATTTTCATAGGTGCATTTTTCTCACATTACTACATAGATCATGATGGTTTTATGCATTGAGTATAATTTTAAATATATAATCAAAATCACATTTGTGTTGAACTTTAATCAGATTGATGACTTTTAATTAATTGTTACACAAAAGTAATTTATTCATCTGTAATTTCTTAGTTTTAGAGATTATCTTGCAATTAAGAATGTTTTTTCATTATTTTCCTTACGCTTTTCTTCTTTCTCCACCTTTTGATAGGGTATCTAAACTACTCAATCCATAAGCACAGCGAGGATTTATGATGATGAAGTGAATTGTGGATTAATTTGTTAAATGAAGTCTATAATTATTCTATTAATGTATTTGTTGTGGATTTCTTAAAGAATTTCAGTTGTGGTTTCTTTTATAATTTATATTGCATTTAAACACTCTCCTTGAAGACATATTGAGAAGTTTGATTGATTATTTTAATGATTGGGTTAAACAACACGATTATGATGATGCTCGTAATCAAAGCAGAGGAAAACATGTATCCAAAGAAGCCAAGTATTGTTCCCAAGAAGATAGATGACATTCCACTTTAGAAGGTGTCAAACATCTACTTAAATTATTTCTGATACTATGATAATTTGCTCTATCTAAATTAATATCATTAATAATTTACATGATCAAAACCAAACCTTCATTTTCCATAATCTTGGCATTTATAAGTTCTTCCTCTGTAGAATTGTGTATCTTTCTGCATAAATAACCAAAATCATTCCAAACCTTTGAATCACAATTGCTGATAGTATCACGTTTATTTGCTTAATTAATTATTTATTAATAATCTTAATAATCTAAATGTGTTAAATTGTAATCATATATGTAAGAAGTTTCTGAAATATTTAATTCGCTAAGCAAAATTCTACCGTCAGGATATATTATAGTGAAACTTACTTCGCTATCTTAATATTTGAATTAAGTGAAGTTTACATGAGATGCTATCACTCCATCCAATGATCCATCAATATCCAGTAAACTTGTGGTCTATGCAATCATCAACAATTTCCAAGTCCAGTGGATATGAGGCTCACAAAAATAAGTACGACTTTTATTATTTTTAGACGATTGTTCTAAATGATTGGTGTACCAAATTCGTTTTTGAGGATTGTAATCAAAACCCAAATAAGAGCCTGGCCAAACAGTAAAAAAGTGAACATCCTCCGTTGATGCAAACATAATATCAAAATCTTGATCGAGCATTAAAACTGTTTCACTCAAAATACTGCATAGATCTTTAAGTTTTTAATACATCTCTCCTTGATCATCATTACTGTATACTAGATAACAAAAGGAAGCGCTATAGGCGTATTGATCCATGAAATATTAATCGTTTAAACACGGATAAGGTTTTGATAAGTTGGCCTAATGAAATTACTGAGTTAATTGATATAATTTATCCACTCTTAGTATTTGCTGTTAACTTCTAAATAGGGTTTATTAAACTCTTTAGATGTGATGAGACATTATTGTTTTTGTCCATTTACCAAATTGTTTCTAAAAGGCTTGCTACGATGATGACATTTATTTGTCCGATATATAAAACAGAAAAGTTAATGTTGACAGAATAATTAATATGATTGCTATCGTGGTAAAGATGAATTGTATCATGCATACTTATGTACGTAGTTACCAATTCCTCCAAAATCGGCACTTTGTTGTATTAATAATCATTATTTTAAAAAATGCTTCATTATTTCAAAATTAACTTAGTTTGATACTAAGTATAATTGTAAGGAATAGATACTTTGTATAAAATTATTGAGTAAAATAAAATTAGTCTGATTATAGGAATAGCATCTTTACTCAGCAAATATAGCATGAAGAATATTTTATAATAATATTTGTAATTCTTATATAAAAATACTTTATATTTACACAACTTTAAATAAGAATAGTGGATACAATAGTTATCAATTTTCACAAAAGGTCCAATCGTTTAATTTATTCCTCGTACTTGTTTTGCTAAAAGTAACTTTTCTAGCATCCTTAGGTTCATGAAAGATCAAAGGTTTTGGTGGCTTTAACTTTTTATTATAGCAATCTAACCAGTTCAAATCATTAAACCAAGGATGGCTTTTTATTTCTTTCGCATCTTCCTTACATCCTAATCTTCGCTTAGGATCTCTGATCAATAATTAAATTATTAAGTCCTTGACCTCTGGACTCAAGTGTCGTGGTAATCTAAGGGGAGCTCTTTTAATGTTTTCTTTTAATATCTCTTTCTCAGCATCATAATAAGGTGGAGCTCCAACCAATAATTCATAAATGAAGATCCCGAGCATATACCAATCAACTTAACGACCGTGTCCTTTCTTCATTAACATTTCAGGAGCCAAATAGGCCAATGTTCCACAAAAAGATTGGTTTATCATTTCTTCATCTATCCCTTGTTTAGACAACCCAAAATCGGTTAATTGAGCATGTCCATCAATGTCTAAGACAACATTTTCAGGTTTAAGATCTCTAAAAATGATACCTTATTTATGCAATGCTTCTAAGGCCAATGTAATTTCAGCAGCATATATTTTGACAATATCCTCTGGAAAATTGTTAACTAATTCTAAATGAGTTGCCAAATCTCCTCCAGGACACAAATCCATTACAAGATACAAATGATCTAAAGTTTAGAATGCATAATTTAATTTAACTATAAATGGATGATTCATAACCTTCAGAACATCCTTTTCAATTTAAGCAGAATTTATAATATTTGAAGTGTCAATATCTTCCTTTTTCAAAATCTTCATTGCATAATACTTTTTAGGTTCTTATCCTATTTTGTCAACCATATAAACTTAACCAAATCCCCCTTCTCCCAATTTCTAATAAAACTGAAAGGACCCTGGGCCAATCTTATTCTTTTCATGTTCAGAATTGGTTGTTTGTCCATTACCTTTAATCGAGACCCTAGAAAACGATACGGCAAAATCCATAATCTTTCCCCAAGTAGTTCTATTTTAATTATTATCTAGGTTTGTGAGAGATTGGTTTTATTATTCATTATTAATCTATTCTTGTTTAATTTCATTTTCAATGTTCTTCTTTTACTATTATTAGGCTAACTTTAAAAATTTTTAGACGTGATCTCTTCTACTGTTTTGTAAAACCAAATTCTATTCTTTAACAACAGTTCTAGTATAAGTAAAATTATTGAGCGAGATTCCATATTTATTAAAAATTTCGATTATTCGAATATCTGAAGTCATCTCAATAGGAGTCAAGTGTTAGTAATTCTTTATATCATGGTTTGCTTTCTTCTCTAATAATATTGTACACACTTAATCATTTCCATGTAATGAAGCTATGTGCAATGGTGTATTTTAATCTGAATCTTAGGCATCTAAATCGGCTCCAAAGTTGATCAACAAGTCACAGATCGTCAAATGGTTTTTCATAGCTGCAACATGCAATGGGGATTTCCCATCCAAAGATAGCAACTTTGGATTGGCTTATTAATGCAATAGGAGTTAAACGATCTCAACATTGCTTTATAGACAGGCAAAATGAAGGGGAGTCCAATCATCCAAATCTCTATTTTATTATAACTTTAAGTACCTTATATTTAAATCTATATAGAATTAAGGATGAGCCAGGAGTTCATATACTTTATTATTCTCATTTTATTAGACTAATAACACTAAGTGCTCACTAATTTCTCTACTATGTTTCCAGTAATTCTTCCAAGCAACATCCTTCGAATCTGCTATTGGAAATTTGTACTCTTCTAATTTCCTACAATCTATAGCAAGTCCTGTATCTCTATTTAAAATCTGGAACTCCTTCTCATCTTCTGGAATTGTTTAGAGTTACGGAACTTGACTTGTCTGATAGGTTTTCTAAAAAGCTTAATAGCATTCCTCAGAGTATCTAAGAAATAGGGACTATCTTATACTATTAAGATGCAGGAATGGTAAATTCATTTTACTCATATAAATCAAACTAATCTAAAGACTTCGATATTAAATCGAATCTTTTCAAAAGTTACTTTAATGTTAAAAAACATAAATACTTCTTTCGACATTTTTAAAAATAATTTAAGCTGATTAATTTATATAATGAATCAACTCTTTAATAGTAAATGGTTATGTAGCATAATAAATATATTACAAATTAAATTAAAATAAAGTGACGAGTTAATTTCAAATTACTTTCATTTGAGTTCCTCAATTTTCCTTTCCTCAATTCCAGAAAAACCATTTTCCTTTTTACTAATCATGTAATAAGATTCAGAATGTCTTTTTAATAATTTCACTAAATCCATATCATGTGTGATTATAATCAATTAAATTTATTATTCATGCTATTTCATCAATTCTATCAATGAGTTAAGTTGTTCAGCCAATGCTAATTTATTAAAATTATTTAATACTTTTTATATGTTTTCTATCCAAATTAGATGTTGGCTCATCTAGTGCCAAAAAACAACAATTACTACCGAAACATTCCGCCAAAGCCATTCTAAAGACTATTGATGCAAGCATCTTTTAACCCATTGAACATCTCCCCTTCATATCTATTTCTGTATTATTCATAGTTCTCATCACCAATCTATAGTTATATTTTTTGGAGATCTTTTTTTAATTTGGAATTTCATCGAATTTTACTTCTATGAATTTAATGTCTTATCCATTGTATATTTTCTATCTTTAAAATTAATTAATACCTGCCAAGTATCCAATAAGTATTTATTGATTTCTTTCATTTTTTAACCATGACATTCAAGCATCGTAGCCTCTAAAATTTATAAATATTTTTTCAAATCACTTATAAATTATTAAGTTGCCACATACTCACATAACATTTCAAGTCTTTTTTGTTCTGATCCATCATATCTTCTATTGATATCCTTTTTTAATTCCAAAGCTGATTAAAAGCTTTATTCTAATTTCGACCTTCTCAAATCATATTCTAATCTAAATTTATCCTTTTTCGATATATTTAGTTGTTATGATTAATACTCATCTTATAATTTTTGAATTTCTTATTGTAGAATCTCTATCTACTCATTCAATTTCTCTTCTGCTTGATCTAGGTCCTACCATTTTTGTAATTTTTATATATAATCTTATAATTCTTAATATTATTTTAACTTCTATTATTTTTAATTAATATCTAATTCTAATTACTTCATTTTATCAGCCTCAGCTTAGATTTCCATTTATAATTTTTATATGTAATCAGCATATTTATAGTTATTCTTACTCTTATTCATTAAGTCTTATTTCTTTAATACTTTCTATTCGAATTAAGGTTATATTGCTTCTAAATTATTCAAGAGTTGTTTCTTGTTTAGAATAGATTCCATATATTGATCATACTATAACTTTTGTTCTAGTTCTAATTGATTCAATTGAGATTCTATCTATGAGATCTCATAAGATTTATCATCAAAGTCTTAAATCACTATTTTTTAATTCTACTATCTTAATTGATTCAACTCAGTTTAAATTCTTAACATACTGTCTTATAATTATTTTGGATTTTCATAATTATCTTATAAACCTTCATATTACTTTAATTTATTTTGAATATCCATTTTAGCTTTCTGGAGTTAACTTTAATTATGAGGATTATTTGATAATTTTAAAGATCCTTTCAAAAATGAATTCTCTTTTTCCAATTATATTTTTTGAATTAACAACTATTCCTTTTGGGTTTCTTCCTCATTCCCAAGTAATTATCTCAATACCGTAATGTCTTAAAGATTTTTTTCCAATTACAACAAAGAATCATTAGCAACAGAATCTCTTTAAGTTGCTTAAATTTCAGCTATTTATGAATCTAATTGTCTAATTTTTTCTAAATGTTGATTATTTTGAATCCCTTATTTAATCTTTTCTTTTTCAGCTTTTAGACTATTGATTTAAAGTTCAAATTCGTTAATTTTAGATTTAGTTTTCGGTAAATTTTGTTGGACTCTATGCTTTAATAGTTCAAAGCAACTTTAATCAGTCGGTTTAAGACATAATAAGCATTTTCCAGATTGTTTGGAACTAGTAATCTTAATAATTATTTATATATACATATTGGTCAATAAACTCTGTTTGATTGAAGATGTATTTAATTTTATTTTCTTTGACTTCTCTAAGTTATCTTTTTACGTTTTCTAATTCAAAAGGATCATATTTAATTGCTTTATTGATGGATAATTAATTTTTCAATTCCTCTTTTTGATCATTTAATATTTTAATTTATGCTTAATCTTTAGCCATTTAAGTTTTGATTGATTACATCTTTTATTTAATTGACTCCTCACATCTTGAGATGGAGATGTCTCGTTCTAATTTTGATCCATTTAATTTAATCATGGCTCTCCATCCATTTTCTCGAATTAATAAATCAATTTATGTCGATTTAGAGGATATATTCTCCTCTAATTCTGATATTTTCTTCACTATTTCTTAGTAAGAATTAATTTGTGAATTTTTCTATGTGATATCATAGCATTCAATAAGATCTTAATTGATTTATTCAAACTCTTATTTTAACTTTAGTTTTTCCTTAATTTGCACTTCTTATTATTCAGCCTATCTCTTTTGGAAAGTTAATTATTAGAGTAATAATTCCTTATTTTTAATATCTTTGTTCATTTATTCTTTTAATTTAAGTTGTTCATTCCTTTGATTCTCATTTATCCTAACTTCAATTAGACATTTCTATTTCCTCTCATTTAAATTAGATATCCTAGTTTAAAAGACAGATTGCGTTTCTTGTTAAGTCTATTACTCTGACTATTATTCAAGTTTATTTTAAGATATCTTTTCTTTAACTTGCTTTAATAAATTTTCATCAGAAATATTATTAGAAAACATAAATAGAGACCTAATGGAGTCTCTAATTAATTTAACTTCTTATTTCAATGTTTCTATTGAAGTATCAACTTAAAGTTCTTATAATTCGATCTTTTTATTTTCTACATTGATTTCAGTAGATTTGAGAGTATCTTAGGAGCTTTTTAATTCAATTTCTAGTTGTTTGAGACTGGAAATAACAAAATCCTATTAAGATAATTGATTCAAATCGATATGATCCAATTGCAATTATAATTTGTTCTCTTATATTGAATTCCTGCAGGCAATCAAATCAGCACACTCACTCATTCTCTATTAGATGATATTGAAATTGATGTTTGAAATCTATATTTGATTCATTTAGGAATTAATATCTTGGATTACTTTAATTTCCTAGATTTTTTCTTCTAACTAATTTTATAGATTAGTTCTCTATCGTTGACCATCATCCATGTCTCTTTTTGAGAATTCCACTTTCTCCATTAGTACTTTGGCCTTGCTCTCAGCTTCTTTGAGTTATTCCCTGAGTCTAACTTCAATGTTAACCAAATCAGTAGTCTCAAAAAGTTCATCAAAAATCCCTTTTAATGTTGAATTATCACTAAACATCCAGAGCTATTCTTCCTGATGACACAGGAGAACATTATTCAAAATAGGGACTGAAACTCCTAGAAAACAAGGAATTTATTTTTCTATATTGGCACAAGTGGAATGCAATGTTTCTAATTTATCAGTCTCCAATGATCTAGTTTATAAGGTAGATCTAAGTGAAGAGAATTTACAAGAATTTGGAGAATCATATACAATACTAAAATGTCTACGAGCAACAATCTCACGATTATTAATGGACTTAAAACTAAGTTCAATACAGGCATCCGTCTTGCTTTATCCAAGCAAATGACTATCTGTTAAGAAACTTCTGCCTCTAAATGAATAGAAAATGTTGTTTACTTCTCGGAATTAGGAGGCTGCATCCCAGTAGTGATGGTTCGGAGTGCTTCAATAATTGTCTATTTTATTATAAATAGGTACTGTCTTTCCACTTCCATTATGACCCCAAATTAGAGTGAGAGGTTGCTTAAAATAGATAGATTATGACTGTTAAGCTGCTCTTCTGCTGTCCTCTTTGACTTGGCCAACATGACAATAACTTCTAATTCCATCTAATTTCAAGTGAAGTAGAGATGACATTTTTAAAATTAATTTATAAAATTACGCGGAAAATGAAAAAGCAAATTCTCTAGTCAGGAGAGAAGGTCATTACCATTGATGATACTATTAACTCAAAATAGCCAACACCTGTATAACCAGTTGTTTAACAATTATCTGCCTATTAAATATTTATGAAGGATAAGAAGGAGGAGGGCAGATTCTCACTTCAAGTTCTTAGTTAAATGTGGAGGGATTTACCTCAAGATTACAAGGAATAGTAATACATATTAAATATTCAAGAGATATTAAGAAAGGGCCAGACAATTGAAAGAGTAGGTTTAACAAAATTAATTGCCCCCTCCTTAAAGTATGTCTCTTCTATTAACAAATTATCAGCTTTCTTCCCATTGTCTAGATTGAAAACCATTCTCAAAGAGGATGACTAGAAGCCACAATTCAAACCAGAAGCATATCAATATATGTTAAAAGCTATTGAAGAATTTGGTGAGCTTTTACTAAACAAAGTAAAGGATCAAATTAAACAAGATTAAAGAAAAACAATCAAAGAGGATGATTTAAGTAATCATATTTTATTAATACTCGAGTAACTGTGATCAAAGAGAATCAAGAATTATAATTTCTGAATTGTTTAGCCATTCACCATTAAAAAAAGAAAACAAGTTAAACTCAAAATTAATAAGGCAAATCAAAAACTTTAGGTGCATTAGACAAATTTTTAGAAAACAATAATGGCATATGATTATTCAAATAGCAATTTCATCCATTTTTAATTCATTTTTCAAACAAAGTATTTTTCATCTCTGCTATATCAACTGACTAGCTATACTAATCTTAATGAGCTAATTATTTGTTAATTGGTTTCAACTTATTTTCAGTGAATTGATTTTTCTATAATGATATTAGAAAAAACAGATTTCAACTTCAAATTTTACCTTAATATCTTATTCATACGAATTGTTTCCTAGATAAAACAGTTTTAGATTTGTTAATACCTCTCTAGGCTTGATTTCATGATTAGACAATTCTTTATATTATTTAAAATTTCTGTTTATAAGATTATTTCTTTAGATTTTAGTTTCGACAATTATAAACTATAGGGATTAATGATAAATTATTTTTGATTACTTCCATTAAAATATGCTTATAAATTGATAATATATCTATATTCTACATATAATTCCATTTATCATATAAGTTAAAATTGTACTTAGTATTTTTTCTACAATATATTATTTAGTTCTTTGGATGTGCAATTTCTCCTCTCAGTAGTGCAAGTTAATTGGTTATAAATTCCAAAGGAACAAGGTCTAAATATTTCTAAAATTTCATTACTCCATGATAATTTATAAATCTTTATTATTTATCTCAATTTCTTTTATAAATACCGACAGTAATCCATTATTAAGATGTTCTTCAGTTATTTCTAAATTTTATTCTGAAAATGTTGGAAAATTAAAACTAATTTATGTTCCCTTCTTAAATTCTTTGTAATCAAAATCTTCTGGTTTAAGATCAAATGTAGTAATTAAGTATTCATCTACAACTTGCTTCACATGTTTTGATCCTAATTAGGTTAGAAATTCATTAAATTCTTAAAAGCTTGGAGAATACAATTTAACAGTTTTTTAAGACACTTTTTCTTTAATTATAAATTAGATTGGTAAAAAATCTACACAATAATAAGTTTTTGCATCCTTTTAAGCAACACATTTGATCATTCTCTTATTCAAAATCTTTTGAGGAAATTCACTTTTTTCTATATTTATAAATATTCTTACTTTCATTTATTATTATTGCTAAATCTGGGATTGTTGGTTTAGTGACTAATACTTTTTATTAGGATTCAATTTTTGATGGCACTTAGATTTATTCAGAAATTTACTACTAAGGTTGTACCTTCTATTCAATTTTTTATTCTACTTTTACTTAATTTTCTGTTTATTTGAATAGTTTATATTTAAGCAGTGTAAAATCAACATTTATCTCTGAAACTATTTCAGCTACTTAAAAGAAATTATTATTAACCAATTCATGTAGCCTCTAGGGTGACAATGATATAGTTTAAACATATTAGTATTCTTAAAAATAAATTTCAATTTTCGGAAGATGAATTTTAAAATATCCTTATCCAGTTTGATTTGATACAATTGTAAAAGGTGCTGGAAATTCATCGTTTGAAAATTTATTGACTTTAGTTTTTAACTAATTTAATCCTTTATGCTTCAAAGCTATGGTATTCAATTCTAACAGTTATAAGTTTTTGATAAAAAATTCGATGTAATCTTGATGAGTATTTAGAATTTGTAGAGTTGTATAAAAATTTAATATTAGACTTTATGATAATTTTCTATTAACCTAATCTTCTTTCTCCTTGATCCAATCTATTTCAAATGATTTTATCAATGCCACAACAGGCATTTAATTATATTTATATATTTTCTTATAAAACAACCTTTCATCCTTTTTAACTTCTTCCACATCTTCTCCATCAGTCAAATCAGCAACAATGTTTCTCTCAACTGGCTATAATCTTGTGCCAATATGTCCGAATTTTTAAGATAGATGATAACTAGATAATCCCTAGAAACCTCTATCGCAAGTTGTTCCAAAGTTTCTCGTATTGTAATCGAAACTATACATAAATCCTTTATTTAGATATTTTAATTATACTTTAAACTACCATTTGCTTAGAATTACCCTATATCACAGATCTCCTTTCTAAATGAGGCAAGATCTTTGATTCATTCCTAAAAGATTATACATATTTAGTTTACTAAGAATGACGCTATTATGTGTTTCTTATGTGATTCGGATCTAGCAGTTTTTGTTGATTAGTAATCAATTTTGGTAATATCTCAAATTAATTACTATGATTATTCATTAATTATATAAATGTAAATTGAAATAGAAAAATTATAATTTTTTATTGATGAACCTAAATATGATCTATATCGTATAGGTTGATAGTGCCTCATAAGCTATCAATAAAATTTGGTTAAGAGTTCTTGTTAGATGTTTTAGAATACAGAAAAAATTGGATAAATTCCCATAATTGATTTAATAATTTTTTTATCCTGAGTTAACTAATAATACATTACTATTATGTATAAGAAGCTCTATTTAACTAAAAATATAGCCCAACAATAATAGAACTAAGTGGGAGCTTTGATAATATTTTAATTGTCCCATTTAGTTTATAATTTATTCTCATAATCAAAAAGCAACAACTTTGATAATATGATGTATTAGATTAAGAATATATTCATTATTTCTATTATAAGATTGTTTATTTTAGAATAATCAACTTGTATTAAATATAATTTCAGAATCTTAAAAAATACTCTATAAATGGTATTAAAATGGGAGTGTTGGCACTATATTCCTAATACGCATATCCAAAGAATTGATGTAGATAATATTCCTCTAAATAAATTCTCGAAATGAAAAATTTATAGAGGACAGGAATATAAGCAATAAATGCAATAGGATTCTACAAAACTACTTATTATCCTAGAGAATAAATGAAGAAACCAAAATAACTAGGGTGTCTGCTGATTCTATTAAATAACCTTATGAAAAATAATACTTGTAAACTCCAGTTGTAATCAAGATATGGTCTGAAGCTTTTTTACTTTAAACTTAGTGATGGAAACTTTGTTTGGCTGATATAAAAGCTCCAATTCTAAATGAATGTCCAACCAATGTCATTAATACACCAATTAAAATGAACAAAGAATAATCCTTCTGGAAAAAAAAGGATTCTGCAAAATATTCAGATATCGAGAATGTTATTGCTAAATTATATCCAAAACTATGATTGATTAAATAACCTAATTAATAAAAAATTATATACTTCCCCATTTTAATAAATTGAATTTATAGAATGCAACATGCAACATTTCACCCATATGAAATAAGACTTAATTTAATAAGAAAATGCTGAATCCTACATAATTTTCTTTGATAACCCAAGCAATATAAACAAGGAATCCAAATACAACACAGGTTGCATTGATTTTTGAAATTTCAATTCCTAATTGTGGGTAAACTTTTGGACTTATTTTCCATGTTAAGGACAATAATGATCCAATTATTAAAATCTGGAATAGCAAATTATCAAATAGAAGTAACAAAGTAAGTGTTAGGACTATGATAATCCATTATATTAAATATATTTCTTTATTTATTAACATTATTATTATAATTAAATTAGGAACGAGAATAAATATATCATTTAATATGAAAGTGAAATTCTAATTATGGGAAATAAGAAGATTGATTTTTAAGAGGTTTGAAGATCATTATATCTCTACACATTTCTGATAATTTAATTTATCTATTAGAATAAGTACTATAGTCTTGAATAAGAATTTCATTTCCAGATTTCTTGTGATTTTTTAAATTCTCAGATCCAATATAATTTGAATAATTTCTCATCCTAGTAGTTTTTTATGAAATTTATCTAGGTTTATTTTATTTTTAATTTAATTATTAGAAGTATTGCTCCATAAGAGATTTAAAAGAATGCTTTTATTAAAAACTTTATGGAAATTAAGCAAATCTATCATTACTGCATATGGAGACTTCCTAATCTTTTTTTTTGGATTGCATTGATTAACTAACCTTCTTGTTCCTCAATTAATTAAACGATCTTAATTTTCTCGGTTGGATAGGGGTGATTATGTCGTGTTGTTTGAGAGGATCCTTATCATCTAGGTGATGAAATTAAGTAATCTCACTTAAATCCAACTTGTTCATAGAATCTTAAATAATTAAAAATATATAATATCTGCTATTTTCATTTTTATAATCAATTTAATTATTTTGAAGAAAAACTCATTCCTTATGATTGAGTTCTTGTTCAAGCATTTGAATGGTAATAATCTACATTAAATATTAAAGGATGTATACATATTATTTGATTTGTTATTCTTGACTCTGTATAATTTTGCTGGTTTATTCTTCAACCAACAGTCTATTTTTCTTTTCTTCATTCAGTTGTCTTTGCAATTAGATCACAGATTCGTAATGGAAAGATGGTTTATAAAAGTTTTGGGAAGAATTCAATTGCAAGGATAGGGCTTTGATTAGTTTTTCACAATTTTGATTTAATTGCTTTTGCCATGAAAGCAATAGAAAGGAATTAATTTAACTACATTTTTTTTTATTAATTTATTCTCCTATCAACTTGAGATTCTTCTACACCTTGTTGATTACATCATCTTCGTTGTTTCTTAACCTAATGCTGACATCTCCTAACTCAGCATTGGTCTCATCTTGTTTATTTTAATCCTACTGAATATTATCTAGATTGCAATTGCTATTAACTCTTGAAAGTTAGGAAAGGCTATTATAATTAAATTTATTCGAAAAAGATTAGGATTTTGGTGGAGAAATGGGAGTTGCAGCTCTAAATTCACACGTGGTCCTTGATATATTTTATTATTGTTAATTCCCTTTGATTTTTGAAGAAATCAATTTAGAGATCACTGATTGCTAATTGGAAAACATTCCAGCAGATAATTTAGGTGAGTTAAGAATGTATTTCTATTTTTTATGTTTATCTGAGCTATTTTGATGTAGCATAAAATAAATATTTAATAATTTTTATTCAAGTTTTTATTGAAAATTAAATAAATGCAGCCTTAACTAATCAATGCGCTAATCACACAACAACATATTTGTAGTTATAGTAATTTTGCACATATAATTTTACTTTTCGGAATAATATTAATATTTAATTCAACTTTAATTTAATTTGTAAGTAATTTATAGTTATAATGAATTAAAAATTGAAAATGAGTTTTCTAGTGATAGACAATATATTTGGAGAATTTAAAAGAATAATCAATGTAAATAAAGTTAACGAAGTGATAAAACTAATAATTTAATGAATTGAGAGACTTCTTAAGTTTAGATTGAATGATCTTAAGAACTAGGCTATAATTTGTGAATATAGTAATGATATTATAATTTGAGTTGGATAGTTTTTAATTTGATTCAATTACAATATTATTTTATTCAAAAAATGTTATTTGTAATACTCTGTTTAATTTCCACTTTAAAAGCATAAGATGAGGATGAAATTGAATATGATGTTGTTGAAACATTACAAAGTGCTTGCAGATGTAGTTAGATTTTGAGTGAAGTTGATTGCAAACAATTTTGTTTTTGGGTAGCTGATTCTGATGGTAAAACTGGAAAATGTAGAGATAGATTATGTAGTGATTATACAGATAAGAGTTCATGCAATGGGGATGAAAAGAATTTATGTTATTTTAATTAAGAATCAAATCAATGCAAAAATTTAAGAGGAGACTGCAATAGTTTTGACACTTAGGAATAATGCGAGGCTAAACAAAATTGCTTATGGTAAAATTAGCCAGATGATGAGGGTGTTTAATGTTAAGTTTAGGAATAACCAGAAGAAGAAATTCCTGTTATTTGCAATGACATTAATTAACAAGAAGTTTGTGATTAAAGCACAGAATCTAATAGTGGTTATTAATGTGCTTGGTTATTAAATCCTGTCGAAGAAGTATCAACTTAAACTGCTTCTTCTAATGATTCAACAACTAGACTCTTAAAGGTCGATAACACTGGATATTGTACAAGATTCTCAATTAAAAAATGTACAGATGTGAATAATATTGATGCTGATGATTCAATCAAAGAGATGCTTTGTAATAGATTTCCAGAGACTTGTAGATACACAATTCAAACATCAAATGGCATCACTGTAACAGGAACCAATTTCAATCTTGTTTCCTATTCTTGTGAATAACGAACTTGCACAGATTATGGAACCAAAGAATTATGTGAAAATAACTATATTGTCCCTGATTTCGAAGACTATCTTCATTTATGCAGTTGGACATCTGACTCCTGTATTGAAGGATTGGTAATTGAAAAATTCTCTCCTTTGAACAGTCCCGATAACTGCTATAAGGAAGAAACTCGGTATTAGTTGACATGGAATCAGGAAATCAATAAATGCACTAAATGTCCAGGAGAAGGATATATACTGAGTTTACTATTCAGTCTTTATGTTTTTGCATTATGATAATATAGATTTATTTATTATATGACAGAAAAATTTAAAAACTCTATTATAAATTTAAATAAAAAGTATAGAAATAGAATTCAATTCTTATCAAGGTTCATTAAACAGCCATCTGCAAGTAATTTCTCTATCATATTTTTAAAATTAGATTCGTTGCCATATCGAATTAACAATAATTATAAAGAGCAATCCTAAACAATCTCTTATTGCTGCACAAACAATTTTATGTTAGAATTTACTGAATGGATACTCTAATCTTAGTTTCATTGCTTCTCTTTAAAATTCTTTATTGATTAATCCACTTACTTTCTTACTATTGCTAGTCCATATTGAAGCCATTCTTTTAGAAACTTCAATAATATATTCTGCACACTATTCTATGCTACCAAAATTATTTTTATTAAGATTGTTTAAGACCTGCTTTAAATCATCTTTATTATGAATTATCATAAGATTTTCTTAATTACTCATCAATTCGAATAACATTTCAAAAATATTAAAATTTTTGGGATATGTTGCCTTCAACAATTTCTCCATTTAGTTTCTTAGTTATTCTTTAATTTCCTCTTTACTTAGATTATTAATAAGAATGCCTTCCTAAAGAACTGAAGCAAGGATATAAGAAAACACTTATATATATTCCTTAGTATAGCATGATTTTTATTGTAAACTTTCTAAAACATCGATGCAGTCTTCGAAATCTGGATGTTTTTTAATGACACATTTTAAATGTTAGATTGCTTCATCATCAGCCTATTACATTTACAGAGCAATCGAATATCTTATATGATATTTCTCAATGTTATCGTTTAAAGTGCATGCTTTTTAAAGCATTTCAGCTGCCTCTTTGAAATCTTATTAAAAATATAGTAATTGTCCAAGTTCAAAATACAACTCTGATTATTAGTTATCCAATTTCAAGCCTTAATATAGGTCTTGTATTGCTTCTGTGTATTGCTTGAGTTAAATTCTAATTTTGGCTAAAGATTTAAATTTATAATTACATCTTTTGAGATAAAATTCAAAATTCTGATTATTCAAAGCTATAAGTTCATCATAGACACTCTTTGCATTAACATAATCTTTGGTTTACTCGCACATTTAAGCCTTTTCTATATAATATAAAGGGATATTTCCATTTTCGGTTATCAATTGATTATACAATTTATTTGCGTATTCATAATTTTTATTATCTCTACTTGTGTTGGCAATTTTAAGTTTTAATTCTTAGTTATTAAAATCTATCTCCATGGCTTCTTCAAAATTCTGTTTAGCAGACAAGTTTTAACGTAATTTCAAATGACAAAACCCTATTAATTTAAAATGATTAATACCTTTTTCAAACAATAACATTGATTTCTATTTTGGTTCTAAAATGTATTTAATGATCTAATCATAGCATTATATTGCTTGGTTATACAATTTTAACATACTTAAACAAAATCCTATGATTTATAATAAAATATACCTTTATGCTTTATTGCCATGAAATTACTTTAATCATGAACAATTACTTTGTTAAAGTCATCTAGAGCAGCTTAGTAATTTTATTATTGCATAAAAGCAAGTCCTCTAAAAAAGTAGGTTGAATAATCAGTAGGATCGATTGTTAGTAATTAATCACAATATTCTCTTAATTAAGAATATTGTTAGAGTGTGCTCTGAATTTTAATAATCATTTTAAAAGATTTTATTTCCTTTGGATATTAGGTGTGAATCTTCTAAAAGTATTCTAAAGATTGGTTTAATTAATTTAAATTGAATAGACTCATTGCTATTCCAAATAAACCTTCTAAATTCTTGGAGTCCAGTGTTAGTACTTCATTGCATAAATTAATTGACCTTTCAAATAACTTCTAAGAAAAATAAGCTTGACCTATAAATGAATTAAAAAGCTCATTACTTTTGCAATTTAATATGGCAATCTAAATTTATGGAATTTACTATTCTAATTATTGATCACAAAATTCATGTAAGTTTTCATAGTTTTTTTAAATCATGAACAAATTACAGATAGATTGAATGGCTTCAAGATATCCAGGATCTTATTTTAATGCTCGTTGATACAATTCCAAAGCTTAGTCGTATTTTTATTGTTTTACTTTTAAATGACCTAATTTCGAAACATCAAATACCATAATTTAATAATACTCCTTTATCATTTTATTTTAATTCCAGGGCTGTTTCGTAATAGCATTAAGCCTTCTCGAAATTGTTTAGCCTTGTTAATACAAAAGCCATTCCGAAATACCCCTCAAATGATTTTTCATTCATTTCCACTAATTTATTAAACACATTAAGAGCCTCTTAATACTTTTTGTTCAATATGTATATGTTCCCTAAAATAGACAATTTATATACCAATTTCTGCCAAGGCCTTCGAATGTTGTTTATCGAGTTAAGTTGCCATTTGACAAAAATACAAAGCCTATTGTAAATTGTTTTAACCAAGATGAGCCAAACCTAAAATCTATAAATACTGTTAGTACCTTTCAAGTACTACGCCTCAGCCATATTTGGAGATCTGAGTAAAATACGGTCAATTAACTCTATCGCTTTCTCATATTGTTGTTTTCTCAATAGCTTAAATGCTTCTATAAATGCTATTAATACCATTAACTAATTGGGCATTATTGTTTATTTTGTGGATTTAAGTTGGGTTAGCTAATTTATCAAAATCTATGTTTAGTAACTAATAACATACTTGTTAGCGATGACTTACAATTGATAATAAAACTGCTGCTACATTGATTGCTTTTTGCTTGGCTTTAACCCATTAAAATAATTTTTGATTTATGTATCGATTAAATCATTTCATTTATAACATAAAAACGTAAAATAGTTCATTGTTATTTTAATATAATTCAAAAAAGCTGTCAGTCGTCTTTCTTTTAAATAATACATCAATTGCAAATTATTCATTAAACTTTAAATAGTTAGTTTTTAGCCTGACATCTCCCCTTAAGTATTTGGATCGTAAAATTTTATAGGTTTTTTAAACACAACTTCCATAATATTTCAGTTGAAAAACTAGTCTATATTGCTCTGTATATCATTTTGATATGATAATTTAAGCTCTTAAATTATACCTAATCTATTTATCCTATGAAAAATCAAATAGAAGTCAAAAATAACGTATGTATCTTTGATAGTTAGATAAAAAAAGATGAGAGATACAATCTTTGGATTTTTAAAATAATCATAATTAATAAATTTATCTCTTCTTCTAAAATAAGAACTTGCTGAATTTTGTTTAACAATAATTTTCAGAATATTTTGAAGACAGTTAGTTTAAATATTTTTCAGATCATAATTGAAATATGTAGATATAATAATTGCTTGTTAATAAGTTTACTTTAATAATTTTAACTAATAAAATATGAAATAAAACTTAAATGGCGTGACGTTACATCACAAAAAGTAAGGGTTAACATATAAAAACTTTTCTTGATTTTTAATATAGTTTATTTGATAAAATATTTGAGTCTGTTTAAATATTAATTAAATTTATAAATTACTTCATTGTTGAACTAAATTTCCAAATTTTATTTTGAGAAATAATTTCAATTTCCTCTGTTTCCAAATCAATATTAATCCATTAATCTTTGATTTCTTAGTATTGAATTCAATAATTGCTTGAGATATTTTAGATTAATTTATAATAATTGAAAATCAAATTTTATGTAACAACGTCGATATGAGAAAAATCGAAAATAGATACCTAACAATATCGATCACGTTGCCAGAAGATATCTCATTCCAATCTGATTTTATAATATTTAGAGATGATCAAGAACTGTTTAATAATTAAAAAAATCAATATTATCAATAATTTAAAGAATCTATTTATTTATTTCTCATAGATTTTAGCATTTAATGAGTTACTATAATCGATAATTATATATTTATTTCTGTAAGAATGTTTTAAATATTAAGGCTGTTAATTTTAATAAATAATTTATTTATCTCTACAACGAATATTTCACATAATTAAAATGTTAATATCCTTAAATTTGAAAATCTAAAAGACGATTAGAGTTATCATATATGAAAAATTCACAGAAGTAGGCTTTCATAGGTTAATGATATATTTAAATATAATTTTCATTACTGCTATTGATTTCTCTGAAGGTTCATATGTATTTTTAGGTCAGCCCTACAAGTTGGACAATTCTTGTTAATATATATCCATGCGAGAATGCATTCCTTGTGAAATAAATGTCTAATTTATAATTATAAATTACTTGCATTTTGTAGATCTGAGATCTGGTTTACTAGTGTAAAGATCAAGGCAAATTGGACAGACATCTGTGTTCTTTATTTGATCGCTTTCGATCAAAGGTAGTTGCTGCAAGATTTCCTCATCAAAGCTTTTTGCGATGTATTTCTATTCATGTTGCATTTATCTTATCATAGCTAAAGCAGATATGGCTTCTTTGATTTTCTTGTTTCTAAAGTATTTGCCAATTGCAAATGAAATACTTAGAATCATAATTATGCCAGCAATCGAAGCAACTATAATTATTACAGTAGTAGTTGAAATTGTGTTTTATGTGTTTTAATTGATGAGGTCCAAAGAAATATGAATATTTTATTCAACTAGAGATTTCTATTTGAAAATAAACCTTATTCTTTTTTGAACGAGTGTGCTATTATCATTTCTGTCTTTTAACTCAAATTCTATGGGTGAAGAAGATGTAAATTCATTGCCTTCAACTAAAAGATCATAATATTTTCTATTCAAATCTTCTAGCGCAGGTATGTAAAGTACTCTCGTCTTCATTATATACCAATAAACTCCTTCAGAACTATTTGTCTAAAATATATTGGTATTTTAAATACTTAAACTATTAAACTCATGGATTCATTTTCACTTTCTTCCAAATCTACATATGCATACTTAGCAGTATTTTCTAAATTAAGGATTATTTCTTTGTTTTATAGAATATAAGTTGCCTTTTAATGGCAATCATTCCCTATGTAATATTTATTACATAAACATTTTCCATCCTAAAGAATAAATATATTGAGTACTTAGCAACTGCCTTGGTTGTTGCAGTTGTTTGGACACATTTTAGTGTTGGTGGCAGTAACTGAAATGTTGTAATTCTAAGTCCATTCAGATGAAGTAGATATATAAACTTATCGAGATTGAAAATCTTCACTTGACAAGAGGATGAAATGAGTAAATCTATTTTCAAGATACCTAAGAATTATTGGCATAGTTGCAATACCCATATATATCAAACCCCTTATCTTCTGAAATTTCAGACAAGCTTAAACTAAAATCTGGGGGTTTTCCAAATCCATAATGTAAGGAAAAGGTGTCATCTTGCTTGTGAAGTTCAACATTAATGGCATAATAAGGAAATTTGGCTGTATTTGCAATGTTAAGTAGATAAGTATTATTTGGAGAACTCAATTAAACATCTGACCAAAATTTTGCATTTTCCGAGATTTCTATTATAGTTTCTAATGAAAAAGCGATCTGAAATTATAGCATTTACAGAATGAACCACATTTTTGTTATTAATTAATCCTTTATTAAGTTTTAATTAAAAATATAATCTAAATGTAAGGATTGGTACTCTTTTAGAATTTGAGATATGGCATTTCTTAACAATTATTGCAATCACAAGTCTTAGTTTCAATAATAGTATCCATTATTATTAATTTAAGGAAAAGTATTATATAAAATAATTCAAAATTGAGATGAATGGTAACTAGCTTAAAAATCCTGAAATAGAAATTATAGCTGCTGAAGAAATGAAATCTCGACAACCATCATAATAACATATATCGATCTGTTTCTGCATATTGCTCACCATAATATATTCGGTTTTATTAGGAATTGAGCAAACATAATTGCCATTAATGATTTGTAGCATATCTTATAACACCCTCATAGCTATGATAATATTCATCAACACATCTAAAATTAATACCAAATATTACTTTACAATGATTATCTCGAGTAAATTGATTAGTTTAGTCTCATTATTATTTTTAGATTAAGAATACCTAATTATTATAGCATTTTTAATAGATAGTTTGACCCAAGAACCCGATCCAATGAATGCGTTGGAATAAACTATTATTAAACTCAGCTCACTTGTAGTTGTATGTATTAACGGAAAGCTTTTATTCATCTTGGTTATGATCTCCATTTCATTGTTGTAACTATTAAAAGATTTGCAAAACAAAGTGTCATAAATGAAAAAATAATTGAATGTTACTAACATGACACCAAATCAGAATATTTCATAATATTCATAATTGGAAAAACAAAATGATGAGATATGGAAGAATAGAATGCAAACAATTCCAATTATTGCCATTATCATATCTATGCAAAATTGGTAAATTGTCCATAAAAACTAGTCCTTCTATACTTTCTTTTCATCTTATAAGTAAACGGAAGAAGAATTAGAAAATTTGGTAATGAATCATTTAAGTTTTCATGTTTCCAGTAGTAATCTCGAGGAATAAGATGTTTCGTCCATTAATTAATTCATAAAATAGATAAGAAGACCTCATGCCATGACGTTTAATAATAATTGTAATTAAAGAAATTAAGAAACACTTCAAGATATCCCTATAGGATATTAATCTTTGAATGAAATTGTGTTGAATTTTAAAAGTAAAGTCCAATGTTCTTTCCTCAATATTCATCACTCCGTTTATTATGAAATCTCATGCCGATAACAACTAGAAGATGGATCATATCTATAGTTATTTGGATAAATTGTATAAAATGAAAAAGACAATGAACTTTTAATATTTTTGAATGACTTCTCAGGTTAAAATGAAATGTAATAAAATATTCTTCTAAACGATTTTAAATCTAAAGTAGTAATAATTACATATATTAGATCCTCCAATCATTCTCTCATGAACTCAGAACCCCACTTAATAGTGCTTTGAACTTTTTAACTTCCTCTTTGTAAGAATAAAAGATACCTTTATATGTGAAAGATAATCTGATAGAGCCAGCAATCAATTCATTAAAGATACAAAAGTATCTAATAAATGACATACTTGATTTCTCATCATTTTATCAAGATCACATCAAAATATAACTCAAAGAATTTACTATTTCTGAACTTATTGCCGAAATTAGTTCGATGTTTTATTATCAATTTAACACTAAATAATTAGCTTTCCATGTTGATTTAAAAGAAAATTAGTTAAATTCATTTTGTACTGATTACAAAAAGCTTCTTTAAATTTTAATTAATCTTATCTAAAACTCCTTAAAATATTCCTTTAAAGGAGGCTGCGTTCTTAAACTAATATCATTACCAAATCAAAATATATTATTTGAAATAGCAGATTAAGGAATAGGTATTGAATAAGGTCTATTATAAAAGTTATCAGATATAAGCAAGAACATGGATAGAAATAAAGAATTTGTAAAAGATTGGCATGGAATAGGTTTAATAATTTCTTCTATTATTTTATAATACCTTGCTCCTCCAGATATGAACTCTTTTAATATTAAGTCAGAAGGGGAGAACAAAGGAACGTTTATTTCCTTTTGTATACAAAACTTTTTTCGAGTTCCTGCATCCTAATAGAATATCAAGAATAGCACTTCGAATTGTATGAATATTGGAAGTGCATCAAGTCAATTCAAGCAATTGTCAGCTTCTTAATAAATACAACTTAATAGTTCTCTATTCAATGTTATGGGGACTATAGTTAAAGCCACAGAATTTCACATCACAAGCACTCAAATCAAAACACAATTTGCATAGTATTCTTCAAAAAGATCTTAAAATGACTCTTTTTATTCTGAAAGCAACGATGACTTCTTAGAAAAGAGATTGGATGATTTAGAAAGTTTGAATCCCTTTTTGATAACAGATATCAATAAGGTTTACAACAAAGTAAAAGATAAATCCTCAAAGGTCATAAATTTAAAATAAATTAAATAATTAGAGGAAAAAGAATCTGAATTATTCTTGAGTGGATTAAATAGTTTAAAAAAATGTAATTGCATGAGAATTTTAAGTGTTGATGATGAAATTTTTAATTAAAAGTCCTTATAAATTTTGATTTCTAAAATGGGATTCGAAGTGCTGCTAGCATTTAATGGCTAATAAGCCATTTAAATAGTATAAAATTTATAAAAGTGTTGTTCATCTTGCAATTTACTTTCTTTAATTCTAATGGATTATCAGATGCCAATAATGAATGGAATTGAAGCAACAAAATAATTAATTAATATGATGAATAAATGTTAAATTCCTTATATTACAATTGTTGGATTAACAGCATTTACTAGCTAAAAGGATATAGATAACTGCCAAAAGGCAGGGATGGAGTAAGTGCTTGCTAAACCATTAAATATATAAGAATTGAAACAAATTTTATTATGTGTATTTAAAAAATATTGATAGTAAATGATTTTATGAATTAATTTATATGATTTATAAGTACACTTCACGTCAAAACTATTATTATTATTATTATTATTATTATTATTATTATTATTATTATTATTATTATTATTATCTTATTTTGATATCATCTATTTTCCCCTATTCAATATTTTGAAGAAGCCACAGACTTAAGTTGAAATATTTCGAATGTTCTATCTATTTTAAATAAATACTTGACAATTCAATAACTTTTATTTTATTTTCCTTTCCAATCTATATAATATATATCATTGTAAACATAGTCAAATCTTCATTATTGATTTCGCTTGAGATGGTGTATCTTTAAATAACTAGCTCATAATTCAATGAAACTGATTCAATTTGAGCAGGTAATTAATATAACAGCTCATTTAAATCAAATAAATCAAATAGAATCAAAACTCGCTCAGAAATATATATCTCATCTTAATATCAAATTTTTACCTTTGCGTGTGGTAATATCCCTAAATAATTTTAAACTATATAATTTCAACCGTTGTTAATTCTATCCCAATAACTAAGTCGCCTTCACTAATTCTAAAAATATATGATGAAATTCAAATGAATCCATTGAGCATTTATGACATCTGGATTTAAAGAAGCTTGACAATCTCTACATTTCGAAAGAGTTACATTCAATTAAGAGTTTGTATTCTGAAGGTGTTGACTTTTACAGTTGCTATATGGGTTCCAATATAATATAAAATTTGATGATTAATTGTATTTATTCGTATAAATTAAAGGAGTGTGGGATGGTGAAAAAAAGAGGAAATCTATTATAAGGCAATCCCTATGGGCAAAGGAATTAATGTGTCAAACGAAATTGTTAATGAGATGAAATTAATAATTTAGTGAAAAAATAATTTCTCGTTAAGAATTAATTTAATTATGCCTTAAAAATGGTAAATTATATGTCTATGAAATAAAATTAAAAAAATTAAAACATTAATATTAATATTAAAATCCAATTTTTTATTCTAATCAGACAATATGTATTTCTATATAAGATTAATAAAAAGGCATTAATAAGAATATCCTCCAATTTATACAATAAAAAATCAGAGATAAAATTTGTCTCTAATTTTTATACTAAAATCAAAAAAAATGTCTCACTAGAATGAATTATCTTTTATTATTATAAGTACATATTTCTATTAAAATACTTTAATGCGAAATAAATGTTAGCTCATAATTTAGAAAAAATTAAATAATTTCAATAGAAATTTATTATTAACATAATGTAATTCAATCATCTTCTAAAGATTCCTCTTCGCCTTCATCGTCATCATCGTCCTCATCTCCTTCAAAATCATCTTCTTCATCTTCAGCCTTCAGTCCCAAATAAGTGAATAAAGCTTTTGGTATGATTGAATTCACAAATTATGATCCCAACTCATAATCAAATTGCTCTCTCTCAACTTTCTCATCTTCATTGTTGATCTAATCAACATCTTCGAAGAAATGGAAAAATGTTGGGGCTTTCTCCTCCTTTTCAATTTCCCTTGTTTATCCTGTTTTCTTATTCTTTTATTTGCGTTTAACAATCTTCTTGGTGATGTTTTTACCCTCCTTCCATTTGATTGAAGATCCTTTTTATTTAGTTGGAAATTCCTCATCTGAATCCTCAAAAACATAGGATTTAGTTAAAATGCATGCACCAAAATGATCATTGTCTTCAAACTCAAAATTGATTGTAAAATCCTTTCCATTTTCTCCTAAATCAACATTTACTGATAATAAATGTCTAAATATGGTTTTATCTGCTTCAGATATCAATTTTCCTGTGAGACTATTATTCATCAAAACTTGACCCCAATAATTTTGGAGTGGAGATGCTTTGACATCTTTGACATCAATTTAATATGTATTTGCATCTTTAATTTCCTCTTCAGTTGGAGCTCTGAGTCCTTTGATGATAGCATTGATTTCATTTTATAAAGGAATCACACTCCTCAAATACTCTGTTTAAAGTTGGCGTACTTTCTTCGCAACTTGTTTCTCTGAATCCACCCATTTATTGAGATGGTGCTAGATTGCGATTGCTGTAGGTTATTATTTTGGAGGAAGTTGTTTAATTGCTTCTAAAATAGTTGTGTCCATAAATTAAAATAAAAAATTAATTCAATTAATACTATTATCTAAATCAGAAACCTTTAATTTAAACTTTGAAAATAGAGTCTAAAAATTAAACCGCTGTAATTATTAAGAATCGGAAAATATTTCTAATTCCAAATACAATCTCTGTCTGGAAGTTAAAAGGATATCACAATATTTTAATGCTTCCTATATTACATAATTGGAATTACATTAAAATCTTCATATTCACACTAATTGTTTCCCAAATGTTTTTTTTTAATATTGAACTATTTAATTGCAGATTCCATTCCCTAATCATATTTATGGAACAACTGGCAAAAGTATTCGAACATCTATTGCTTCTCCGATTCATCAAACAAATTAAATTCCCCTAATAATTTCTTATACACAGATTTTATGATAATCTTGGTCTACGTCCTCTATCTATCATATAGAATATGATCCTCAGTGTTATCCTCTATCAAATACCTTGCCAATAGACTTGATTCATCCTCATTTAATTCAAAGGGTGCTTTCTAAAGACGTAAATTAAGTTTCTTCAAGAGTCATATATTCATCATCACCTTCACACAGAATTTATTCCTATGTTTCATAATCAATATTATTGCTCAATAATTTGATTTTTAAATTGCTCATGATTTCTTTGATGTCATAAGAATTTACTTTTAAACATTGTTTTTTATTTGTAACAGGTAATTATAATTGCAGTTTCTAAGGACTATTATTACTTCTAGGACTACCATAAATTGTCATTGCTTGTTTAAGACCTATTGATTAGAGTGAACCTTCTTATGATTAGTCTTGATCATCTCTTCTCTAATTCAATTCCTCAATCTACTTTTTTAGCATATTGATTCTATCCTGCAATTTTTCCTTTTCTTTATTTTCCATAGATTTGAATACATCATAATTATGTTGTAATTCTCCATTCTTTGACTCCAATTCTTCTATGAGTTTTTTATTTTATTATAATTATTTGGCTTAATTTTAGACCTATTATTACAATTCATCTATCTTTTTCAAATAATCTTCAGAGGGAGTTTACTTTTTAGTATTTTGCATTTCCTGTCTCATATACATCATGTGTTTATTAACAGAGTCAAATTGCTTCTCCAAATCTTTCAACCTACCAGTCAATCTATCCTTATCATTCTTGAGAGATAACAAACTCTATTGCAAACCATGATTCTCCTATTATAAACTGAGAATCATTTAAGACAAATTCAAGTTGTCTTGTTTGTAGGCTTAAACTAAATTGATTTGAATTTAATCCTTTAGTGATTGATTTACCATCAGAGTTTCATTTGTATCTTGGCTGCATTTGCTACTGATGTACAACTACAATTTTTGATATGCTTCTTTTTATTCTTCTATTTCTGCCTCCAATTCTTTGTTCTTAGTCCTTTCAGGATTTCGTTTCAACTTAAAGACTTAGTCCTCAAGTTCCTTAATTAATTTATCCTGCTCTTTGATTTTTGCTCTCTAAGACAAGATGACTTGAAACTGTCTAAATCAACACATAATTACATCTTTTTAAGTTTCATTAGTTTTCTACACTTGTTTCTCGAAATTCGCATGCTCTTGTCTCTCCTTCTTCAATTCGAATTTGACTTATTACAATTCCTTCTTCAATTTCAAATTTTCCTCATACAACCCCTCCTTGTCATAAAGCATCTATTATGGCATTTAACTAAACACATATACAAATCAATTACCGATTTTTCTTGTTTTCCTTAATTCTAAAGGATGTACTACTACTATCATAGAGTTTCGATTATTGCTGCGATGATGTGATGCTGGTTAATGGCCTTTACATAAAAAATAAATAATGAAATAAAATAAAAAAACATAGAAATAAATCATAACCCTTTTTATTTAGGTACTTTCATTGGCCAAATCACAGATTAATTCATCATCTTATTCAAAATCTCTGCTCCCAATACCTTTGCCAGTTGCTTAGCTCTCGTTTTAGCAACTAAAATAACGTTATTTATTTAATATACCTCTCGAACACTAGAAATAGAAATAAAAATTAATTGTTTGAATAGTCAATTAAAATGATATGCCAGTTAGCTAAATTAATAATAACAGTAGTGAATACATTGAGAATATGAAAGCCAATTACATTGACTACAGCTAAAAATCCCCATGCTAATATCGCTAGTACCAATGTTGCCCAAAAGATAAAAGAATTCACTTAACTCACCTAACTCTCATTTACTCTAGTTTCAAACACCCATAGTTGTTCTCCTGAGGCTTCATCTATTTCTTCCCACCATCTTAATCCTACAAGGAGTCTGCCTGTGATATTCTTTGTAACCCAAAAATCAACTGCTCCAATAACAATCACTATCTCAGGCAAAGTCCAACTATTATATTTATATTTTTGTTACGCTTCTCTTATGAATAGTCCTCCGAACATATAAACAGCCAGGGCAATCCCTTTGATTGCAAAATGAAATAAAGCCACGGAGGGATGATCAGATTTAGTATAATCAAAATTGTATCCTTCCATTTACTCTTTGTAAAATCCATTCAAGCTTAAGACGCTGGTTGTCATCTATTCATAGATCAATTAGTACTTACATCTTATTTATTCTTCTCTTTATACTGTTTGTACTCATTAATCTTACTAGGTGTTGGCTACTAGAGATTACTGTTCACCATGTTTGATTGAACCATGTTAGATTAGCCTTGAAGGTGTTAATGGTATTATTATTGAGAATTCACTTATTAGATTTGTTCGTTGGTTGGGATTGGGATATTTGGATCGAGCAGATGTTAGTAAGGATTTTAAGAATTCATGATTATTATTATGATTATAATTCAATTTAATAAAAATAAGGCCATTATTTGCCGCTTAATATGAGATTACCACCTCTATATGCAATCCCATTTAACACCTTGTTAAACATAGGGTCTGTATACCCTTTGCCCTTCACACTCTCAACATCCTAGATCAATGCAGTAAAGTCAAGAACATCCATCAACTTCCCATCATGTGGATCTATCTAAGCAATCAATGGAGTCTCATAAATGTTGGCTAGAACAGTGCCATCTCCAATGATTTCTAATTCATTCAGTTTATTGAGTGCTTCTCCATTCCCTAAACGTACGCTTACTGTTTTCTTAACCTTAAAGTCACTTGGATCAACATGATACAATCTATTTGTTCCGTCTGATATTAAGAGCATCGCATCCCCCTCATTATTCCTATAGGAGGTCATCCCCCATCCTTCCTAGATTTCTCCTGGAATTTCCAATTCTTTAACTAATTGCAAATTGCTATCCAATTGAAATGCTTTTCTCTCCTTCCAAGTCAACATATAGATTTCATCTTTACCGTTTTTGTTTTTAATTTTTGAACATCCCTCACCGAAATACTGTTTACCTATAGGCTAACGTAATTTGAGTTCTATTTTCTTTTTGTCAAAGACATTATCGACATAATGTATCTCAGAATCGCCATATAAACCTGTACTCTCTAATAAAACATCATCTGAAAAAAAGGAGAGGCCTTCTGTAAAGAACAGCAAATCTGCTGGTCTCTATATTTTATCCTTTATTATATAAGAGACTTTGTCAGACGCCTTAAAAACAGTAGGATCTTGACTAAATGATTAAAATAGTAGTGAAATGAAAATTAAAAACATATTTAATTATAATATCCAAATATAAGTAAAATTTGAATTTCAAAATATTACTCAACACCATCTTCATTAGCCATAAAGCATCAAACTTTTGGCTTTTATTGGACATCAAAAAAATAACGAGTTTTAAGAACATTAAATTACAAATATGGAATTTGAAATAAAAAAAGAAATAAAGTTATGGCTTTGTACTTGATATTCAAAAATTTAAATTATCTTTCAATATTGAGATGTGCGGCAAATTAATGTCAATTGAATTTGAAGTATGCGCTAGGAATATATGTGTATATCTTGGGTTTGGGTGACAAAATGTCATAGCTGCCCTTGTAGCTCAGTTGGTTAGAGCGCGAGTCTCATAATCTCGAGGTCGTGGGATCGACCCCCACCAAAGGCAGATATTTTTTTAATTATGCTGCATGTAATTAATAATTAATTTATTAACTAATATAATTGTTAGTAATGTAAAAGGTATAAAAATTCAATTTTTGGGGTATTTTCAAGACCTAAATTACACATTTTTGATAAGGGTGCTAAACACACTCTATCAGGAATCAGAGCAACTATTCATGGTGGTCCTAGTTTTTCAGGAATTTATATGGGTGGTATACTTGGAAATATAGGATCAGAGTTGATATTTCCTCACAATCACTAATAAGGATTAAAATAAGATGAAGATATAATTATGAAGATCATCTAAGAGAATTGAAGACATCATCAGGACCTGGTTAAAATTGGTTATTGCACGAAATGAATTATGATAACAAGAGATGATAGAGTGAACAATGAAGAATTCAAATGTAGGTCCAAGAAATCATTTAAACAATAGAAAGGATTTTGAATGGATCAATATCACTGTACCTAAAAGAATTGCTGAAGCCTGTGCTAAAAACCCAAGAGTAATCAGATTTATTCATTTTTCTGCTTGTGGTGCGAATCCTCATCCCGAATCCTTAGATTTATAAACTAAATACATAGGTGAATAGGAATTAGAGCATGAAATTAATATAGATTTTAAATGCTTTTCCAAATGCCACCATATTCAGACCAAGTGTGATTGTAGGAGACAATGATGATTTTGCATATCATTGGTAGGTTCAGAAGAGACACTTCCATAATTTCAATATTGTACCAGATAACTGTTAAGCAAAAAAGACAGCCTGTAAGAAAAGAGAAATATAATAGATTTTTGTTCAAGATGTATTCTTAAGCTATGTTGAATGTTTTGAAAATGCCAGAGACTATAGAATAAACCTATGAATTGGGAGGTCCTCATGTTTATACTTTGTTGGAATATTATGAAATGTTTCATAATATTGTTCAAAGACCGCTAAAATTGGCACACATTGATAAATAACTATTACTAAAGATCGGTAAATACTTTTAAATATATAAATTAGCTTAATATATTCCAAATTGGAAGTATTTCAATATAGATTATATCTTAAAACACGGAGATGATATGGTCGTTTAAGTTGGATCAAAAATAATTGATGATTTATGCGTTAGACCATTGTAGTTAACACAAGCACTTTAGAATATCTTCTGGGATATTCAGGCTCGTTATGGTGGATCAAGTGAATTATATAAAAGATGATTATCACATAGTGGGTTATCGAAAAAACGATTAGAAATAATAATAATATTTATTCATAAATATCTCTTTAGTATTTCCTGAAGTTCTATTTCGCTTACAGGTTTTGTGATATAATCTGACATTCCTGCATCTAAGCACTTCTTTTTGTCTTAGTAATCGGAATAGCCACTGCAGCCGATAACGATCTAACTAGGATTGAGAGCCAGTATTTATTTAGTGGTTTGAATTCCATTCAAAATGGGCATTTCTACATCCATGAATATGAGTTTGTATCCTTGGCATGAATTGTTGCACTTTTTGTTTTTCACTTTTTCTATAGACTCCTTTCCAGAAAGAGCAGATTCTACATCAATTTGTTGGTTATTGTTTTTCAGAACTCCTTTTAAAATTTTGTTGAAGGCATAAACATTAAAGCATTCATCATCAACAATCAAACAGTGAGTACAATACGAAATAATATCCTGAGTTATTTTCTATTACTCTTGGTTCAATGTAATAATGTCATCAACGTCCTGACAAAGAGGATAGACTTCAGGAATTTTAAAGATTGCCACTTTTTTTTTTTCAGGTAATTCTATTAGCATATCGAAATAAAAGAACGAATAATGATTGTCTTCATCTTTTTTAGATTCTATATTCAACCCAGTGCATCCGATAGTTTAGGCAATCTGATTGCTGATAACTAATCCCAAACCAACCCCTTGTTCATTTAACTTTCTGCTTTCCTCTGAATTAACTTTAGAGAATGCCTTAAATAACATCTATTGCTCCTCATTACTGATCCCGATGCCATCATCTCTAACTCCAATTCTCAAAAAAGCAGACTAAAGCGAGATGATAACTTCTATTCTGCTACACGTGAATTTGAATGCATTGCTTAATAGATTCACAATGATTTGTTTCAACCTATTCTTGTCTGACATTATGAGCTTTGGGATATTGTTACTGAATTCTGTTAATAACTAAAGGTCTTTCAATCTAGCCTTCAAGGCAAACATTTTGATGCAATCTTTAATTAAATTCTCGATATTAATAGATACCTTATTTATTTTGAATTTGCCATTCTTAATTTAAGCCAAATCCAATAAATCATTGGACAAATTTAACATATATTTGGAATTGTCCAAAGCTATTTATAGATTCTCAGCTATTTCTTAATTACTTTTTATGATCGGATTCAAGAGAACACATTCGATCATCTGTATGATGCAGCCTAATGGTTGCCGGTATTCGTGACTCACAAATGATAGCATCTTCGATTTCTAAATATCATAATCCTTTAAATATCTTATTTTTTATCTATGTGTTACATCTCTACAAATTATTAATATGCTCCTATCTTTAGTAAGGGTCAAAGTGAACTCCATCAATCTTTCATTTTATTCATGTCTGGATTAACCTCCTGCATTAGATTAAGAGATTGTTATATTTTTATTTGTGTTTAATGATATGCTTCCACTAAAATGAGTATTCACTGTTATAACATCAGTTCTCCTGGCTTATATCATTCTTTCAAGTAAGTCTTTCATACTGATAGTTTGATATTTATCAAACATTTAAAAGTCTAAAAGTGGCTATTTCACTGAACAAAACAGTTCCTTCTAAAGAAAGATAGATTTGCATAGGCGAGAATGTTATAAGTTCGATAATCGTTATTGAACAGATTCCCTTCTCGAACTAGGATCATCTGAGATATCTTAACCTTAAATATGCAGAGTATTTAAACTCTCCAAGATATACAATATCTCTCCTTCCTATTCACGACCAAATAGAATTCTGGTGGCATTATTTACATACTGTATTTTGTAAGACTGAGTCTTCTCATCTTATATATCCAATACTATTAAGCCTTCTTATAAAAAGTCAAGAGAATTATAAATAATTTCTGAATTGATATAATGTTATTAAATATTGCTAAAATTATTGCACAGTATTCTTGCGCTCTCCTTTGATTGATCTAATATAAAATTTTTATCACTGTCAGCCACAGAAACCACTCTTTTGGCTAAGCTGTCCAGTTTCTGCATAGGCCCGCCATCAATTGGAATTGTTGTATTCAATTAACTTTGGTTTTTCTTTTTCAATGTCACATTCTGTTAGAAGGACAGTAATAAACACAACATTAATTGTGGTTACTCTAAGCCAAACTTGCTCACAGTGTGTAAATATATTTACTAAAATGCGCATACCAGGATCATTAAACCATAATAGAAAAACATGGGGTTTATTAAAAGCTGATTTTATGTCCTCACTTATTTAATCAGATCTTTTGAAAGGTATTAACATATTATTAATTAAGCGTAAGAAGCGTGGTTTAAGTTTTCGTAATTCAGAATTATTAGACAGATCAAATCTATTTGAATACAGAATATAGTTCCAATGATTTTCACTCTCAATTTAGCATAATGAAATAGTAATACAATAGGGAATATCAAGCATAGGATTACCAAACATAATAAATTACTTGTATTCCTACTTTCGAGGTAGAAATAAACGGAGTAACAAAATGACATCCAATGAATTGCTTATACTTTCACAAATTATCTGTCCATCATATTCTAAAGTCCTTGGCTTTTCGATAAAATATTAAAATAAAAACTAATTATTACAACATAAAATAATCACTTTCCCTCTTCAGACATTTCTTTTTATCTTGTCTAAGTTGTATATACGTTACCATCCTAATTTATTATATTAAAAAAACAAATTAATTTCATCATCACACCAGCAATTTCGAAATTTTAAGAAATATACTTTCCCATTTACCTCTCCAATTCAAAAATAGAACACTACTTATTCACTTCCATTATTTTCCTGTTTCATCTTTCTCATAACCATCTGCTCAAATTCATTCCCACCCAAACAATAAATACAAAAATAATTGATTAGATCTAAGAATTTTAAGAGACAATTTATTGAGAAATAAGATAATCTCATGATTATGATTGATTATTATTATAATGATCACGAGATGGAATGCTGAAATTATAGATGATTTGCCTATGCAATTCTGAATCTAATGTAATCTTCTCCATTTAAAATTGAATGACGCTTAACATTTCTTTGTTTTTATCTTGATCCACATCTCCCAATACCTTCTTCACCCATCTACTGTTGTATTTATTCAGTCGTTTTTGGATTTATTGTGCCTTGTTCAACTACTGAAACTTAAGAACTTTGCTATTGTTTTACAAAGCTTCCCTTTCTGATTTCAATATTTTTATTGCATTCTATATATCAGCTGTCTAATTTAACGCATTTGTTATCTATTCGACTGTATAATCATTTCCTAATATCATCTGAATTTATTCAAGAGGCGATTTCTCAGGCTTTTTTGATCCTTTAATAGGCAAGGGCTTCTTAGCAAAACTCATAACAAATTTATAATTATTTTCAACTAATTAAAAATAACATTCAAATCATCTCCTATAACGAGGCTTCTTGAAATTAAACCATAAATGAAGGATTCCCCTAGAAAAGACTGATTTAAAACCCATACGATCAGAATAATCCCACTCCTTGCATAAAATTTAAAATGCTAAATCCTCATACGGAGGACCAGCAATAAATCTGATAATGCAATAATCTGGATTCTCACAAGTTTCCAAAGTGTATTTAGGAGCCTTAAAATTAATAACATCAGAAATAATACTTAAGTTTTATCTATCAATTCTGGATAGAAGACATTAAATTTGTATCCTTGAATAGTCTTGGGAGGGGGATTGTCAACATCATAATGAGTTTTATTATACATATTCCAATCGAAACCCATTTTAACTCTGTTGAAATATTAAGGACGCTTCAACTTATATTTTTAACTCCATGATGGTTCTTGTCTTTAGGGTACAACTTCATTAAAATATACTTCATCTTCTTCTAATGGCTTTGATCTTTCATATTCAAACATTTATTGTGCCAAAATATCTAATCCTTCAACATTATCTTCTAGTTTTCTATTATTTGGAATTGAAAATTCAGGCAATTTATTTTATTTTCCCTTTTATTTTTCCTTTTCTTTTTCCTTCTCTTTCTTCTTCTTCAATTATTATTTTTCTAATTCGATTTTGGCATTGTTTAGGAATTCTGTTAAAATTGTAATTCTCTAATCAGTTAGTTATTTCAAATCATCATTTTCCAATATAAATTCATCACAATCAACAGGATCTGGACTTACACATTCATATTCTGTTTATTCTTAAATTTCAACCTAATAATGATATTTTTCTGTGGCATTTCTTTCTACATTGATTTATATATCCTTTGTATTGATTCCTACATCCAATACTAATTAATTGTCTTACCTCATACTCTTATACTTTAGATCCTTGCAAAAAACCTTATAATAATTTTTTAATATAGTTTTAGCCTTAATAACCTTTAATTTCTTTAAAATCTTTTCCCAATAATCAAAATCTATTTTGTATTCAGCTCCATAATTCAACATCTGATTGATCTCTCCCTCCAATTCATCTAATCCTTCTCTTGACTTGCCTTAAAACATCTTCTTGATATCCTATTTGAATTCACTCTGTATTCCGAATTTTGGACATTTTGGATCTTTTTCTTTTTGTTCTCTCCACTCTACTTCTGCTTAAGCTATTGATATTATGGATGCCCAATAATCTTAGAAATTACTTTTATTGTCTATTTCTATGGCAAATTATTTCTTTGATTCATTCAGTATTACTTTTTGATCCTCATGACCTAGAGTCTTGATAAATTAAGATGGATTATGCATAATTTATTCTAATTGCTTCTGATGCCCAATTTAACCCTAAATTTATATTATATATATTATACTTTATATATGCAACAAATTCTAACAAATTTATCAAAGGGAAGTTCTCTTTATTATTGGATTCTAATCAAAGGTCTCAGCTTTTCAACCTTCTCAAAAAATGCATCCTCATTATCAATCCACTGTTTATAGTTTTCCATTTGTCTTTCTTTATTTAATCTATTTTTCTCTTCCTCCAATTTTATTTTTTCTTCCTATTTCTTCTACCTTTAAGATTTTAATTTTTCTATCTCTTTCAACATATCATCTAATTTCTCTTTCAATTCATGCTCAGATATTCCATGCAGACCTTTCTCATCTAACTTACTCTTCCAGATTAAAGACTTAGCTAAATTTTTATCACCATAAGGGTTGTCCTAATCAGTATAACCAATTTTTTATAAATACTTCTGCTTCATCTTATCTAATGAAGCATAAGCCTTTAACAGTTGATTTTTTGATTGCATCTTACTACTTTTTTAATATTTCTTTATTGATTAGTGTTTTCTTGAACTTCTTGATCTAGATGACGAAGAAGATGATGATGAAGGTGAGGAAGAAGATGATGAAAATGATAGTGATTCAGCAGATGATGCTGAAGAGGATTCATTTGCTTGTTTTCTTTTTAAAAATTCTGTCATTTATTAAATTAATAAATATATATATATATAATGTTAATTTAAATATTTTTCATCCATTCATTATTAATTACTTCATTGATTGTGATAAGAAACCCAGAATTTCAAATCTTCCTAATTATAATTACCTTTATTTCTTTGAATACATATTTTATTATCCTAAGCTTTAAAGACACAAATATATTGAGGAAGTTAATTCTTTTTCCTCTTATTTTAATACTTTATTAAAGGTTTGTTGATAATTATAAGAAATAGCCAGCTCCTCATCAAAAGTGTGGAAGAACTGAAATCTGGCTTGTTCCCTTTTAGAGGAATTTATACTAAAGGTTTACAATAGGAAAAATAAGATTTATAACATCATTTTACATATTTTATTTTCATGAAACTGAAATTTCTTCAAGAGTGAATCAATATTAAGTAATTTGTTATTCTTGATAATTTCGTCATTATTAATAAAGGTATATAGATCGAATTATTTATAATTGAAAGAAGGTTTTCAATATGTATAGCTTAAAATTCTAATTAGCAAAATATGAGTAAAAAGTAAACAAATTAAATTTACATTAATTTTTAAGTTAAATATTGCGAAAGCATATTTATAGAATATTATAATTATAAAACTAAACAATATATTTCACCTTAAGTGTTACAAATCAGAATCTGATAATGGAACTAGAATATACAAATTTTCTATAAATAAATAGTCAAATTTTACAATTCTAATGATTTATGGCTTGTGTAAAGTTTTTTTCTAAATATTGAATTTTAATAACTAAAATGTATGAATTTTAATTTCATGATAATTTTAAATCAGAATAAATGTTTTTTTTTAAGTTAAATGAAAAATTAAATATTAAGTTAAGATCAAACCCTTAAAAGAATTTTATCAATAATATTTCATGCCTTAATTTACTAGACTTTTGCTAGATTTAAGAATTCTAGATATATTATATTAATTCTGTTTTTAAGAAAATTAATACAAAAATTTAATTAAAATTTTTTTCTTAAGAATACGAAAAGTTTTAAAAAATTTGGATTTGAATGTTCGATAAGATGTTTATTAAATTTCAAAGATTATTTCTTAGAGATAAAGTCATGTCAAGAATTCATATTCCTTTGTAGTTCTACAACTTTATAATGATAAATTGTTGCATAGGAGCAAATGCAACTATTGCCATGGCAAGCTTCTTAAAAAAATTGATTGCATCAACAACTTGTAGGACATATTATGTCGATTTAAATGCTTATTTTTCCCTTTAGAAAATCGTAATTATATTAAATTTTAAACTAGATTTTGAAAAGTAATTTGGTGTTATTTGATTTTAAACTTGAGTTGAGCAATAGTTGATTGAATAGCTTATTTAGGTCTCATAAATGTGAAATAGACTGAACATTATTAAAAATTGAACATAATTAATGATTTTATATTAAATATTATTTTATATGGTATTTGATATAATTAGTATTTAGTTTTTATTGATGGAAATTAATATCGGAAATTTTTATAAATTTGGTGAATTCATAGAGGAGGACACTTAAATTATAAAAGAGTATAAATCTATGATTTAGATGAAAGACAATTTTGAAAAAAAATATTGATAATGACATATATGATATATTTGTGTTTATAATTTAATAAGCTTAATGTAATCAGATTTTGAATAGATTTTTATTAATCGCATGTTTTCCTTTCAAGTGACTTGTCTTTTATTTAATTTTTGAATTGTAAATGTAGCTGACACAATCTTTTCTCAAAAATTTATTACTAAATATATAAATCAATATTTACCACAACATTCTAAATAGTCGGATGAATTCTTCATCTCTTGTATAGTTGTTTATATGTGATAAATTTCTGATTTTATTTTAGATTTTGGTTATGAATCTGAAGAAATATGTGGCTTTTTTTTAACCCAATTCCTTAACGATACTTGAATTTTGTTATTTAATATATAAAATGACAGCCCGGGCATAGTTTTTCTGTAAATTAGTTGAGCCCTTCAACTGATTAACAATATTATTTCTATCAGAATTTTCGTTCGAACACATAACTTTATAATCTTCATCTTTGTCATCTTAATCATCAATATCAAAATCAAAATTATGACTATCCTAGGCTTCAGGTGGCTTTGTTTCCTCTAGATTTTGTTTTTTTATGATGTTAAAACAATTCTAATTCGAAATTTCTTATTCATTTATTTAAGGTTAGGTTTAAACAACGATTTATTATGGATAGAAAAAGTAGGGATTGTAAATTTACATTGGATAATAACAAAACATAGGTTGAGAGGGAATGTTATAATTCTACATTGAGGTTGTTTGGTTTTGCAAATTATATTAATGAAATTATTTACGTTTCTTCTACGATAAAAATACCAAATTTATTAACAAATCAAAATCTTTCTTTATAAGAAGGATCCTTTATCGGTTATTTGTGAAAAAAGTATTCTTCTAAAACTGAGAGAAATTATTTAATGAGGTTAAAACAAATTTTTTTACTTTTACACATATCTAGAAATGCGATATTTTCTATCTTCTTAGGATAAAGTTAAAGAACTATGTTTTAATCTAATTTTCAACTTTTTAACCCCAAAATCCTCCACTTAGAATATAAACTGTTTTGTGATGTAACTGACATATAAAAAATATTTCGGTTACATCAAGTACATAATATTTTTTTTTTTTAATATTCATCTACAAAAAGATATCTATATTGACAATATAGATTTTGAACATGAAAGCATTGGAAAAATAGAAAATAAGACATATTCCCAGTTGTTTTTAAGGTTGACACATATAAAATATAATTTTAGAATTAATATACTTTATCTTGTCATAACTTTTTTAATATTACCAAAGAGGTTGTCTATAAGAATCCTCTTATTTTTTCATATACTAGAATTCAATATTTAGAATTTTCTTCTTAACATTTCATGAAGGTGTAAAATAATTACAATTAATTTATATTTAAATAAAATTCTCAATAATTAATATACCTTCTTTCAGTCGTTAAATTATCCAACCCATTTATTAAATAAGAGTATATTTTTATTTTATTTTAATTTAATTTGTTTTATGTTTTTTTAACTATTTAACAATTACTTAAAATTTAGTTAATAGGTCATCAAATTCAAATTTGTCTCTTAATAAGATTTTTTCATGGAATTCCTTTTAGATAAGAATGTTGTTTAAAGATTTCAAATTATTCAGATATTGAACTTACTGATCATCGATTTGTGTTAACTTATTCTTACAACTAATTATATGATTGCACAAAATTAGGAATTTTTAATCTAATTTTTCTAAATTTCTTTTTATAAGGTATGGTTGAGGATTTTCTTTATTATAAGATGTCTCTGCGATTGTTTTTGCAATCTACAACATTTTATTTGGCTAAGTATTTATCAAGAATTATTCAATATAGAAGCTAATTATTTGATATTAATTGATTTTAATGAATAGCATTTTATTTTTTTTCTTTGGTTCTACCTTAATTCACAATCATTCTTCTCTCAACTAACTTATAAACAATTAACAAGAAATAAATGACAAAAGTCATGCATTAATTAATTATTTATGCTATAATTATTTTTACTCATTGTTATTGCTAAGAGTTAAATAAATTTAGTTTGGCAGATATATAATCCAGATAGTGGATTAACATCGTAGGATTAATCAATAACTTTTGGATAATACAATAAAGAAATAAGAGTTTGGCCTTCAGATGGAAGCTCTTTTAAGAGTGAATTTTAATTATCCGGCAACTTGCCTATGAGTCCTCAATTTCCTATTGCAAGAATAAATAGTAAATACGTAAGCTTTTACGTTGGGATAACAGAAAATAGTGGATCCACTCTTAGCTTATCTAAAACTACAAACTCGTAATATTAGTTCTCCTAGAATGCAATTACTTTTGTGCCATCCTCTAAACAGTGTGTATTAACTCCATCCGCTGATTTTAATACAATTCCTATAGGAGGGAAAAGGTAATTAACGTTAGATTTCATCAATTGTATACCAATTACAGGTTTATAGATTAAAGTGTTATATGAAACAATTAGTAAGACAATAATCCAAAAAAACAGAGAGAGATTTGCTTTCATAGAAGTGTCTTCCTTAAATGCAGCTGTAGACACTTCCATTTCTATATCATTCTAAGTGAATTCAACTTATTATCTGATTAGCACAATAACACTAAAGGTGGTTGCAAATTCATAATCTCTTCCTGTTTCTTCGATAGTCAATAAAAATAGCGGAACTTGTACTGGAGCATAAGCGGTATTCACATTTAATTGTGGAAAGAAATCAATGCTCTATTATAGTTATTCGTATTAGAATTAAGCAATAGATATAACCAAAATAAAGGAATAACTGCTATTAAATAGATTAGGAAAATAATATACAAATGTAAATACTTATGAAGGTTATGGATAATCCTTAATGGCCGATAATTCAAATAAAGATATAACTCTGACTGGATTAAGAAGCAATACAGTTTATACTATTTTGGCTATTTGCGAAGATGAATTATATTAATAGTCATAATCAGCAATATCATTTAATCGATGTGATAGCCAATAAACTATAAAGAAGATATAAATATAATCTTATCAATAATTTCAGACAATAAATTTGAGAGATATTGCTTGTGATCTTATGCTATAATTATCTTTAAAATAGAATTAAGTGAGTAGTGCAGATGGCATATTTTGTAATTAGATTGCATAATCAAAGATTAATGGAAATAAACAATATTACATTCCTTAAGTCAGTTAAACACAATTATCTACTTACACCTTTTTTGTATATCCAGATTATGCAACTACTTATGATTATACTGTCAATAGTGTCTCAATTTCTCAATATGAAATTTAAAAACAAACTATTGAAAAGATCATTCCCAAATTTCCAACTGTTAATTAGGAATTTTTTATTGCTGATGAAAATTTCTTAAATTTCACAATTACACTAAAAACAGATGGATTCATTTCAATTGGATTAGACTTATTGTAAACCTCTCTTCCTGATTAATATTAATTTTCAAATGGATTAAATTATCTAAACAATCCATTCATCAAGTTTTATAGGAAGTTCCTAATAGCAAATGAATAATATTGGTTTTAGTTTAAATTGAGTGATAAAAATGATTATTAGTTAATATATTAACTTGCATCAAACCCCTCAGATGGAGCTTAATATTCTCCTTTACAGGTGAGGAAATTTACATTAGTGCAAATGCAAGAAATTTACAATATTATTATTTGTTTGAGTTTTATAATGTTTTTTAATCTTTGAAATAATAATAATATTATATAAGATATTAATTTCTTTTATAATCTATGTATGCTAACTTGTTATCCTTAAAATCCTTATAGACCTCCAATTATAATTGTAATTTTTCATAATTGAAAATAATCAATAGAATTGGTATATTAGAAATCCATATAAGAAAATAAGGACCTATATAATGAATTCAATTGTTTTGGTAACATAAATACATAAACCTAAAAATTTCAAATTTAAAATAATCTTTCTATATTCATATACAAACTTGATCATTTAAGCTCGGAATATAGTTGTTTATTTCTAGATGTTTACTTATAATATTTTACTAGAAATTAAAGTCTGATACTCTAATTTAGTATATAAGAAATCAATAATTCTGAATTTGAAAAATTAAGGCGTATTTGATGACATGAGAATAATCGAAATTGGTCATTTTAATTATTAAAAATGATTGATGTAAGAGATAATTAATTTATTAATTTTGATGAAATTAGTGATTATACTTTTGCTTTGTCATATGCTATATTGTGTGGATGTTGATAAAAACACCTTCTCAAATTACAAGGACGTGAAAACACAACATCTTCACATAGAGTGGCTGTTGAATCTGAATGATAAAGTAGTTGATGGATCGGTTGAATACACATTGAAGGTTTTTGCAAATTAATTGAGTGAAGTAAGAGAAATGTGCTAAAGTAGGTTCATTTGGACATTTATAAAATGAATATCCTGTTTATCTATTATCCAAGCAATGGTCAAGTGTTGAAGTATCATGTAGAATCTGATCCAATTCAGAAAGATGAATAAGGGGATAAATTGGTGATCGAATTAGGGTAGGTGTACAAATATGGTGAAATTGTGAAATTCAGAATCAAGTATCAAATTGGTGAGGATGCTAGAGCACTTAGCTTTATGGATCCATCATAAACAGATGATAAAAGTATATAGAATAATCATTATGATTAGAGGCTCCATATTTATTTTCATAATGCGAAGCCAACAATTGTAGATCGATGATTCCATTACAAGATACTCCAAGCATCAAATTTACATATTCAGCCACAGTGATCACTCAATCACCATTGATAAATGTGTTTATGAGTGGAAATAGATTGCAAACTCAGAAATTCGAATTGATGGGCAACTATGAAATGAATTCCATTGCCAATATCTTTCAATTTGAATTAAACATCAAGATTCCAGCTTATTTGATAGCTATTGTAGCAGGTACAGTGGAGGAAAGATCAACTGGAGCAAGAACAGCCGTTATCTCTGAATCTAAAAATATTCAGAAATACAAAGACGAATTAGAAGACTTAGATCAATATGTGTAGTACCTTGAAGATTATATTGGTGAATATAAATGGGGATCCTATAAGATCGTGATCTTACCAGCTTCATTCCCTTTCGGAGGTATGGAGAATCCACTCTTAACCTTTGCCAATCCTACAATTATAGTTGGAGATAAGAGTGGAGTGAGTGTTGCTGTCCATGAAATCGCTCATTCTTGGTTTGGAAATACAATCACATGCAACAATTGGTCAAATATGTGGATTAATGAAGGATTTTGTGTTTTTCTAGAAAGAAAAGGGTTGAAGACATTGTTCAAGGATATCAATTTGGTTCATGTTAATTCTTAGGTTGGAAATAATGAAATGAATGCATTGATCAAAGAGTTCAACTCCAGTCAAGATGACTTTGTCAAATCATATGCTAGTTTACATCCAAAGACTGAAAATCACAATGCTGATGATAGTTTTAGTGTAACTAATTCATGTTATATGTTAGACTATTCCTTATGAAAGAGGATTCCAGTTATTGTATTACCTTGAAAAGTAAATCAATGAAACCAGATTCTAGCAATTATTGAAGGCTTGGTTATAAGAGTATGAATATAAGAGTGCAGATGAAAGTGATTTCTATAGATTCATGATATTGTGGTTAAAGGTTTAGTTGAGTGCTGAAGAGTTCACAACTGTTAAAAAGAGCATTGATAATGTCTACACTAAATGGGTTTATGATTATGGTTAACCACCCATTTAAGAGACTTTTGAGAACCCTGCATCCAAAGATGTGCTCCAATTAGTGAATGCATGGATTGAAGGCAAGGGAACTAAACCTTAAAACTATCAAATCTTTGATGGCTTTAAATCAAATCAAAAACAATTATTCTTGTCCTCCTTAACAGAGAAATCTAAGGATATTACAGAGGCAATTATGGTCTCTTTAGAAGATGCTTATCATCTAAGTGATTTGCGTGATGCTGAATTGTTGTTTAGATGGTATGCTCTTTCTATTAACACCAAATATGCTAAGGATACAACAAATCTATAAAAAATTAAGGCCTTTGTTGGAGTTGTCGGAAGAATGAAGATGGTGAATCCAATTTACAAGGCCTTAAATAAGTAACAGATTTTGTATTATGTTTAATAGGGAAACTGCGACCTAATGGTACCAGGAGAATTATGCATTCTATCATCCATTGACCAGACAATCGATAGAGAGCATTATAAAGAGTAAAACTATAATAGAATGATATCAACATTAAATATTCATTATTTATCTCTTCTAATTGGACTTAATTGGGGGGAATAGAAATTGTTATCTTTCTATTTCGGAATGATGAGTTTCTGACTTGTAAAGTCTCGAGCGGTCAACTAGAATACTTTGCCAATCGTAGCCGTAAAATGAGGTAGCTGATTAACAAGAGGAGATGAGTCCCAATTTTCATCATTGATTGAGAAGAGAGATTCATTATAAAAGTAACTACTTTGTAAGGCAGCTTTGGCTGTTATTCGTTCATCTGGATTCTTCCTTAGCATTGAATGCAGTAATTTTATTGCATTCTGATTGCTATGCTGTTCTTACTTAACACTAAAGTCAATTAAGCATTATTTATTTTTATGGAGTAATTCATCGTATGTTCTGCCCTTAAATACATTTTTCCCTGTTATTCTATATTATAAATTTTATTAATCGTACAATCTATAAAAGATGCATCCACAACTAAAGATATCGCAACTCTCAGATTACTGATTTCTGACTGCGGAGTTCAAAATTTCTGGAGCCACATATCCTGGAGTACCACATTTATAAAATAAGTATCTGTTGATCTTAGTAAATGTAGATAACCCAAAGTCTATTAAGGTGATCGTATCAAAATTATCTTATTCAGCCAGCATCAAATTGTCTGGCTTAATATCTCTATGTATGATCTAATTTTTAATTTAAATAAATTAAATGTACTCCAACTGAATGCAAGTAATTTACTCCTTCCAGTAGTCTTCTCATGATTTACAAGATTTGTTTGCTTGTTAACTTCTTTTGAACTTCTCCTTACTGATTTTCTAGATATGTAGACAATGATTGTCCACTCAATAATCTCATAACAATATAGAAAGCATATTGGCTCTAATAAATTTCGATAATCTGAGAACAGTAGATGGAGTCCTTGACCTTCAATAATATTTCGATTTCTTGTTCCAGAGAAGCCTACGAATATAGGAATTGATTGTCTACATAATTTAAAGGTTTGAGAGTTGTTTTATCAATTATTTTGATCGCAACAAATCTGTGGGTAAATTTGCAGAAGGCTTTCACCACTCTGGATGAAGCCCCCTTCCCGATTTACTCTTTAAAGTCGTAGAATTCATAAACATTATAAAAACTTACTTTGCAAGCAAGTAACTCTTTAAATCTAAGGAAAAGACATTTTTTACTTAAAAAGAATAGAACTATCGTCACTATAGAACTTTTTCTACTTGTTACCTACATGTATGATGAATCCGCAGAGTCTGTCGGTTTTGGTTATCCATCCCACAGTTGCATTCAGTCGGATCCTTAAAATATATTTGAGGTTCCGTTCACAATTAAAAAGCTAAACGTAGCCATTGAAATTACTTTGAACATACACACAGTGTCTCCGTTGAACGTTATTTAATAAGGTTGGTTAGTAATGAGGTTTTTGCTGTAGGTTAGAAAGTTGAGTATTTCAGTGTTAATGTTATTCATTTATATTAAAAATGAAAAAGCAAACGAAAGGAGAGCCTGATCTTTTGATTGAGTCGATGCAGAAACTCATAGAGTAAGTGTGTTAATCTATTTAATGAGTCATATGAACGATAGTAAGCAACATCAAGAGGAGATATTTCAATCCCTTACCCCTACAGATGTTCAAAAAATACTAACCAATTTTGAGGATAAAAACTAATTAATGAGGAAGACTTCAGCAGCCTTTTTATGTGAACTTGTTTTTGACAATCCCACAGTGCAAAAAGGATTTTGCGAGATTTCAAACATTCTGCCAATGGATGGCAAAGTAAGCATCTGATAAAATTAGATTTGTGTAAACAAAATCCCATAATCATTGTTGAGTCAAGCCAAACATTTGCCAGAGATCTTCGAGACAATTAAGAGTGCTTAGATCCCATTTGATAACGAATTAAATTATCCTTTGTGTTGGTATTTTGAAAATTAGAGAGACAAGGTGTGGAAGAAAGGTGTAAAATTCATCAAGTTTGAAAAAAGCAGCAATGGTGCAAAGACAAGAATTGAGAAGTTCATCGATCCATAGTTACACCTCTTTGGTTTCATAATTGCAAACAAAAAGGAAATCTAATCTCAAGATGAAATAAAGAAAGCCACAGTTTAGACTAGACAATAGTAGAGTGTTTCAACTTATGAATCAAATGTGAAGCGAATTCCCAATGTTTAGAAGATGAGACCTAACTCAGGACAATCCCCAATCCAATCAGTTAGTCCTCTCATTAAAAGACAGAGAGGAATGAATGCCTCGGTGGATTATGATACAAGTGGAACTAAATCATCTCTTGGGAAAACAATGATAGAAACAGAATAATTATAGACAATCAATGAGATTGATAGACCTAAATCGAAATTGGATTCTAAGAAGAGTACAACTAACAATAATATTTCAAATATCTAGAAGAGATTTAAATGATTATATTTTAATAACTAATAATAAATATAAAATGGCTGGTGTTTTAAAGACAGTTGGTGACTATTTTGAATTAGACAAGTATCAAAATGAGATAGCTCCATTCGTAAAGGAGAACTATGATATGTTATAAAAGATGGTTTAGACTAAAGAGAAGGAATGTTTGAACAAGAATTTAGATAATGAGTAGAAATACATTGAATGTATGTAAAAGTCTGCTGAGCGATCAGAAAGAGCATTAAAAAAACTTGGTAATTAGTTGATTATAATGCTGAGAATATGGAATTATGTATTGGAAATAAAAAACATACGAGTGTTTTCATAATGAAGCCTACAAAGATAAGGAATTTAAGAATTTTGAGAGATGCAAACCAATTGCTAATCGAGAATTATAAGAAGTCTTTTCAAGTTTTAGGTTGTGAATAATGATGTTCATTAAATATAAATTTTATTAAAAAAGATATGAATAAATAGCGTAAGACTCAATTGGAAGAGTTGCAGGAGAAAGAGAGTAGCTTTGGTCGAGTATTCAAAGTGGCTGGTCCATGTAAATAGTGTTCTCTAATATGAATAGTGGTCGTGGCTGAGAAAATGGCAGGAGCTAAGATGTTTGAGTTAGTGAAAGTCGGTTGGGATAAGTTGGTTGGTGAAATCATTAAATTAGAAGGTGATAATGCATCTATTCAATGTTACGAAGATACATGTACTTAAAGCTCATTTATAAATGATTAGCTGGATTGACAGTCGGTGATCCTGTCATGAGAACAAAGTCCCCACTCTCCGTTGAATTGGGACCAGGTATTCATACTAATCCTATGTAGGTATTTTGACTCAAATTTTCGACGGAATTCAAAGACCCCTTTAAGTCATTGCTGAACAATCTTCTTCCATTTTTGTACCAAGAGGTGTTGACATTCCTGCATTGGATTAAGACAGAATTTGGGAGTTCAAACCCTCATCTACAATCAAAGTAGGCTCAATGATTAGCGGTGGTGATATCTATGGCTCAGTCTTTGAAAATAATCTGTTTGATGAACATAAAATATTGACAGCACCAAGAGTCCAAGGAAGAGTCACATACATTGCATCTGAAGGAAATTACACTTTAAAAGATAAAGTTTTGGAAGTAGAATTGGATGGCAAAAAACACTAATATGGAATGAGTCACTTCTGGCCTGTCAGACAACCCAGACCTATCATTGAGAAATTGTAAGGTAATACACCACTCCTTACAGGACAAAGAGTTCTTGATGCACTCTATCCCTCAGTCTTGGGTGGTACATGTTGTATCCCAGGAGCCTTTGGTTGTGGAAAAACTTGTATTTCTTAGGCACTTTCCAAATATTCCAATTCTGAATGTATCATCTACGTTGGTTGTGGAGAAAGAGGAAATGAAATGGCTGAAGTGCTCAGTGAATTCCCAGAATTGACTATTCAAATGAAAGGAAAGGAAGAAAACATTATGTAGCGTACTTGTTTAGTCGCCAACACTTCTAATATGCCTGTGGCTGCCAGAGAAGCATCCATCTATACAGGAATTACTTTGGCTGAATATTTCAGAGATATGGGTTTCAATGTATCTATGATGGCTGATTCAACTTCAAGATGGGCAGAAGCATTGAGAGAAATCTCTGGTAGATTGGCTGAAATGCCTGCAGATTAAGGTTATCCTGCTTATTTGGCATCTAAATTGGCTCAATTCTACGAAAGAGCAGGAAGAGTCAGATGCAGAGGTTCACCTGATAGAGAAGGATCTATTACCATCGTCGGAGCCGTCTCACCTCCAGGAGGAGTATATATTTATTTATTATCTTTAGGATTTCACAGATCCAGTCACAACTGCCACACTCACTATTGTGTAAGTGTTTTGGGGATTAGATAAGAAGTTGGCTTAGAGAAAGCATTTCCCATCTGTAAATTGGACCATATCCAACTCTAATTATGAAAAGATTCTTGAACCATATTTCAATGCCTTTGATCCAGAGTTTTCTCATCTGAGAGTCATGTTCAAATAAATCTTACACGAAGAATCTGAATTGAATGAAATTGTCCAATTGGTCGGTAGAGATTCTCTATCTGAAGATTAAAAATTATCTTTGGAAGTATAATCCATTATTTCTACTTTTAGATTGCCAAAATCATCAGAGAAGATTTCTTATAATAAGATGCTTTCAGTAAATATGATTATAATTGTCCACTCTATAAAACTATTGGTATGATGAGATGCATAGTTTCATTCTTTGAGTGTGGAAAGAAAGCCATTCTTGAATCATCAGGAGATGCCAAAATCACTTGGAATATCATCTTGAATCAAACTAAGCCATAATTTGTCAAATTATCATAAATGAAGTTTGAGGTATTACCTAATTATATTAATATAGGATCCAAAATAACCTAAATAAGAATTAATGAATTATTTCACTAAATTCGTAGACGAGATCAAATCAGCATTTAGAAACTTAACAGATAAATGAGTATTAATAACAATTACATAAATAATTATTATATGATCAATTTTATTCACATAATTCTTTTCACATTAGTCTCCGCCAAAACTAATGAAGAAGAATTGAGAGAAGCAGCTTGTGTTATATTTTCCAGATATATACTACAGATCCATTCACAATAAGCCAGCCCGCAAATTGGAAAATTGATTAAGGAATAGAATTATAATTAGGATGATGCCATTTATGTAGTCTAAGCATCAGCACTTGACAAATGCTTAATTAATGTCAAACAAAGAGAAGTCACTAGAGTATTCTATATCTCCTATATTCTAAGATATTAGATGGATTACAAAATTAACAATTAGACATCGAAAAATATATCCATCTTCATGAAAATATTTAATATGACAGATTTATCAACAATTAAAAAGAAGTAGCTAAACTCAATCAATTAATTGAAATCATCAAGGATGTTGAAGAATTAATACAGACTTAATGGGTCAAGAGACCTGAAGTTGAAAAGAGAAGATAAGAATAAATAGAGTCTGAGGAAATGGATCAAGAAATTATTAGTCAATTGAATGAAGTCCCCATTGTGGAATAATTTGATCTCACCAAATTTTCATTGAAACACATACTTCTTAAAAATAAGGAATATCTGATTTTTGCAATGTTCATTTTAGTGCCCATTGTTTTATTACTAAATGGTACTTAATCTTATTAATTTCAGTTTGTTGCAAGACTAATCCTAAAAAAGATAAGAAAAAATCTGAAAAGAATGAAAAAAAGGATTCTACTTAATCCAAAAATGAAAATGAAGATAATAAGAAATCCTCCAAAGCTAAAAATAGTGATAAATCTGAGAAAAATAAAAAAAAAGAAGAATGAGTAGCATATTTAAATATTTATGTTACTAAAAATTATTAAAGATATCTATGTAGCTTTCTTAAACTAAACTTATAAAATTTATTTCAATATAATATACTTTAAATCGTATATAAATTAAGAATCCAAAATCTAATATATTTTTAATAGACCATCTTCACATTTATATTAATCTTGCAATGGAGATTGTATAACAATAATTCATTTTTAATATAATAAAAAAATATATATTATTAACAATATTAAAAATAATAATTGATTTCCAAAATTTTATTCTTCTCAAAAAATTTGCCTTAATCTATCTTTGAATCCTTTTTTTATCTAGCCCTTAGAGACCAATTACAATTTATTAATTGAAAAAATCATTAAATTTATCATTAACTAGCTATTATTTTTTAGTTCTTCAATGCTGGCTTAAATTTTATTCACCCAATTACTTCAATTTAATACTCATAGCCAAAAAGTATTTTTTCTTATTAAAATATAAATCTGCTCAATTTCAATCTTGAGGTCCGCTTAATTGTCATCAAGACTTTTATGGATATAAGTATAAGATAGTAAATAATAAATTCATGATCAAGTGGAAATAAGGGGAAACTAAATTAAATATTTTGGAGATGGCTTAACATTGAAGTTTAATTTAACTCATAACACAAAAATATATATGAAAAATCAAAATTTTATTCTTTAACTTTTTATTCTATGCAGTTAATATTTTTACACTACAGTTCATTTTGTAGGATCTAGTGTATTCGACTAATTGACTAATCAATCCCAATTGGGATTAATTTGTCTTCACCCCCTAAACGTTTTTCCCAAGAGAAAAGATAAACAAGAGGAGGAGTTAAAAACTTAAGAGCTGATGTATACTCTATTTGTTATATATATAAAATATAAGTTAGTTATTTTTAATAATAATTATTATTAAATGGAGCATCATTTATATATAGAGAAAATAACTGAGGAGAGGAGAATTCGAGACGAATAGTAAAATTTTAATTTAGGTTCCTAAGACGCACACAAAGACTATAGGAGGAGGAGAAAAACAAAGAACAATCACTTTAGAAACTTGAGTCAATTAGATTATAATAATTATAAGAACTTTAGGATTCTCGTAGACTGTAATCCAAATTGAATATTTCATTTATTTTATTGAAATCGGATGAGAGAAACCAAAAAGTAAAGGAATAGAATAAAAGAGTCAAACAATTATTAGAGAAATTTAGATAAGAAAAATTATAATAAGAAACTCAGAAAAAGTAGTTGGAAGAGCAGAGAGAAGAAGAGATCAAATAAAAACTACTTTAGATAAAGGAAAAGTTTAAAGTGTTGTCCACCGATGAAATAAAGGAACATTAAAATCAATATAAGAAATATTAAGAGGAACATTAGTAATAATTGGAAAACCTTCGAGTTCAAAAGAAATCATAAGAAACTTATTTTTCTCAATAGGTTTAATCTAGAATAAGGAGTAGAACATATTAATCTTAACTTGATATGATGAAAGAAGAGGAATAAAAGAGAAAGGAAAGTGAAGAACGAATAAGAAACCAAATAAAACACAGATTTGCCTATGATCAAATTGTTAAAGAAAACTTCTTGCCAAAAATATCGCATAGTATTGATCAATCAACTCATACGATAATCAATAAAAAATAATAAAATCAAATATCTCCAATAAAAAGTGACTCTAAGATTTTAGGCAATCAGTACTTGAGATAGATCCGAAAATTACCAAAAAGACCCAGAATTTAATCATAGATGGGCGTTGATTAATCATCATCTTCAACATTAAGGCGAGATTACCTTTCAGAAATTCGATAACATTCAAAGAGAAAGACTCCTTAAGCCCCAATCGATATTAAATTGCAAGCAGATATGTAAGGAATTATTATTAATAATGAAGGTTGGAAAGAGAGTCTAGATAAGCATACACAAAGAATAAGCTAAAAGGCGATTAACTGTTGATGGACTCGATAAAACAAAAAATGCTATTGTTAGAAATATGAATATTATGATACTATTTTAAGTTCACTCATTTAAAACCAAAATTGACAATTTTCTTAATTCCTGCATATATAAATCCGAAGCCCCATAATTCTAACTCCTTAATGATTGAACTAAATGTTAAATCTTTTCAACTGGCACAATTTCATTAAGTGTTTTCTTGGGTATCATCAAACTATTAAACTACAATATAACACTACCTAGAATTGACAGCATTCAATTCAAGACTTGACCTTTAGAAAGATAATCTTCCTGGAGAATGTTTTGAATATTATTTGGCTCTTAACGGAGATTATTAAGGAGTCACTTACTATGTCCTGGGAGATTTTGGAGATTGAGTTGTCTTTGCTAAGGGTTTCCATGTGATGATCCCTTTTTCTTTTACCTACTAAATTGGGTTCTTTTAATTTTAAAATCTAGTAAATAACTAATCTTTAACATCTTTTCTCAATTATTGCATTGAACCATATTACTAATTGCTTAGCATGAATGAACTCTATTGCATTAATTATTAAATATAATAACAGATAAATTGTATTAATATTATTCAAGAGTTTTACAACCATTACTGAAAATTTCACTCTAAATCTATTAGCGAAAATAGATTATCTCTTAAATTGATTACCCTTAAATGTATGAGAAAAAGACCAATAATTTATGAATTCTTTCAGCTGCGTACATAAACATTTGGAAAATGTTTTAATCCACCAATTTGTTCCATCATAATTTTTTATATATATAATTGTTTTTCTATATTACGCAAAATTGAATATATCTAGTACATTTTATTTGTTGAATATATATTTATTTATAGAAAACATACACATAGTTGAAAATGGCTGATATACTTACTCCTAATGATATAAATTAGATCCCAAAGGTTTAACTACAAGACCAAATGGCATCTCAGAACTAAGCACCTGCTGTACCATAAGCATAACAAAACAATCCCATTTTTGTATATCCTCCTCAAATGTAATCACAAAATCAAGTGTTTTATGCTAAAAATCAAGTCCAACCTATCTAGTACCCACAATTATAACAACCTCAGCTATATCTTTAATAACCTTTATTACCAAATTAATAATAACAATTACTTTAACCCTAGACAACCTAAAAACAGGATCCTTTGAAGCACTAGAAGCTAAGCAACGCTGGCTATATGGAGAGAAGACATTTTAACATGTCAGTCTTAAAATATTTCTTGTTCTTTCAAGCCTTTGCTCTCCTTTTGTGTTTATGTTCTTATAGGAACGGCTTCGTAAAGCTTTCATACAACTTGAATGGGTATTTCAAATTACCCTTCTACATTTTTGTTTCTGTAATGAGCTTGTCCTTATTGTATTCATACACAGCCCACAAAAGGTTAAGGGATAAACAACTTAGATTAATTTTGGTCGTGGCTTATACGTTGTCCTATGGATTTTTCTTTTAAGCTATTTACTCCTCTACTTATTATTACGATAATTCCAATTACTATGGAAGTCATCTGAGAACCTTCAGTGGTGATAATGAGATTGTAATTATCATACTGTGCTTCATCAATCTTGAAACTTATTCCTTATTTTCCTATTGCATGTAGGAAGTTGAACAACTAAGCATAAAAAGTTAAAATTAATAATTATATTTTAGAGTCATTCTGGTACATAGTTTTACCAAATGTCACTTTCGGAGGTATTCTGTTCTCTCTTTATTACAACTACGACATATTATGTATAATGACAGTAGTGAGTTGCTGTTATGGATTTTATCTCTAATTTACACTAAAGAGAATGATCGAATCTAAGAAAGTACATTTTCAATCATATTTTAGTTTAAATTAAGATCAGATGATGGTCAATTTGCTGCAGTTTTGTTTAGCTTCCTATTATTGGTTCCATTCTTTGATTTGAAATCCTTGAGCAATAAATAACAAGTGAAGAAACCCCAAAGTCAAAATTCTGAATAGAAAAATGTACAATGAGGAAAATTATAAAACAATATTCATAATTTATATCACTATTAAGTTATATACATATCTATTAATATAATTATCTAATGGCTCAGCAACAACGAAATGAAACGATAGTACCTATTTTAGTAACTTAAGATGAATATAATGAAATTATGAAATAACCAGATTATATACAATAACAACTCTTATAATAATTGCAACAGAAAAAGTAGGAATAATAATCATAAATATATCAGCATCCTTACTTACAATATCAAAATTAATAAGAAAATAGTAATAGGGGAATCCCTCCTATCCCTTAACACCCCAACGATAAGACATATTAATAATAACAATACTATTAATACACTCCTCAGCAATAGCTTCTTTAATAGTATAATCAAAATTTAAATTAAAATTTAATATAAAAAGAAATCATAAACTTGTAACATAAAGAAATTGAAGTTGCTGGTGAACATGAAGTCAACTACTTTAATCAAAACCTCGCCAAGTTTTTTTCGTTGGAATTAGCAATCTCTTTAGTGTTCAATTTTATATCAGCAATATTTCGAATGAAGATTATTAATAGTTATTGGCATTGGAGTTGCGGATTATGGATTGTCTTAATTTCATATGTTCTCCTGAATTTTTTCATTTTAACCAATCCAAAGCTAATTCTATAAGTATTTATTTGTAGTAACTATTAGAACAATCGTTAAAAGTCCATTTATGTTGTTCATGTAGTTTTATATTCCTTGTTGATGTAAGGATTGTAAACAGCAATATAAGGTTATGAATACTTCAGATGGAACTATTTCTTTTTCTTTTATTTCATGATAGCTGCTTGTCTAATTTCAGTAGGAATGACAATATCAAAAAAGGGGATTAAACTTGCTTAGCCAGTTTATCTACCAGCTGCAGTTGTTCCTGTGTGCTTTGTTTTCCTACTCCAATTCTTCATTTCATATAAATTTTATTGGCCACTTCTTTTATGGGGAATTGTTGTAGTGATTCTTGCATAAGGAATATTATTGCTTTTTAAAAGAATAAATAAAATTGGATATGTAATACTTATTTTAATTTTTAGAGCAAACACCAGACCAGTGATTTTTATGCGATGGCATCTGTTATGCACATTCTAATGATCAGTCCATTTTATGATAATGAATGATTATAAATTAAATTGATAACGAATAATAATTTATTATAATAATTATACCAGTAATGATATCATCAATTCTGTGAGATCATATATAAATCATAATTATACAATCAATCAACATGAATCAGCAGCTAAAGAGTAAACACGTCTTCTTGAATCAAATTCAAACTATTAATTAGAATTTCGAGACAATGAATCAGTGTCCTCATTTGCTCTCATTTCTTTCGGGTCTATGTTTCTTGGGAAATTCGATTTTACGAACTTGAATCTCTTTGGTCTTTTATTTTTATATGAATTACTAAGGCTGTCGTCGAAATCTCTAGGACTTAGATCCTAAATAATAATTATTAATTAGGCATCTTACATTTATTGTTTCAAGGCTATTTTCGATGTAACTTACATTGTGTTCTCCTCTTAGTTCTTATAATAGTTTTTCAATACGGTGATTTTTACTAATCAACATGTCTAATGATTATTTTAAATTTATCAACCTTTTATTTCATTCTTTTATTGAATACAGATGCGATTTTACTTATATAAATTGTATGTGATGTATAGAATCTTGCCTTCAATTGTCTCAAATTGATCCATGATTTTATTAATAATAATATTAGTAAGTTTAGAAATAATAATTCAAAGTGATTTTATGTAATAATCAATAATCTTTTATAAAACCATATTTAAGGTTGTTTATCCATATTAATGTCATTCTAATTTCCTAGTATTTTAGAATAATCAATTTCTCAATGATTTCCAGCTTTAATTTGCATAATTATCTCATCTTCCTTAAGAAAATGTGATTTCTATTTTTGAAGTTTACTATTCCAATTCATGAACAACAATATACACACCATACTTTTATTTATCTTACTTTTCACTTTCTGTTCTATTTTCTCAATTGCTTATATCTATCAATTGAATAATCAACTGAATTTAATCTCAAAGTCATTTTAAATTATATGTTCTAAATAAAAATATTATAATGTAGAAATTTTAATTATTAAATCTAAGTTATCTTATTCTTATATTACAATTTCAGCGACCTTAATCTTAATTGAATTGCACTTTCTTTAAAATCTCAATATAATGCTATCGTCTGCTTGAGCAAATTTGATATCCTTTTAATGATTTTTTTCTAATTTATTTTCTACATTATTCTGATACTAGAAGAAGCAAATATTAACCTGTTTAGATATAGTTTTAAAATTAGGTATGCTAAACCTACCAAATGAGACATAGTTTAATTGATTTTTTCATAAATTTAATTATTTGTAAAACTCTGTTCAAAAAGTATTAAGGGGTGGGGGAGAAGAAAAAAACAATTAAATTTTTGAATTTCCATGCTTTTCGCACTTTGGCATTTCTTCCAAAAGTAGTAATTATTAAAAAATATCATCGATAGTTAATTCTGTAAATGTAGATCTATATTTTACAATAAATCTATAAAAATCATATAATTAACTCCAACTAGATTATAAAAATTTAGGAAGCTAATGATCTAATAGGATCTGTGATTCTCGCTTATTCATTGAATATTGAACAATAAAAGAAATGTATTTCTACAGATTTAATCTATTACTTCTCTAATACCTTGAGATTGTTGAATATACAATACCTTTTAGGAAATGGTTACATGATTAAGATTAAAATGATTTATTGTTTAATATAAATAGATATAATAGATACTCATTCAGACCCTATTTTTTAATTAAAAAATCTTAGTCTTTAGATATTCCATTAATATTTTATAATAATTCTATTGTTGTTTTGAGTTTCTTAAGATAAAGAATCTGTTTAGGAATATGATTCTTCAATTTTATAAATAAACTTGAATTCGAAAGCAAAATTATTATTAAAATAGTTCGCATAATACATAGATACAATAAATAAATTGATCGCAATAAACTTTTATTAGTCTTCAGACCCTTACTTATTTTGAATTAGATTTTCATTAATTAGATTTGTTAAATAACTTATTTTATGAATAGAAAAATATTATGAAGTTGAGATTGTACTTTTGTTGGGGAATTAGGTAAATAGGGAACTATGTTTGATCCAGCTCTCATTTATTTCATAGTTATGTATAAGAATAATATAATAATAAAATTTAATTAATATTTTAAATTTTTAAAGTGGTTGTTAATTTAATTAAAGCTAAAAATAGATTTTTGGTAATGGAATAAATTAAAACATTTGAGATTTGAAAATTGTACTTGAATTCTAACTTTCATTTTGAAATACTAAAAAATAAGGAAACATGTATAAAATTATAGAATGAATTTTTCAGTTAATTTAAAATTATATAATTGTAATTAACAAACTCTAGAACAACCCAAAAAGAAAATGGACATTCAGTTTTTTTCATTTCATCAACCTAAATATTTAAATATACCATTAAGATATATCGTTGGAAAAATCTTTAGACCAAATGTGTCCCTGAATTTATCTCCAGTTACAGAAATTAATCTCGGGTCGAATTTTACATTTTTTTTAAGCAAAGCAAAATTGAGTTATAAACTATATTTATTGTTTGTATGTATTAATACGAGAGAAAGACGTCTTCGATGGAAGTGTCTAAATTTGAAATGTATAAATTAGATGAAAATTACCCTTACAATATTATTCAAAGAGAAACAAATAATTAAACTTACTTATAATAGTCCTTTGAATTTGGTTGCATCTTACTCTAACTCATGAAGAAAATTTTATTTTTATTAATGAATTTAATACCATATTTTGGGTTTTATCAAAAAATTTAAAAAATGATTTAAATTAATTTTTGTGTTTGCCATTTTGATTTACCTGTCGATGTTTATAATCAAAAAGGATATTAAAAGACAAAATTAATAATAATATATAAATGAACAAATCTTTGTTACTTTTCATCGGTCTCTTGGCAACAACATATGCTGTCACATTTGATACAACAATGCACTGTGCATGTGAAGAATTGAGTTAAACTGAATGTGCTAAGTAAATGGGATATTGTAAATGGTCAACTACTTGTGAAACTGTAGAATATACAGCTGCTTCTTGCTCTAGTGTTACTCAAGCCAACTGCACACCAAAATTAACAGGATATTAATGTGCTTGGGAAAGCTCATCATGTGTTGAGAAATCATACTCATGTGGAGATTTCACAACAGCCGATGATTGCCCCAGATCAATTGATTGCTACTGGAATAAATCAGGAAAATGTGATTCATTTTCATCATGTGGTGATTATGATGAAACCAATTGTCGTCATTATGGATGTAAATTCACTTCAGGTGCATGCGCTTCATTTACATGCTCTTCATACACCACTGAATCAGATTGCAGTGGTTAAGATTCCGAAACTACTCGTTGTGCATGGACAACTGATGGCAAATGCTAAGCTTTGTCTTTGAGCGCATCATGCACTGACTTCAGCAACTATAAATCAAGATGTGAAAGCAGCAGCAGCTGTAAATATGCCTCAAATTCATGCTCCTTCAAGACATGCGCTGACTTCACAAATGAAAACTAATGCTATGTTGTTAGAGCAAGCCAAACCGAAGTAACATTATGTGCTTGGAGTGGATCAGCCTGTGCTGATGCAGCTGATACAAGCAAATTAACATAAGACACTTGCTTCGATGTTTCTTATTAGAATTACAGATGGTCAACTGATAGCAAATGTGTTGAATGCTCTGATTTAGTTTCTGATGACATTTCAAGCAACGCTGTTATCTTATCTGTTTTTGTTGCACTTGCCTTAATTGCTTGAGAATATAAATATGTTAAAGATTAAATAATTTTCATTTATTTTAATTTCTCTTCTTTATGTAATTTTCATAAAAAAATGAGAATTAATCTAGGCTTATAAACTATTCTTTTTAATTGAGAATCTCACTAATTTATCAAGAAATCAATGTTTTTCAATATCTTATTTAACTATAATTTAAACAGATTCAGAAAAACTACATCCAATTGTTTGAACAAGGATTAAAATTGTAACATATAAAATTTGTCCTACTTTTTCATTTAATGATTAAATTTGTATTTTAGGTTTAGATTTCTGTTTTTCTTCAATAGTAATTCATTATATAAATTAATAATGATATAGAAAAATTTCTTGTTTTGAAAAAAATTTAGTATTTATTATTAAAATTTATATCAAACTAAAGGTTTGTGAAAACATTATCTTCATTATATTATAAAGATAGTTAATAAATTTATTAAAAATATGCCAATTATTTTACTTGAAGTTATTATAAAGAATCTACCAATTTGATATCTAAATGCTGGATTTAATATTTTAATATTACAAATCTAGTCTCCTTTAGATCAATCTTTGACATAAATTCTTGATTAACATTTTAGTAAAGTGTTTAATTATTAGATGTCTAAACATTTAATTCTCTAAGAATTTACAAAATTATAAGGATAGAAAATTTATTAAAAATGCTGATTACAACAAGACAAATTTAAAATAAAATGAAATTATTATTATTTTAAAGATAAAATCTTCAAATTGATTAAAAGAGATTAACGATGAAGTATCAAATTAAACTAAATTTAAGATTTCTATATCTTATATTAATTCCAAATTCAAAAATTTCTTACATTTTCTTATTATTCAGCACTTATCTAATAAGATATTAGAATAAGTAGAATAAATTGAATGTATCACAATATGAATCATTTAAGTAAGGAAGTCAAGTTTTTTATATAGCAATTTTGGATAAATAGGAAATATGGTTTTAGGCTCAAAATTGAAATGGTTTTTATGCTGATTATCTTAATAATGAGAGTTTTTTAAATTTTTGGGTGTAGATGTCTGATTAATCTAGAATCCATAAATCGTTAATAATTATTTAAATAAAAATGGAAAGTGTGAATTTTGGTGGTGATAATCCGTAGCCGCGTTTCGGTCATACTATATGTGTGATAGCACCTAACAAGATTGCATTATTTGGGGGTAGAAGCAAGTTTACATATTTGTATAGGTGCAGTAGGAGACACAGGACGATATGTGATCACGGGTGATGTGTATATAGGTGACATGACAACAAAGAAATGGAAGAGAATTGAAGCAAGTGGAAGTGTACCAACAAATAGAGCAGCACATTAAGCGTTAGCAATAGAATTGAATTAAATGATTATATTTGGAGGAGCTGTAGGCGGAGGAGGATTGGCAGATGACAATTTATATGTATTTGAATTAAGAGATGATACTGGAACATGGGTAACAGTGCCAGTCATAGGTACAACACCAGGGAGAAGGTATGGCCATACAATGGTGCTGATTAAACCACACTTGATAGTTTTTGGGGGTAATACAGGATAAGAACCTGTCAATGATGTTTGGAGTTTTAATTTAGAGAAATCACCATATTCTTGGTAAAAATTGGAGTGCTCTTCTGAATAGCCAAATGTAAGAGTGTATCATTCTGCTGCATTATGTACCACAGGATCAGCAAATGGAATGATGGTAGCATTTGGAGGTAGAACCAATGATCAAGGAGCTTTGAATGATACTTGGGGATTGAGGAAACATAGAGATGGAAGATGGGATTGGGTGAGAGCTCCATATAGAAATTAAACTGAGTAGCCATTGTAAAGATATCAGCATTCCACTTTATTTTTGGGAACATTAATGTTGGTTATAGGAGGCAGATCTAATAATGTTGGAGAAACTCTGCCTTTTGAAATTTATGATACTGAAACATCAGATTGGTATAAGTTTCAGGCAATCCAAAGATTTAGACATTCCTCTTGGTTGATTGATTAATTTTTGTATTTACATGGAGGATTTGACTCTGATTAACCAAATATTCCAACAGAAGGCATTTTAAGATTGAACTTAAATACAAGATTTGCTTAGACTCCTTAATTGTTAAGACAAATGAATACTATTAGGACTGATCAATCATTCACTTAATCATTCAATCCAAGACCTCCAACTAATTAAGCATAAACTTAAGATTAATTTAGAAGAACAAATTAATAATAGCCTTAAGCTAAAAGTATATATTGTTATCAAATTAGATTAAAATACTAATTAACAAGTGCGAGTATCTAGTGCAACTAATAAGAATATCAGATTAGCCAATTAAGCTATAGTTGCTATGACTTATGGACCAGAGGAAGATATAACAAATTAAGTCAAGAAAGTACCAATTGAAAAATTACAGGATGAACATAAGAAATTGGGAGCTGGATTTCAGGATCCAAATTCCCAAAATAAATCCTAATTTTTAGATTAGTTATGTCAACCTTTTGTTTAAAACTTATTGATTCCCAAGGATTACCAATCAATTCCTCCAAACTCTAATTTATTAACCGGAATAAGAAAGGAAATGATAATTAAATTATGTGATGAAGTTCAACGAGTTTTAGATAAAGAACCTATAGTATTAAGGTTAAGAAGACCGATCAAAATATATGGAAATTTGAATGGCTAATTTTTGGATTTAATGAGATTTTTTGATCACTTCAAAGCTCCCTACGATAACTTATACAATGGAGACATTGATTCATAAGATTATTTGTTTCTAGGTGATTATGTAGATAGAGGAACAAGATCTTTAGAGATAGTGTTATTATTATTCACTTTGAAATTAAAATATGCAGATCAAATTCATCTGCTTCGAGGACATCATGAAGATGCTAAAGTTAATAAAATTTACGGATTTGCAGATGAATGCTTCATAAAATTTGCAGAGGACATCATGGATCCTAACAGCATATATTAAAGAATCAATAGAGTTTTTCAATATTTGCCATTAGCAGCTGTGATTGAAGATAAAATCTTATGTGTTCATGGCGGAATAGGATAGACTATGAGAACTGTAGATGAAATTGAACTTATTTAAAGACCTTTGGAGATTGTGCATGATCCAAAAACCGTAAATGAATTTATTAAATTTTAGTATTAATAAAAGATAGCATTAGAATTATTATGGTCAGACCCATGTTTATCTGAGGAAGAATTAGAGAATTAACCGAATCCAGAGAGAGACATATTCTAAAATAAATAGATCATTAGGTTTGGAACAAATAGAGTAAGTAAATTCTTATAAGAAAATAATTTGAACATCATCATACGATCACATGAACCAACACTAGAAGGCTTTGAAAGACAGAATAATAATGTCATTACTGTGTTTTCTTGTCCAGATTATGGTACCAATTCTCAAAACAACAAAGGATGTACCCTATTTTATTAAGACTTAAGCCATGCTTACTATATCTAAAAGAGGTGAGATCATTCCCAAAGTTATTTTACCTGTAAACTCTACCTCAGAATCACGATGGATAGATCTAGAAGAACCTATTCAAAGGAAAAAGGGATTCGCCAAATATGTAGTTATAGATAATGATGAATTACAATTAAGGAAAAGATAGTTCACTCCACTCAGATCGAAAAAATCTTCATCCTAGAAGTAATTCGCATGAATTAATTATTAATAATTCAATAAATTTTTGCATATTTTTTCATTATGAGAAATACGAATTATTCAATCTTATCTTATGCTTTCTGAATATTGGAAATATATCACTTAGAAATTCACAATTTTATTCTCATAATATTTAGTGGCCACTATTTACTTTAGGGAAAACAAAAGTGCTTCCTAAACTAGAAATATTAGTTGAGTTCCTTTATTCTATAATTTCTTTAAATCAAAAATAGTATTTATAATTATTATATAAATAAAATGGAAATACCTTTAGATCGGCAATAAAGCTTATTATATTAGATAGAGTATACGAAATAGTTTCCCTTATGTGAAAAGCTGGTTTATAGTTTTATAACTATTTTTTATTGCATTTCTGCGCTCTTTATCATTCAAAATTAGTAAATATAATAACAAACTCAGTTGTATTGATCCCTAATGTTAACATTCCTAAGTATTTGCTGAAACAATAGCATACTTATTTGTTGGAGCAATCATTTTAAGATTATTAATTATAATCGTTTTGCTTATATCCTATATGAGTCAGAAAGCATTAGTAACTGTCATAATTCTTGAATAGAAATTGAATGAAGCGGAGTTTTTTATAACTATAGTGTAATAATAATGTAATTTAATAGTTTCATGTTCTTTGCGATTATCTTCTATATAGGAGCTGAGAATTGTCGTAAAATGTAGGTTGGATATGCTTTTGTCTTCATCTTAACTTACGTGATCGTTAGATTGTTGTGTTTACCAAATGGAGTAATCAATTATTTTGATGGCGAATACTTTTGAATTAAGTATATTTGATTCCTGATTTATAGAAAATAAACAATAATTTATTTTATCATATTAGGTTTTTATACCAATAAAAATGAAAATTTAGACTGAGTGCTGAATATTAATAAACAGCAAATCAAATTTAATAGATACACAGTAACTCTATATTCTACTCACACTAATTTGTTATTCAAGTTCTTATAGAGAAGTGATCATTGTATCATTATTGAAATCTATTTCTCATAATCTAAACAACATTATAGATTTCAAATTGATAATTATTTTTAATTCATGCTGATTAATCACCAATCAATTATTGTTATCTGAAAATAAATTCTAACTAAATAGTTTATTAAATATTAACTTGAATTGACATAGATCTACTTGGTTTTTTTATTTCTCAAACGATAAGTATGCATTTTGAACTATGCAAATCATTATTAATACGAAAATATGATAAAAGCTATATTTAATTCATATACTATTTATTAATTCTAAAACAATCCTCAATTTCCTTTTAATTCATATATCATTAATTCATCTGTTGTATCACTGCTAAACATTACCATGGTTGTGTATGCTTTAACATTTCCATTTTATTAATTGAATAATTAAACCTTATGTTTGCCTTAACTCTGTTATACTGATAATTGATGCCCCATTTTAATATCTAAGGAATGCATGGCATAAGGAGCCATACTCAAATGATGTTGAGTTGCTATATTATCAGTGAAACTAAAAGTAATCAACCAAATAGGTGGATTAGCTTAAATTAAGAACAAGAATTGTACATTTCTAATCAGAAACTTCAATCAAAAAACTCTCCATTTAATTGCTTTAAATTTTTCTATTCCCAAATTTTGTGAATACAATGCAATTTCTAAAAATTAAATATTAATCTTAAATACTTGTTGAAATCAAACAATTTAACTGAACCTTCAAATGAGACAATTATGCAATGACCTGGCCATTAAGTAGCAATAAAAATTTGACTAATAGAACCGAAGAGAGGATCATCCAGACTCTAATCACAAATGAGTATAGGATCTTAAGAAGAACTATATTTAGTAAGTCTCCAAATATTTATTATTGAATCTTATGAATATGATATAAATTTCTCTCCCTTCTTTAACAATGTCAATCCATTTATCTTACTCAAAGAATTAGTATTGCATGTTCCAATCTTTTGCGAGTATATATTGCAAATGTTGACATCTTTATGTACATCGCTAAATGCAATGTGAGTACTATCCTTTAAATCTATGATGCTAATCCCCATTTGCTATATTGGGATCCTTCTGAAAACTCTAGGTTGAGTTGAAACACTTATATCATCGATATTCCAAACAATAATTTGCAAATCTAAACCCAAAGATACAAACTATCTACTGTTATTCTCATAGTTATGTATCTTCTCAAGAGAAACTATATTCTAATTGTGGGCTTAGAATGTGGATATCTTTTTATTTGTGGAATCAAACATTCTTAATTAGGAATCGTTTTATGAACCAATCGCAAATAATTATTCTGAAATTGATAGTATACAAGTTATTTAAGTTCCTATTGAGAACTTTTTCGTAGGTTTTAAGAAGAAACTAAAATAAATGAAGTTTTTACTTATCTATATTTCGAGTTGGCAGTTATAATTATAGATTGTTTTCTCCTGTTAAAACCTAAGATAACTCTTTGTTACAACCAAAAGGAATGTACATTCTGGATGATATGGCAGTATTTAACACAAATCCGGCTTCATTCACTAATGAATCTAAGAAGTTGCTTTGCAGATTTTGTATTTTCTCATAATTTGGAGGAGAATTAGTCATTTGCATTAAGAATCTTGCTAAAGTTTGCATTTCAGTTAGCATTTATAATGGCGTAACATTACCTTAAGAAAGCAATTTACTTTTATTAATATGACTTTTTAAATTTGATAGAAATTATTGGGCTTCTGGTGTACCCAAGGATGCCAACTTGTATTAAAATGTATTTTGATTTGAATAATAGAAGTTTTGCCTTGACAAAAGGAAAAACTAATCAATGTTTGCTTTTAGAGTGATAAACGATTATTTGTATTATTCATTAAAACTATCAAGTTTCTTAATATTTTCTTCTTTTATTGACTGAATTGCTTATATGATTCTTTCTTGTAAATTTGCAATATCCATTACAAAATCATTCTTTAATTATTTATGATAATCTTACTTTTTGTCTATTAACCATTTCATCTATTTTTGATAGATGAGAATCTCCTTATTCTAAAATCTACAATAAAGTAATGTTTTCTTTATTTTACATGAATTCCTAATATAAAACACTGTTTTAGTTAGCCAATTTAGACATTTCTTCACAAAATTATGCAGTCTTAGATAATACAGAGAATTACAAATGTTTCGACATCAATAACCTTTGTTAAATGATCATTATGAAACAACTAAGGATCCTCTGAAGATTAAATAAAAGGTCTCTTATCACATGCTAAATCAGAGCAAACCTTTGTGATTAATTATTGAGTGAAAGTGTTTTTTAAAGTTGGTAATGGCAAGGGAGCAGATAATTTGTATGCCAAAGATTCTTCCATGTCAATATATGAATATTCTAAAAAAATTATTAATAAATTGTATATGCTGTTGTATTTTATATTGATTCTCTCATGATTAAAACTATTCATATGTTCTACTGCCTCTGGTTTGACCCATAGATGAAGTAGTCGTTGTTCCACCAGTTCTTGAAACAACCTTTGATGTCGTGACAACAACTTCCTAAAACTATCACGAAAATAATTACCTTCTTTTACCCTTTCCTCAAGGCCTCCAACTCAGCCTAGCACATAGTCAATTCTTCTTAGCATTCATTGTAATCATGATTAACTTTTATGAATTTCTATTTCCAGACTTCAACTTCAGAAGAAAGGTAAGTGACTTTTTCCTAAACCACAGTCATTCCTTGAGATTCCAATTCTGCATATCTTTACTTCCAATCTTCCAAGTCTCCGTCTTTAACTTTGCTTGCATATGATAACCTCTCGATTTCTGAAGAAAGCATAGCCACTTTTACCTTAAACTATTAAAATATCTTACTTCTAGATTTCTTATTTTTTAAATCAAATCTTCATTGTCCCTTCTCAGATCTGCATTTTCTTGTTACAATCTTCTAATCTAATCCTCATAATCTCTGATTTGTTACTCAAATTTGATTCTCAAATTGTAAAACTCCCTTTCTTTAGCTGCCAAGTCTTCAGTTTATGAACTTCTCAATTAAATTTCTCCTCTCATCGATTATAATTGAAGAGTCAATTAATCGTTTTCTGCTCTTAATTATCTTAATTGAGACTCTAACAACTCTACTTTCGAGTTATCTGTCACAATTTTTTCCTTCTCTACGATTTTCTCTACTACTTAGACTTCCTTTCTCTTCTCTAATTCAGCAATTAAGGATTGCAAATATTCACACTCCAATCTCCATGGTGCTTCAATCTCCTCCTTGGAAACAACTATAACATTCATGCATAATTGTTAGGCAGCCACGCAGTTTTATTATACTGAATAATTGCCTTAATATCCAATCTAAGGTATTGCTGCCATATTAGACACATAGCTTTAACCGCCTACAAAACCTTGGGTTTGTGTTCTCAATATTTATTGAGATTGCATTCTTGGGTATTATTAGACGCTTCTCTATTCTACTTCTACTGTTCTTGTCTAAAATATTTAAAAACTTATAATACCTACACTTTTGGAGTCTCACGATTAACAGTCTATTCTACTTTTTCTTAAGTAGTACTTCTGACATTATCCTTTGTGCCTGAGGTGTATTATCTTGAAGAAGAGGATGTAAAATATTATCTATTTTAGAAATCACTCATGATTGCAAATAAAATTTATTTGTATAAAAATTATGTAAATCATAATTGAATTCATTACCAAAAAATTATATATCAAAAGGTTTAAACTGTTTCTGTTTATTATTTACATTCTTCAAAATTCTAAAATTAATTTCTAATAAAAGTAATCTCAAAACAAACAAATTAACTACTATATCATTGTTATTATTATTCACTAATTGTTAATTTTGTTAAATAAAATGAGGAACCACATGTTAGTCTAGTCATTGCATTATTAATTTAAATATTTATTATTTTAATCTTAAAATAATGTAATGTATTTAATATTCTTTAAAAATCAATTATATAGAGCTATTATCTTCTATATTGACTATTTCTATTAAACCAAACAACTTATTTTGATTTCTAATATACTCTTAAAAAAGCTTAATGTTCTTAACGTTTTACATATCTATTTCAACTTAAAAATTATATTAAATCAAAAATAAGTCTATATGAATTTTAATTCATAATGTATTTCTTCTTTAGTTTTTTGCTTCCTAAATTAGTTGTTCTTCTGAAAATTCAACAAAATTTGTTATCAATAAATATTAATAGTTTTTCCTTCTTACTCTTATATAATTTGAAAGTGATCTTAATTTCCTTCAATTCTAATTATTTAGCATTGAACCAATTGAGTCAATTCTTTTATCTTGGATTGTAATTATATATTCTAATTTCTGCATAGATAATTCATTAATAAATAATTTATCGATAATGAGATAGTTTATGGAAATTAACAAAAGTTAACTCATTCTTAATTTGTTGATATTTTAGAAATGAGTAGTCTCTATAACTTTTGCAGTATTAATGTTAGTAATTATATAAAATATATGCAATAGACTTATTCAACTAAGATATTTTTATTATTCTAAGACGTAGGTATGTTGCTTGATTCTTTATTGAGATTCAACTAAATAGAAATGCAACTCTTCTATATTCTGCTCCTTTTAGCTTTTGATATTAAATGTGTCATTCTTATTTTTTGGAACTGTCACTAAATCAGTAAGAATAGATTATTTTATTTGTTGATTGTTTTCACCCATTTGTTGAAGCAAATCGCCTAAAAAATTAATGCGATTGACTCTTTCTATTTTTTCAATACTATTGTTTTATTTTGTCGTTACTTAGATTGCAATAAATTTTAGCTTGATTATTGGGCTACACTATTTACTATATCCTGAGGATGATAGTTTTTAACTCTAAACGATGGACTTTTTCTAAATTATGCAGAGACAAAGGATTATTACTAGTTCTAATTTAAGTTTCAATAATTAGTACCTTGATTAGTTGGCCAACATAAGGTTATATCTAAGAATCAAAAGATATCTAATTATACTTCGTATAATTGCATTTTGCCTTGATTTGGAGTTGGATTGTTGCTTTGTTAAGTTGAACATCTGTAGTGAGTAGCTGAATGCAACCTTGTTCCTTGAGAACTCTTTGCTCTATTTTAATCAGCTGCGTTTTTTCTGTTCTCATGCTTATTCGAGTGCGGAATGTGACGGATAGCACAGACGTTCATTTTAATTTATTTATATATATAAGTAGATGAAATTCATTTTTTTAACTTCTTCTCAATGTTCTCTAACCATTTTTTGTACTTTTGTTGCATTTCCACTTAAAAAAAATGAACTTCTTCCAGATTGGCATCTTTGTTGTCTTCCAATATAGTTTGATCAATATTATATTTTGGAACAGAAGTTGTTTAACTAGATGAAGAAGGAGTTGCGACTATCTTCTTTATTGGTTATGTGTGTCTAATTTGCTACTATTCATCGTCAGTACCAAGTTGATATTAAAGTAATTCCATCGCACTCACTCTCTATTTGAAAGCCTGCCTTAAGATTCACATAACATATTCTTACAGAACTTTAAAAATTGGTCTGTCTCCTTATATCATCTCTTGCTCCTGGAGTTATATGACGATAATTCTTCATCCTAAATGAAGGGCTCTTTCGCAACTGTGTTGAATTCATTGATGAATCTGTTGGTTTAGACTATTCATCATCGAAAATTACATTACCTTATCCTCAAAAACGTCTAAATTGCATCTCTCAAAATTAGTTGGTGTGTGCTAAATCTAAAGAAAACCTACTTTGTAAGAAGGAGTGATTTATGATGAATTGAGATCAGAGTCCAACCTCCTTTTTGGTTAAATTTTAGGTCCCACACTCCCATTTCTCAATTGTACACGATTTATCTAACAATACGGGTTCATCTTAGTCAATCCTGTACTCATTTGTATTAATATATATAAATAATTATATAATTTTATTGTCAGATAATTTGATTATCTATCTTCCTCATTGTTCTACTATTGCACCTTTATACAAAAATAACAAGGTTCTACCAATAAATCCATTTACATATTTTATGTTTATTAAGTATTGCTTAAAAGTTAGAAATTCAAATCATCATCCAGAGATATTCTATTCCTACCTAAATTTAATACGATAACCATGTTGAAAGTGACTTTAAATCTCTCGGGCTATCAATTTGTTGTTTAAAATTTAAGATTGTAAGATTGGATGGAACAAAACTAGAGAAATTTTAGCAAATAATCTATTTTTCATTACAATTCAAAAAATTATTATAATTCAATATTAATTTATGATATTCAAAATCCTTTATATTTGATCAAACCTTAATTTATTCAATACTTCAACTGTTGTAAATTAACCAAGGCTGAATTTTAAATCATAAGTGACCAATCTCTTCAATCAATAGTTATAAATGTAATGTGTTATTCATAAATTTAGGCCATCTTGAAAAGAGCTAAAAATAAGAGGAAAACAATCAGTCCATCATTGAAATTTTTGAAATAGATTGATTTAATTCATTCCAGAATGATGACCATTAAAGCTAAATTTTTTATTTTAAAACAGTAAGAAAGTCAAAGAAATAAATTAATTTAATCGCTCACAACTTTTTTAGGAATGAAAATAAAGGACCAGAAACCAATGAAATAGAGGTCAGAGATTCATCATTGATGATTTTATGTCAAATCTCATAGAAAATAAACAGCCAACTTTGATCATGAAATTTAATATTCGATTAGCGCATTATAATAAGATTTGTTTTTTTTTAATTGAATGAATAATTTGCATATAAAATAAGAAGATCAACAAGCCTTGCGTAATATACAAATACCCAAATAAATCTCTATGTTCCCAAGTCAATAGTATTTTTCACAATATTATAGTCCAACTATGATTTATTTCCATCAAGAACACATGATAATTCAAAAATTCTTGAAGGCTTTGCACAATCTACAGGTTGCTTAAGGCTAATTACACAATTCTCCTAAATATCCGTTTGTGATTTAAGTTTCGAATAATCAAATTTTGGTATATCCTATCTCAAAATAGGTTCATTTGGGAAGAATATAATTAGATATAAGTAACAAGTTTGGACATATCTTTTCTCCTTAAAGCTACTATGTTCCATAGTATGCTTAAGTTATTTCTTAATACCCAAAGCTAAAACTTCACATTCAAAAGAAAAGATAGGTAAGATTAATGTAGGATTAGAAGGACACAAAGAATATTCCAAAGAATTACTGTAAAAGCATTATAACTTTTGCATGTAAGAATCAATAGAACCTTTGCATCAGAATTCTAAAAGATCAAGTGAAAGTTGTGAAATTTATAAATAAGATTTCTCAATATAAGAAATAGTTACTAAACATAAGGGTTTTCAGTGCTTTATTGTAAAGATCTGAAGATCCCGAGGAAGAAGAGTATAGACTAGCATTCAGAATAATTAGGTATCATAGTAAAAGTATCAGTAGTTAAATTTTTATTAAGAAATAGGCCATAAATTATATATTTAATTCAAAAATTGCTCAGCACAACTGGCATATGAAATATAGATAAAAAATATATAAGGGTATCAAAGATCCTAATAGATTTTCTCACATTAAGAATTTATGAAGTGAATAATCAATGAACTTCTATAATTATTAATATTATAATATACATAAATCCAAATATATTCATAAAATGTTCTCTACCAAGCGAAACCATTCTGTGTCTCTTTCTATTAAACAATAAGTTGAGGAAAGACAAAAAAAATGAGATTTTAAAGATTAAAAAGGAGAAAAAATAGTAAGAATATTGAAAATAAAGTTATAGTAGTGGAATTTAGAAATAAGAGGATTGAAGGAGTCAAAAGGAATTCTCAATAATAGAAGAACTAGCTTTACGAGCACAGTATGGAGCAAAACAAATGTATTGCCCATTCAACAGACATTATATAGTTATATTACTAAATATTTATTCAGTAGCTTAAGTATTAATACATTTAAAAATTATAGTGTTCAAATTTGAAAAGAGATACATTATACAAATCATTTACACTATATTATAAAATTTAATTTTTATTATTGAAATCTATTATATGGATCTTCTTTATAATAGGCTGAAATATAATCTTAATTTTTATATTTCATTTAAGACTTAACCTTTGTTTAAGTATTGAAGAAGCCTCATAACTTATCCATCATATAACTTTATTGCTCATATTTACTAGATATATATAATCTGTAAGCATTTTTACAATGTTTTTAATGAATAACTACTTTACGTTCAATATTTCTTGCTGTCTGAACATATTATAGATTTTCATAGTAAGCTTGATATTAATTAATCGTTGATGCACCATGTACTTTAGAGAAATATTATTTTTTTGATATGTAAGGTTAGGCAGAATTTCAAAAAAAATAGAAATCATATACAAACAATCATAAAATGAATAAAGAGCTAATAGAGGAGAAATTTTTATCATATTCTTAATTATTGAAATTGGAAATGTTTTTTAAGACAATTAATAATTATTCATTTTGGCTCAATATGGAAACGCAGATGATTAAAAAAATAAAAATGAGGAAGAGATTGCAATTTAAACAATGCCAATCTTAGACATATGTGAATCATTAATAGAATATCAAAGTTATATTTAGGATAATATTTTATTCTCACAAAATATCAAATATATGAATCGAATACTTATTGTTAATTAACAATTTTAATAAGGAATAACAGATAAGTAGTTAAATAAATTAAAGAACATGATATCAAAATAAAGAATAAAAATGGACTTTAATTTTGACAATTAAGCACACCAAATTTTTAAATATTAATTTAAAAATTTTGAGAGGTTCTAATAGGGTTAAATGAACCAAAACTGAATTATTAATAAACCAATACAAACTTAAATGAGCGATGACAAAAAAAGGTTAGCTAAATAGTTGTTGTCGAACTTTGAATTGAAGTTTAGATGACTAAGACTATGGAATACTTAATAGGGCAAATAGAATAGAAATTTCCAATTAATCTCTCTTATGTATTAAAGGCAACAATAAATTGTAAGAATCTTTAAGAAATTTGGAACTAAGATGGAAACAATATCGCTTAAGTACATTAAAATTAAATAATTAGAAGAGCTTATTAATAGAAGAGAATTAAGTAATTAATTGATGGTGATTGAAATATTTAATTTTATTTGATTATCAGTTGAAGAGAAATTTATTAACAACTACAACTATGAATATTATTATATTAGGCAAACGTTTAATGAAAATTCATTATTTCGATATGCTTAATTAATGGAAATGCTTCGCAAATTAATAAAAATTATAAAATTAATTTTATTAGAATATATACTTAAAATTTAAGAACAATTGAATTAGTATAAAACATGTTGAATTTGAGAGTTGTTTTCTATTATTCATTTAGTGATATATGCTTACGTCATTCCTATTTAAAGTAATTTTAAAAAGATGTGAAAATATACTCTAAATATATTATTAATTAATGGGATTATGTGAAAGTAAGGAGACAGAGCATATGAGTTCACGTAGAATTGATAGTTTCATTAAATCTTCTCATTCTTATAATAATTTAATAAGTTAAGATACACATCAAGGAGGCAGTCTTCCTTATAAATATGAGACTGTGATAATACAGGATAATTTGAAAACAATCGCCGAAGAGAGTATTATACAATAAGAACGATAAATTCAATACTAATCTACAGCGCCATCTCCATAAGCTTCGATTGAGATGAAGCAGGTGTCTCAGTAGAGTCCATTGATGCTACAAAATCCATCTGGAACTTGGAATTTATAGACACACGCTATAAAACATGGAGGATTGTATGAGGTATCGGTAGGAAAGGATTGCATTGGAATGTACGAAGAATGGGAATTCATTTTGAATAAAGATGGTCCAATAAACAATTCGGATAGATTTGTGGTAATTCAAAATCCATATAAATATCTAGTTACGTCATATATTGACTCAGACTTTGTTGGTAGCTGAAGAGACTTTGTAAGGAGACTATAAAGTGGGTTCTATAGCTAGCAAGACTATGAGAGATGAAGCAATGTGGTAGATAGAAATAGGCACAGATACTCTATATGAGAACACTTTTGTTAGTAAATTAATTATGCTATGGTAGAATTACGTCATGGAAAGTCTAAGTTATATTTATCTAGAACAAATGAAAATGGTTCGATGGAGAATCATCGTAAAGTGGCACTTACTAATTTTGATCCAATTAATAGTTTTTGGTTAGTCAAATTAAAATGATACTTAAAAAATCACTTAAATTATAACAAAATCTCTTCAACTTAATCAATATATTGTTGGATACTAAGAATAGATTTTTTCTGTTCTTCAATTTTGTTTTGAAGAATTTGGATTTGTTTAGCAGTGATTTTCTCGGCTTCTGAGAAATTCAATTCAACAAAGACATTCATTCCCACATCGAGTGTAATCATTAATGGATTTACTCTATTCATTAGACTAGTGTTTGTTACAATTCAACATCTAGGAATGTATTGGCACCAACATTCATTTTCATTTGTGATTAGCCTGAATTGTTTTTAATGTATTCTATGACTAGTTGGTAATCTTCTTGTTTGTGTTCTAATTATTAGAGTTTCTGCAAGGCTTTTTCCATGTCAACTCTGAGTTTTTTGTGGAAAGTCTAATATTTGGCAATTTGTTCTTCATCTAATTATACAAATTCACTCATTTAAATTAAAATAAAATGTCTGATATATTGGATGATGAATAAGCATATTTGAAGAGATGGTATAAGTTTGCTAAAATTCACAAAACTATCCCACCTCCTAAGAAGGATACTCATCTTGAATCTCTTTGTTATAGAATCAAAATCAGAGACATCTGTAACATTCCAACCAAAAAGGAAGTATAGTAGTCAATAAGAATACTCTTAAATTTATACAATTCAACCTCTAAGGAGTTTTTTGGTAGAACCTACGAATCTCCATTTCTGGAACTGATCTACTCTCAAGCAAATTAATAATTGGAACACCCAGAGGTTTTCTGTTATTTTCATTTGCGTCAAATTGAATCTATATAAGTTGCTGTTGAGATCGTCTTATTTGGTAATAATAATCTAAACATTTAGAGAAAAAGGATTAAGTTATATAAAATAGATAGATAGTTGGTTGGTGTTTGGGGGATATTGGTCAAGAAATGAAATACACTCTAAAACGAGGATCCTCTCGATTCTTAATCAGTAATCAATCTAATTCGGAAACAGTTGGACAGACAATGTGGGTGGAAGTCGTTGAGAATAAGGAATTTACTTAAATTAAGAATTTGATTCCAGAGGGTTGTCTTTGTGGATATGGAGATGAAGTATTAGGAGTTCATGGATATCAAATAATCTCACAATTGGCTCTGACCTAGGAATAAATTGCATATGTCACTTCCATTGAAATATTGGTCCCAACTTCAGTTGATCTTTTGATATAAGAGTACCTCAAGAAGTATAAGGAAGTCAAGTATAAAGATGATGGACCAAACGAAGTCCATTTTCTGGCTAAGAGATTGGTATTCACATTTCACAATGGATGGAATTACACTAATACAAGAGGATTAAATAACTTTATAACTTTGGAAGAATCCTCTTTCTAGAAAAGTATAGATAACTAGAAGATTGATTATAAAAAGCTCACTTTCAAGGGTGCTCTAGATGTAAATGGAATATATTAAGAACCTAAATTGGGAGTCTTCATCATCTAATTAGAATATGATGTTGAATTTATGGTTACAAATCTTGGTAAATAAAGAACCACTGTTTTGTGCGGTTGGTTACCATTAGTACCTAAATCTACTTTTGAAGAGGAATTCATTATTGGTCCAGGAAGGTCTCTTAGTAACTAAGTGTTAGTCGATCTTAGTGATATTAAATACCCAATCACCATTTCTGGAAAGATAAACTTTGGATCCATTCAAACTCAACATCTACCTGGACCCATGATTAATCAATAGGTTTATTAACCTATGGATGCTCCGAGTTTGGTCAAATTACCTGAATAAGGAGGTGGTTAATAACTAGGAATGGATGATGACTAAAGAAAAATCAAGCAGTTAGAAAATACTTTAAAATGTATACAATTATTATTTCACATTTATAGAACTTTAATAAGATAGACAAGTGAGTGCAACCAATTTGGCTATGGATTTTGAAAATAAACTTAAAATTGATAAATAAAGAGAATAAGAATATTAGAAGATGGTCGAAACTATTAAGAAGCAACATGAAGAGGAAATTTAAAAGATTCTAGAATAATATGAAGATCTAAAGAAGATGATGACAGATATTAATCAAACTCAATAATAATATTTAACAAAAGCATAACCAACTTCAGCATCTTTATTAGGACAATAGTAGGTTTTATAAGATTAAAAGGAATTAGAAAAATGGAGAATCATAGAATCTATGACATCAGTTCCGAGGAAAACATTTTACAAAACTCAATAGCAGGATCTAATGGTTGAAGCCTAATTTGGAGGCTAGGCATTATCTAGAGGAGATATAGCATTCCTCAGTTAGAATGGAGTGAGAGAATTGTTTATTCAACATACAGATTACGTTGAAAATGATGAAATTAAATAAAAATCACTGCAATATGAATTGGCTGATCATAGATAGGCTATCACTGTGTTCATTTAATTACTCTCATTTAAACCAAGAATCACCATGAAATCTAAAGATCTAGAACCCACTGTCTATCACTATTCAGAAGAGTCGAGAATCCCAAGTAGATTATTTATGATAGTCAATTTTTATGATTTCCCAGAATATGTCACAGAACCATTAATTTATGAGAATGGATTTGATAGATCTTCTTATACAAGATGTTTGGAACAATCTATCCCTTTTCTTTTGATCAGAGAACAATTTCTTAAAACAGGAGCATCCTATAAAGAACCTGTATTTAAATTTGAAGTTGAACCTTCTTCAATCGGATATCCTAAAGCCTATAAGTATTTTTGTGAGTATTTATTTAACAAATGCGTAACAATTGAAATTTGGGATTATGATTCCATGATGATTTTTGGAACCATAAGGCTTCCTTTAAGATAATTATTAAGGTAAGGATAAGATGCATCAGTTGTCATGAGGAAGGCTGATATCATTGATAAAGAGTTTAAGAAGATCAAAGGAGAGTTACAAGTCTTAATTAAGTGTGTTGGTAAAGAGGATAGAGTGACTGAGGTTTTGGATAATAATAGTCAGATGAAGAGAAAAGTAATATCGACTAAAAAAGTCGAGCCTTTGCATATTTTAGAGGATGAAGAGAAGGAAATAATTAAGTAGGATCCTAATGAAAGGATTAAGGAGAGAATCAAAAGAATAAGAAGATAAGAAGTTCCCAATGGTACAAATAGTACTAAGACACTTATGGAAATAACTAAGAGGAAGGATTTGTCTAAGAATGCTTTTGTTCATTCTGTCATTTAAAGTCATTTGAGTGATGAAAAGGTGATACACCCATTCTTTGGGAAGGTAGAAATAGTTGAACTTGAATTCAGAAATCCATATGCGACTGGATAGAACTTTGTAATCTGCATAGATGATTAGGAGATGAAATGTTCTGGTATTTAAGAAATTCACTTAATTCATCAACCAGTAGAATGGAAATACTATGTAGATTTGTACAATCATTCAAAACCTTAGGAATTCAATATGATATAAGCCAATCAGAATAACTTTACTATGTTTCTAACTGCTAAGGAAAAAGTGGTGCTTCTGTTTAAATATTAGACTTTTAGGGAGGTTAATCAAGAATATACTGAATTGTAAAAGACTGAAGAACTCTTTACCATTAAAGGCAAATAGTTCCTCACTTAATACAGTTATCCAAGACAAGTTGCTGTGTTTATCAATACAATCGAAGGATAATGTGTTGGAGGAATGAGAGTCAAAATATTTCCTCATAGTAACACCATAGATCATGTTTACAGATTTTATGAAAGAGATAATCGATAAGTATCTATTCAATTCCCTGCATTATATGGATACACAGTACCAGCACCAGACAAGAAACCTATTTTATTTTGCAATAATGAACAACTAGTGGTTGAATGGGCTAATGATTTTGAAATCAGAATTAGTTTACGTATGCCTGAAGTGAATAAATAGTCAGTCTTCTACATCTTGGCGTATCAAGACACTTATTTCAAAGAATTAATAGCTAATTGGCAAATTAAACTCACGAGTTTAGCTGGGTATTTCTATTTATTAATTTTAGAATTGGGATTGAAGTACCTTTAGGTTAAGTTTAAAATACAAAGTTAACTGTTCATGTTGAGATTTCAAGATAGGTGAAATTTTACTCATCTCATCCTATATGTGTTTGGTTTCCATAACCCTACGATTAGTTGGTTAATTTGATTCCAGGGAAAATCAACATTGCTAATCTGTGTGTGAGATTATTCACTGAGTAGATTCACAAGGTTATGGTTACTTGTGTAGATGAATAATCTCATGAATTAGTCAGAGGATGGATTTTAAATATTTCACCTACTGTTCCTCCTATTAGTTAAGTGTTTGACATCCAGGCTCCCAGAGATCAAATGAAGACTTACATTGTTAAATATGCTAATAAATAAAATAATGAAGTCCTTTTAATTTTTAAATCATCCAATACACAAATATTAAAAGTAACAATTTACTTAAGTTATAGCTTGTTGAAACCAGATATTTATTCAAGGCTTAATAGATACAAGATATTACATTATAAATTCACAGAGTGGGTGAAATGGATAAAGCAGAAGTTAAAGTGTTTATTGGTGATGAAGATAGATCAAGAGATACATTTGATTGTTTGTTATTCAGAATCGCCTATATTTGATTATAGAAATTTATTAACCCAAGAATTATTATTTAAATTTATCAAAATATACTATAATGTTTAATATAATTTGGGATTAGGCTTTTTATAAAAGAATTTTATATTTCAAAATGATTATTCTTTTTCAATTATTGAAATCAATATAACTGTAATTCCCTTAAAAGATTTTTAATTTAGATTATATTCTACAACATTTAGTATTATTAGGATAATACTATTAAAACATTCACTTATACTTGTAATTCTGCTCCTTAAATATGTCATATATTTATTTATTCTATTTTCTCAATTGTATTAAGAATGAATACTATATACATATATATTTAAGAGAGTATCACATTGAGTTTAACAAATTTAGTGGATTGTAATAAGGGAGAAGATTTTGTCATATTAGTGTCAGTCTGTACTTGATGTACCAGCTTTCTTTACATAATTAATTATTTTTAATTCATATCAGAGATCATCATATCTACGAATAACTTCATATCCTTCCATTACAGCGTTGATGTATCTTTCATATTTCTTGAGCATATCCTCATATAATTTCATGTTTTCTAATCGTTATTCTTTGGATTATAATTTTTATTGTATATAGTTAGTATCATCATCAAGTAGTGCTGTTCTCATTTGTAAATCTTTAACTTCAAGTATGATATCCATGGACTTTTCCATGCAATCACTCAGGCGTTTCTTACAGTTTCTGATTTCCTCGTACTCTTCAAAAGAAATGGGGGGTTTATTTTTGATTGGTTGAGTAGGAGAGAGTCGATTGCAAATTTGGAGGACATGGCAAAGGAGTACTCCTTCTTCGTCACGTTGGTTGAAGAGTTGAACTATGTGCATTCGATAATGGGGAACATCAAGACAGGTGGTAGTGCTGCAAACGATGTAGGAGACTTTGGGACAGTGTTTTGGGAGTGGAGTTTAAAAATTCATTTTTTTCCATTTGAACACTTTTTTTGAATTATCTTTTAGCCTTGGAAATCCTAAATTCCTTAGGGATGCTTTTCTTAAAAAATAGAGATAACCATCTATAAAAATGAATTTAAATTTGATTTACTTTTGGGTTCATAATAAATGTCTTCTGGATGTTCATCAAACATAGGGATAGAATGATCTCTTCCATTCATCAATAAATCTTCATATTCATCACCTAACATAGACATCTTGTATAAAAGGTACCATTCAGCCAACGATAGTGATAAGGGGGTAATGCATACTAGGTACTATCCATAATTAATTAAATGATTAAACACATTATAATTATCTTACTTCATCCATTCTTTACTTCAATTTTCAAAAATTAATTTATTATAATTAAATGAATATTAAGAAGTAGTTTATATGTTTTTAAGATAATTTTGGTCCAAATAATATATATTTATCAATGATTCACTTATGTGGTATAGATGCGATAGACATCATCAAAGGTGTTCACTTCTTCTTGTTTCAACTTTCTTTGTTCTTCATAGAATTATTTAGCAGCATCGATATCCTTCAATTAATGCATACACTTACTTTCAAAGCAACCTAATGAGCCACTGTAATCTACTTTAATCTAGCTCCACATAATATGGATGCTTGTCTTCTGCCAGTCAATTAGTTGACTTATTTAACCTATATTGATAACTAAGTAGAATACCAAATAATCTTTCTCATATTAGATAGTTTTATCAAAGAATTGATTTTCCAATTCGATGTGTAATTTGAAATCAATGAATCCTAAATTGGATCTCACTTCATCATTGGCTCCAGTCTCTAAAGATTTTTTGGTGTGATTTTCAATAGCATCTAACAATTTTCTGAATCCCTATTATATTTAACAATAATAAATACTTCCCAATTGTCTGCAAATTCTTCTTCTCCAGGTGGAACAACAGCTCCAGTTCCATGAGGATCCTTGGTAGGAACAGCAATATTTGGTTGTTCATCAACATGATGATCTGGTTATTTATCATCAATAACAATTTGAGGATGATCTTCATCACTGGTATTATCACCATCATCTGAGTGAGTAGTATCATCAGAGTGTTTAGTATCATCAGAATTATCAGAATCATTATTATCACCAGCATCTTGATTATCTCCAGAATCACCTTAATCATCTGAATCATCTGAATCACCTGAATTGACATGTTCTTCCTAATGATGTTTTTCATCCTTCTTTGATATTGGATCCTTGTGAATTTGTGGAGAGCCAGAACCAGAACCAGATCCTGATTTACCACCTGTTGGTTTTGTACTTACTCCACCTCCATTTGTGATTTTAACATTGAGATCTCCAGAATCAGTTGTTCCATCATCATTTTAAACAACAACAACGGTTCCGATTTAATTATCACAACCTGGAATAAGAACAACTGCATTGTTTGCCTTATCATCATCATCAGCAGCCTAGTCCAATTAGGTCAATGCCTTTGGTCTGATTCTTTGGATAAGTGAAATTTCATCAAAAGTGCCTTATTCAATCTCAGGAACAATGAGATCTGATTTATCATCAATCTTTTCCATTAAATTGACTAATTGCCCACTACGATATAGCTTAACGAATTTGCTAACTCTATCGTGGAATTATGTCACTTAGGCTAAGGATGATGCTCCTGCTTCCAATTATGCCAGTTCTTCTCTCAAAAACTTCACTAAGGCCAAAGCATACCTGAAATTTCTTATGTCATTCACATAGTTGTTGGTTAATGCACATCTTCATATTTAGAATACTCTTACATGCTTGCTTCCAACACTCCAATTTTCTTTGTATTTGACTTTTATCTTCCACTCATCCAATTAATGAAACCCTCACTAGCCAATATATCATTCTGCTTCTAAGCTATGTCATCTTCTTTGTTTTGGCATTCAGCTCTTTAATTTAAAACAGATTGATTAAGAGAATCAGCAACACTCTATTTCTCACCAATTCTTCTTTGCCAAGCAAGCTCTAATCCCTCCAATTCTAATTCAGCATTGTGCTTTAACTCAGCCAATAATTGTAGGACATTTTCCTCACTTGATGTACCCAGTGCCATCAGCTAGCACCAAAGCCAATAACACATACTTCATTTAATTAATTTATACAAAAACGGATTAGAACTTCCCTTACTTTAATAGATTTTTTCCTTAACTCACTACTCTGGATTATTTTAGTAATTAATGAACAACGAAATCAATATCAGATAACTGCTTTACTACAAAAAAATTATTCGTAATAAACCAACTTTAATATCCATAGCTCATACTCAATCCCAACGCAGTATTACCCTCATGTCCCAATAGTTTAGTCAAGGTCGACTCTCTGTCCATTCGTAAGAAGATTTAAGATTATCCACTAATGTGACCAATTCCAGCATCCTCCCTCAAATCAATCTCCGGTACAGTAGTGTCCATTCTCAAGAGTCTATCAAATCTCATCATACTGCATCTACTCCCTTTACTTAGATACAAGTACCCTCCACTAATCAAATAGTGTTTTATCAATAAAAGCCAAAAAACTATTTCTGAACTCAAGCACCAGACCCAATAAATAAAGCAAGAAATTTCAATTATTTTGGAATAGCATGAATAGCAAATTCAAGAGCTCCAATCCTAATTAATCTAAGGAATTCAAATCAAGTATAAATAATTAAAGGATGACAATATCAACACAATTATGGAGTCTTATCGTCTGAAGAAGGAAGTTGTGCGCCTAATTAAATCTAAATCATAGATGCTAGAAGATGTAGATGTACTCAACAAAAGAATTACAGAACTTGAGTCAATATTATAATCCTTCAAACTTGATTTAAAATGAATTAATATTTATATGATAAATTTGCAAATAAGTTTTTGGGATGTAAGCAAGACTTCTTTGGGACATCTCTCATCTTAATTGGACAAGATGGATCAATTGACTCAGTCTTCTAACCAACTTATGCATACTTTTGAAACTGCATAAAAAATTTACTTAAATTCTTGCAAAAAATTAGTCAACATTTCCAAGGACGGCTTGATAGAGTAAAGTCAAGTATACTATAAAATGAAATACCTTAATAGAATTTTATAGACAAAAGAATGCGATACTAGTCAGATTTATAAGAAACTTCTATATCTATTAGGAACACATACGATCAAATTGAACTAGATAAATGTTATTTCTCCATCAATTTAGCACATGGAATATTCACAAGGTCCACTTTCCCTTACATGCCCAATTCTATCAATAGCTTTTGTTAAAAGTCCAAAAACTCGTCCAAACACATATATGTAGCCTTATTGAGATATGAACAACCAAAAGAACATGAGATTACAGTTACTAATTAATAAATCATTATCTTTAACAACATCTATAGTGTTACATTGGATTATTATCAAGGTGTGTTTTACCTTGTATCATTCGCCCCTAAATAAGCATAAATTATATCTAAAATTCAACCTTCCTTACTATAATCTTACTGTTAAAAGTTTGCAGTAGAATTGCCAGAAATATAAAAAAAAGAGGTCTTTTTGATTTATTTGTGCTATTTTTTTAATAACTCCATAAAATTTGCATAAGCACAAATTGCAATCCATTCATTAAGAACACAAGGAAAAACAATACCCACTTTATAAAATTATGATTCCTTATCTGATGTATAGTTATTTATTAAAATAGTTCGAAAACTAATTAGAAACTTATGTCACTTATAAAAATGTCAAAAAATGCGCTTTTAGTGAAATCATTATTAAGAGCAATGATAATTATTATATCTAATTATCTGGATAAACACGATCGCTGGAAAATGTTGAAATTTACTGGAACATTAATGATAATTTAGAATAAAAATTAGCTAACTACCATTTATTGGAATAATAAAAATAAAAATTGGGCCAAATACTTAAATTAAAAAACAGTTCTTACCCTATATATTTCAAATTAAATTGCTAATTGGATAACTATCATAATGAAGATCCTTCGATAGATGAGACTTTCAAAATAACAAAATGCCACAATTATTTCAAGATGAATCAATTCACAATTTCTTAAGACGAAGCTTTGTCTTAAATAGATATCTGGTATGAAGTCGAATCATAACTCCTCAAATTACCAATCACTTACGAAGATGAGGCAATTTTAGACAAGATGTTCCAAAGTAATGAAGAACCATGGGAATACTTAAAATGGATTATCGTCAGAACAAGTGCACTCAAAATTAAAAGATCCATTGCTTAAATCAAATTAGAAAATAAAACGATCAAATTTATATAGAATTTCAAGAGAGATGACAAAAAAAATATTTCAATTTTAAATCTAGATGGATTTAAATGCCAAGATGAATTAATTCCACTTTAAAACCTCCTTCCATCATTGAATCAAATTGACTTTGATTCAATTAAAAAGTTAATTGAGGATAAATTAATTGATGCTAAATTCTCTTAAATTTCAGAAAAGTATAATAATCAATTATGAGTATATATATATATATTATAAATAAATATAATTATTTTATTAAGAACAATTATTTTATATCTGAGATATTAGTAGGATCACACTATTAACTCTAATTAAGATAATATTAATTCTAATAATAACAATATTGTGTATTTATAATTAAAAATTGTTTTGAGATTAAAATTATACATAATTTCAGGTGATAGTAAATTTCAATCTCCATAATGCTCTTTTTATCTATTCTGAGCGTAATTTCGATACTGATGATATACAATCATCTAATCTTTTGAGATTAGTATTGATAATTATATATTAAATTTTATATTTATCAACAACATGTTTTATCTTTCTTTTCTGGTTCTGATTTTAAAGTTGAAGGTGTATTTGTTATTTATTTTGGATTTTGAAAGAATGGACCTAATTTAATTCCGTAAACCTTTTATCAAGAACATTCTTACCTCCTGTGTATAATCAATTGTCTTATTGTCAATTTTTACCAATATTCTTTGAGCTATGTCCTCAAATACTTTATCAACATTCTATCCAGTTTTGGCAGATGTCTCCAAATAATTCATTTTATTTGATTGAGCATATTCAAGGGCCTCTTTTGAAGAAACTTGACGTCTTTATAGAACATTATAATTTATACTCTGATTCTAAATCTAATTTATTTCCAACTAAACTAATCTCTACGAATTCATGTGTGCAATCTAATATTTCATTATGCCATTTCATCACATTATAATAGGTGTCCTTCTTTGTTAAATCAAACACTAAGACTACTCCAATTGACCTAATTTACTTCATTCATACCCTTTATAATAAGACCTTGTGATTGATCTAAAACTCTCTTATCCAGCCTTTTAATCATATAAACAAAAATACAGTGTCCCAAATTTAAATCTTAATTGTCCTGTCATTCATCTTTAACAATTAACTTCCAAACTCCACACCTATTGTAGTTTCATGGTCTTCATTAAACTTCTTCTCTGTGTAATTTAACAATATGCACGACTTCCCAACACTAGTGTCACCGACAATAATATATTTGAACAAAAAGTGATATTGATCCATCAAATCAATTATAATTAATTTAATAGTTATTCCATATCCATATATAAGAAATATTTGATATATTCGGTATTAATAATATTAATCCTCTTTTAAAAACAAATTACTCACTATTATAATTTTCTATATTTGTTGTTTAAATAAGCATTAGAATAAGGCCTTAAAATTCATAATTTATTTAAAAGTACAAATATAAGCACTGGTTATTTGAAATGAATAGGAAACTTAAGTCATTGGGATTATAAAATCATTAGGAGCTCAATTTATCGAATACTAGATTAATAAATAAAAGAAGTTATTCAAATAGAAAATTTTCTTTATCTTTTCTGCAATTATTGTAATATTATACTAAAGAAAAGTATTATATCATAAAATATGAATCTAGATAAAATCTAGATAATAAATAAAATATTAAAAATTAAATATAATAAATAATTTGATATTTTTGGTTATAATTTTTATGTCTTCATAATCCTAATTGTTAACGTAACCATGCAAAATTGTGTTCAATTAATTAGATTATTGAATTAACCACTTCGATTTCGTTTGAAATGCGTTATGATTGATGTTTAGTTTATTAAAAAATGTGATTACACTCTTGCTTGATATCATTAACTTATTCTTGTTTTAACTAATATATATTGATGAGTACATTAATTCTATAAATGATCTCATTATATTCTAAATCTAATTATTTCACTAGATGCTCAGTTTCATCTATGTTCTATTGTATTTCATTCAAAAATTGTATGACACTATCTAATTATGATTAATATAATGAAATTAAATTTTTGGTTTATTGTTGTTTTTCATCGAAATACTTATCTTCTAATGACATCATATCTGTAGTAAAATCAATCAAATCATTTAACAATGGTTTTAAGCTTTATTAATCAATTTTGAGAGACAACGGATTTCTAAACTTAAGAATATCATAAATATTACTTTTGATTCACATAATCATATCTCCTTTCTTATAATTGCATTGTTAATTTATGATATTACTCTTTTTGTAACTTCTCTCTATTTTGACAAATCTCTATATTTTTTATTAACAATTCCTTCTCTTTAATTTTGGTTGTCATCATGTGTTGATACTATTCAATGTGAGGCTTATGTGCATAAATTTCTTCCCGTACATCATACTATTTATTATTTTCAAATCTACTTTATTCTCATTTAGTTTTGCAATTAATTCCTCTATCGATTCAACATTTTGTATACATTCATCTAATTTCGATTTTTAAAGTTTATTCGCATTACTTCTTTATTTTACTAGTTTCTCTTAAGATTTATATCAATTATTATTACCATGAATTCCATTCAATAATTACAATAAATCTCCTGTGGGTTCATCAGCTTAAATATGTAGTTACACAGTTTCTAATAATGTTGATCCCAATTCTGTTTCTCGCAGCTAATCCAATTGCGCATATATAACTGATACAAGTATCAAAATTATCATCGCTCGAAAAACGATATTTAAAATAATCTAATTTATATTTAACTTTATAACATAATCCTCAACTAGTTATAATTATGTATTTATAACTTCAATATTTATGTAATCAATATAGCAAATTTACTCCTACTTATCTTAGTAACGATTTCAGAGGATGGTTAATTTTAAACGCATAATTTCATAGCAAAAATTCCGTTAAAGTTTAGGCCGATGGCAAAATTCTCATTTAATATTACATTATATCTCTACAATGAAGGATAAACCATCATATCCTTAAGTGCTTCTAAATTCTTTGATCTATGCTAGTACTTTTATTGTCCTGTGTATTATCTTAGAAATTTATGTGATTACTGCATTAAAAATAGAGACCTGCTATGCTGTATATTAATTAATCTTAAGCAGATTCTTTAAAAATTATTCAAAAGTATATTAGAACCTATGCCAAAGTGTTCATTTTATAAAATTAAAAATACTATTTTATCCCCTTCTTGTGATAATATTAATTAGTAGATGAAAGTTAAGAATAGAAATTTTGATATCATAGGTCAAAACTAAGAAGAATTACTATAATTGAGTCTAACTTATTAATGATGTTAAATTTCAATTCATATATTTTCTTAAACTATTTCATATGGCAAAAAGGTCATTGAAGATAATAATAGAAGTGTTATTGGAATGAGGGAGTCAAAATATATTCGAATATAGTTCATTAGACTAAGGTAACTATTTAGAATCAGGCAATCCTTAAGATTTATAAAGAAGAATACCCTTCATATTCAAAATTCTTCTAATAGTATGGCTTGTATTTGAGAATATTAAAATGGTTTTATTGCATCTATTAATTTTATTATATTAATATAGGTATATTTATAAACTTTTTCCAATTTACATAATATGAATTAATTTTCTGATTTTATTCAATACTGCATATATTAGACTTATAAAAAGGAAACCCATAACATCATTAAAGGAATCCGAGTATAAATTCGAGAAGAAATTTTATAAATTTTTTATATGATAACTCTTCAAGTAGGTTTGATGTACAATATATATCTCATCGATGCTTCTTTTAATATAATTCAGAATAAAATATTAATTCAAGAATTCATTTTATTTCAAATACTAAATAAGATGTTCATTTATATTTTTGTCAATACAATAACTAAAAAATTATTAATTATTATCTAATAGTCACAATGATTAGTGTAGTGACTCGTTTGGAAATTTATAGCAATAATTCAAACCGATTAATTTTCTTAAAACCTTTTTTATCCTGAAAAATTATCAATTCAGGAAATTAACCAAATTTTTATATAAGTCGAGTATCAAGTCTGAGGTCTTTGGATAAATTACATTTTCTATAAAATCGATAGCGTTAGCACTTTTTGAAATGTGGTTTATATTAGGACTTAAATACTGATTCAATTTTATGATGTTCATGTTAAGCCTTCCGTTTGAAATTCTTTCTCTTCCCTTTTTGGTTTACATAATTTATTTAAGAATTTCAATAGCCCTTTATTATGTTGGCCAGACATGGTGTTTTTTTGAATACCTATTTTTGAAAGAAAAATTACTCAATAATTGCTTGGTGATATTGGTAAAATAGATGATAGGGAAGAATTTGTTATTAGATCTAGATTGCAAAAACTGCATATATTTATCAATAAAAACATTTATAAGACTATGTTTATGTTTTGATTTCAAAATAATTGTTTTTTTACTCAAAAATAAATATAATAAAAATTTAGATAATTATATTATTGGTGTGTTAGTTTTTACGTTTCAATTAAATTTATTTAAAACTGTATATAATGTTAAATATATTAAGAAAGAACTCAAACATATTTCATACAGTTCCCGATTATTGAGGTGAAAGTTAAGAACAAATCTTAAATCTTCTATTTGGCTTCAGGAAACAGAACACTATTATCAATAAGAGCAGTCATTCTTTATTCCTCAGGCCAGATTTTAATAATTTTTCTTCCCATAACTCTTTTCTCTTTGTCTCTAATGGCAAGCTCTTCTTCAATTTCTTTTGGCACTATTGAAGCCTCCGAATCTTTGAGACTCTTATAGTACCTATTTTTGAGCATGTTCATAGTTTTTCCTGGGAAGTATTTAGTGATTTTTTAAAATTTAGGACCCAATTTCTTCACCAATAATAAAAGGATTCTGTCCTCCTCTGGCGAAAAGATTGAGTTTGAGGCTTTAACTTTAGTATCTAGATAATTTCTTTGCTTTTCTTTTATGTATTTATATAGAGCACTGCTTCTATCCTTATCACCATAGAGAATTGGCTTTCTTCTTTATCTAGATTACTTAGGTTTAAATCTAGGTAAGGTTGGGATAGTTTCTGAGCTCTGAGCAACCTATGTGTTTAGTTAGAGTGATTCTGATTATATTTAGCAATCATCGATGAAAGAAGAATCATCTTGATGTTGTTAAATGCAAATCATTTATTTTAATTATTAAAAACAAGAGGAAATATCTTAATTTATATAGTACTAATTAATACTTCATGTTTTAAATTTTATGATACAGTCAAATTTTGCAATCTCTTTTCTCAGGTTTGAAGTCTCTTTTAAGGAATACCAATTTTATATTTAAAATTACTAGAGCCATACATTTAATATTCTTTATTTAAGGGGCAAGATTTTTTTTCTAGAAAACAACTTTCTAGTGCTCTCGTTTCGGTTCTATTAAATAAACAAAATGATCTAGGATTATAGTGTTTGGTGTTTAAATCTCACTAAAATTAAACTATATTTTGATGATTTTGAATCATAGTAATAAATCAATATATATAAAATTTATTTAGAATTTTTTAAGAAACATTCAATAGAGTGATTAAAACATTCAACCTTAAGGAAGGATTCGTAGTTTATTTAAAAATAACAAAAATCAATTTATTGATTGAAAAATCAGAAACATTAGAAAAACTGATAAAGAAAACTAAAATGTGACATATTAATAATCCGATAATATACAGAACTTAAAAATTGAAGACGATTATTGAAAAATTATCTAATAAGAATAAAACTATAATTGATGAGAATATTTTAAAAACACTGTCCTAAATTTATACTTGCATATTAATTTTTTTTAAAAATTGTAGCGTTTAAATTATATTTTTAGAATTAATATATAAAGTTATTTAATGATCATTTAATTAATTTATTATAATTATTGACAAGAATCGCCTTGAAGAAGCGAGTTCCTAGATAGACTTAGATAAGTCAGAACTTAATTTAAACCAATTATAATTTAGGATACATAAAACCATTATAACAGTAATCATCGAAACCATGTTCATTTGGACTAGTTAGTAGATTACGTATCATTTTAGGGGTCTATGAATTTTAATAGAGTTTCATCTTAAATTAATAGGCTATTTTTATACTGTTAATAATGTTTATAAAAATATGTTTATTGAATCATTTTCATTTTTTGCAAGTGCTAACCAGTTCTTAAAATGAAGAAAGGAATGTATGCAAAATCTCTTTGGCTTCAGGAAATAGGGGGCTACCTTCAATCACAGAGCTCATTTATTTATGTTAAGGCCATAAATTTAGTATTTTACTGCCAATTACTCTTGATTCATTATTTTTTGAAAATAACTCTTCTTCTAATTCTTTTGGAAATTCTTGAGATTCAACATGACGGAGTGTCTTATAGTATCTGTTTTTAATCATATTGACAGTTTTTCCTGAAAAATACCTTGTGATTTTATGAAATTTGGGGCCTAATTTCTTTACAAGCAAAATTAGAACTCTGTCTTCTTCAGCTGAAAATTAAGAAACCTAACTTCTTGGTCTATAATCGAGCAATGCTTTTTGCTTTTCCTTTAGATATTTATATATTGCACTGCTTCTATCTTTCTATCCGTATTCAATTGTTTTTTTTCGTTACCTAAACTGTTTTGATTTAAAAATTCCTTCATTTTAAAAAGTTGTTTCTTGATGATGGTACTTCATTTAATAAGGACTTTCCTTATAGTTCGAGCTTAGGCTAGGCAAATGGAAGCATTCTGGAATCATTATTTTTAATTAAAATTAATCCATTTCTTCAAGAACAATAATGAAGCAAAAATAATTAGATACAAAATCTTTAATTTTTTTTTAAATTAAGCCTTTCAATTTCTCCCCTTAACTATATGCAAACGATAACAACTTTGTTAGTGGTAACTTTCAATACTTTAAGATTAAGATTTTAAAATAATTTGGGAAAAATCATTTTTGGAACAATAAACTGCTTTTTATATACAATATAAAATTAATTTAAAAAAATAAATCTCCTCTTATATTTGTAGAATTGAGCAATTATGAGGTAAGTGCTTATTATATAATATTGAACTCAGTCTATATTAATAGTAATATGTTATATTATAATATATATATATTTTAATTCTAATAATTTCAAAGTTATTAAATTTGTGAATTAATTTTCTCTGCTCTGTCTCTATAATTTTCTAATTGCTTCTTTTCTGTATGAAATTACTGCTTCAAATCACCTAAAACCTAATTTTTATTTTTTATATTACTAGTGAATATATTTCCTCTATGTCCTTCTAATGAGCTGACAGAATTTCTTTAATGAATTTCTCTATATCCTTATCAGTGATCTAATTCTCAGGGCTGGTCAACTGCTGATTCATTCGCTTTGCCCTTTCGTATAATTATTATTCTGTAGACATAAATAATTAATATAAAATTTCACACTGTTTTATAGTCTAAGTGGAATCTAAAAATTACATTTTCAATTTAATCACAATGTAAATGGTATCCAAATCAATGGAATTGAACTCAGAAACAATAAGTATCCATAATAAAAATAAAGAGTGTCAATAACTTGGAGAGATATAACTTCAAAGTTTATAAATAGTATTAATTAAAATTTATCAGTAATTGATAATCGACTATTGCAATTCTGTTAATAAAATTTATATATATGAGAAGTATAACAAATGTAATTATAATTATAATCCCATATCTTAAAGTATAAGAATGATTAAATTATTCAATAAATGATTAAAATTAACTATAGAAGTTGATTTAAATCTATAAACAATCTAAAAATTAGGACCAATAAATATTAGGTAAAAATAAGTAAAGGATTTTATGAAATAAAGTATTTGTATAAGAGGAAATGATATGGTGATTATATTAATGATCAATTTTCAAATGATATTATTAAAATTATATCATGATCATAATGTCTTTAGATAATTTGTGAAATATTATTTAATATATTATAAAATTATAATAAAATGGACGCAGGAGGAGCTAACACTTTTGTAGTTGAACCAAAGGATGAGGAAAAGTAAAAATAAAAGGATTTTATTAGATTTTATCCCTCTAAAGTGAGGAAACTTATTTAAGAAATTATGGAGGACAAATTAAAAAACGAAACTTATGATGCAAATAATACCCCTATTCTTGGAGAGGAACTTGTAAAAAGAATAAGAAGCAAGGTTAGAGATTGTAAGGAAATATAGTTAATTATAGCCATAAAAATGCCTAGATTTAAAATTGCAGTTTAAGTAGTTATAGGAGAAGTTAAAGGATAAGGTTGTAAAGTAACATCAAAGAACCTATGGGATCCTACTTGGGATAATTATGCATCATATGCCTTCTAAAATGTATTGTGAATTCATTAATTAGGAAACTATCTATGGGGTTGGGATTGTTTTTGGTGTCTATTATGAATGAAATTTTGAATATTAAAAATTAATTATTATTTATTTTAACTTTAGAACCACATAACATACTCTACTCTTATCATCATAATTATTACTTCCTTATGAAGTGAAATAATTAGGGAACTACAAAAAATTATAATTAGAATTACATTTCAAAATTTGAGAGATATTAATAGAATTGTGTTGGAAATACTCTCGAGATGCCATCTTCGTATAGTGGTTAGTACTTAGCGTTGTGGCCGCTAAAGCCCAGGTTCAATTCCTGGAGGTGGCACTTTTTTTTTATTTAAGTTTAATATTTGCATTTATAAATTATTACCTCAATAAATAATAAGATTAAGAAAATATGTTGTTTTAGACAATATCAGATTACTTTTATGGAAATACCCTTCTATTATTAACTAAAATCAATAAAAAATTTGACAGTCACAAAATTTTAGGATTGATTCATTTCAAGTTTTATATGACTTAATACAGAATATAAGAAAATTTAACTAAAATCTATAAACAACTATCAACAATTAGGAGTAATGAATCTTTAGAAATTATTCATTAATAATTATATAAATTTTAAAATGCCAAGAAGAAGTGGATCATCCTCAAGATCAAGACCAAGCCCAACCAGAAGCACAGCTACAGCTGCAAGACCAGCTCCTTAAGCTTAAGCTCCACCATAAGCACCTGCAAGATCAGGAGGTATGTTTTCTGGCCTTGGATCAACTCTGATGACAGGAATGGCCTTTGGTGCAGGATCTGAAGTAGCTCATCAAGCTATAAGATCTGTCATGGGAGGATCTGGTATGATTTCTTAGTAATTTATTAAAGGTCATTCTTAATCTGTTGATTAATAAGCTTAATAAGAAGCCCCATAATAGCAATAATAAGTTTGTCAAAGTGAAAGCCAAATGTTTTCAAATGTAAATTATATACTTAAGTTTAGTGCTTGTAAACAAACTAGGACATCACTAGATGCTAACCATATATGGATATTTTCAAAGAATGCTAAAAGAAATTCAATTTATGATGATTAATTATTGCATTAAATATATAGAACAAAGATAATATCCTTAATGTTTAATAGAATAATTGGGAAGACAACCATGATTTAAACATCCTTTTTCTATATTTTCTATAATCAAAAAATCCTAATTTATTAATTATTTTAATTTTTAGAATAAATAAATTAGATTTCTGATTTTAAGGACATCTCCAAAACAGTGATCCTTAACTATATTTGTTTTTATGATCAAATGCGATTTTAAATTCATATTATATAATATATCAATATAATAAAAATAGAATGAAAAACAACAGAAAAGTATAGTTAATTGCATAACTGCATCTTCCATTTTCTCCTCCTCCATTAGCACAAACACGATCGTAAATATCACTGTAATCAGGACATCTATTTTGCCAAATGACACATAAGAAACTGCAGATTTCATAATCGGTATTTCCATCATCTGTGCTGCAATATTTGAATTATTCAGCACAGAAAACGAATCTTGCAATACCCAAACAATCAGAGTTGGGTACTCCAGTGGCCTTATAATCTTCATAGAGCTTCTTATAGTTGGCTTTGGCCTAATTGATAGTATTTAAATTCTTACTTTTTTATCATATTCTGAAGCGTGATAATATTGTTCGCAAGTAATTGGATAATGTTATAAGTTGGCACAATAATGTTCAGACAAATACACATATTGATCTTCTTGTTAAATTGTGTCGAATAAAGCCACACGAGATCCACCTTCAACACAATAATTTTTATTGTTAATATCTGAAACTGTTACATTCACCTTAAAAGAAGTGTCTTTGGCAACTGCATCACAATAATCTGAAATCTCTTCTTCAGTATTGTTTGTCTCTTGAGCTTAAATCACGATGCCAAATTACAATATACTTAAAATTAATAAATACATTAATTAATTAATTATAGATTTGTCAAATATCATTTCTAACTTTTTGAGATGAATAGACATATATATTCTAAGAATATTTAATTATTACTCCTTGTTCATAATTAGCATCATAGTTTATCTGTTTCTAATTTTAGCTGAAAACAATGCAGTCTAATTAATTGAATATCTTAAACAAATAAACATAGGAATTCGATTTGATATTTTCATTAATAATTATTTAAAATCTTTGTTATGGGTGTCTGCTCATCAAAACAATCGGATAAAGAATTACAAAAAGCTTAATATCTCCAAAGATTAAAAGAATTCAAAGCAAAATTTAAATAAAGCACTGCTGAGATTATCATTCCGTTTAATGAAGCTTAACATGATGATAATCAAAATAAAGCTAAGTATGTTATTTCATAAAATCCAATTGTTAAAAGAAGAAGCAAATAATTCCATGAAATTACTATTCTTCCACTTAAGACTAATGATAATAAAAATTGATTTATCATATTTAAATCAAATCTATTTTAACTATTCAATAACAATTAACAAATTCTTTTGTATGAATTTGTCCAAAAATTCATTTATTTATTTTGTAAAAAATAACAAATCTTATCTCTTTGAAGTTAGAGTTTAGCTGTTCTTCAATCTTGGTGAACAACAATGGCTCATTTTTTTATGCAAATAACTAATTAAATATTATATAATAATTTGATTAAACAATATTTATTCAAAATAAATATATATTAATTAAATGAGATTAACATAGAATAATATTTCATTTTGCAGTTAAATTAGCGATAATGAGATCAAACTCCATTCCTTCATAAACAGTATCGCCTTTGATATCCATCAATGCTATTTTGACATGTAATTTACAGGGGGTCAAAGGAGCTTTAATCTATAATTTAATATAGTCTTTTTCTAGAAAAATATAATTTAACTTACAGTCTTTTTAAAGATTAATAGTTTCAGTTTTGACTTCTATGATATTTGGCATATTGGAACATACTTTATAATTGATTGGCTCTTCTTTTAGATTCAGATACATTATTTTCTTATTTACAATTGATCCTTTGTTGATAGTTAATTCATAATTCCTAATTTCAAAAATATATTGAGATAATAATACTTAACGTTGATGTAAGCCCAAGATTTCAAAATAACATCCCATTCTGGGTTTTGTAGATCTAAAACAGTTGGAATGTTTAAGGTTGCTTTTCTATGTTGAGATCTCATTTATGAATGAATTAAATTTATTAATTATTTGATAATTTGTAAATAATGAACCATTCTATTGATTATTATAATAAGTAGTAACAAAAGTTATATGAATACATGGTTAATTTAACATAAAATGTCACAGGCATTGAAAAGATAGTAAGTCTAATTGAATAATTAAAGCTTTCAGATTTAGTGAGATGCTTGTATGCCTTTAGTTAGGAAATTAAAATCGTTGGAGAGAAACTTCATACTCAAATTAGTAGTGGAGATGAGCCAGATATTTTGGTGTGTTTATATTAATAAGTGAGCAATTACTTATTAAGATTGTCAAGGGATTGGGAATTATCATCTTAAAGGATAAAAAGCGAAATAACTGAGCCATATACACAATTTGTATTAAATTTTAGATCGACAAATCGAAATTTGAATGCTGAATCAAAAAAGCTAGTGACTGAAATATGGGAAACCAGGAAGGAGATGTGTAAAACCTAAGATGAATATTGGAAGATAATGAAATAATTCGAATAAAAAAGTTAGTAAACACAAGAGATGGTAGATTTAATAGAGAAAGGGAGTGCAACAAGAGAAGATTTTCAGAAATAGTTCACAAGTTCTTTGAAATTGTAAGAATTAGCTGTTGAATCAGAAAAGGATTATAAAAACCTATTAACAATTACTAATGAGAAGTGGAAGTAATTTCATGAAGAATGGGATAAGATCTTTGCAAATGTAGGATTGAATGAATAGAGTAGGTATTCTAAATGAAATATATACTATATAGAATAATGTTTACAAAATAAACTGTTGGTTCATTATTAAATATTTTACCCTCTGATGAATACTCAAGTTAAATCGAAGAGAAGATAACAGATATGGAAGTTAAACTGAAAGAGGATCCAAAAGTACCTATTCGCAAATTGATAGAAAAAAAGATGGAAAATAAAGATAGTAAACAATTAGTAATATTATTAGTATTTAAATTTTAATTCGAAGAATTTATAAGTTATGACTAGTAGAAAAAGATGAGTATTAATCAAGAACAAAACAATACTATTTAACAGATCCATCATTAATGGCAAATAGTAGGAGACAGAATCTTAGAGGATGAGAAGAAGATTATAGATAAATATCTGGGTACATTGTTCACAATTGATATCTCTGATAAAAGTGAGTTACTCATAAAAGTTAAGCAAATTTTGTAGAAATAAGCAGGCAGAAACTATTTTAATAATTAATTGAATTATCTACATTCAAAATCAATTGAAGAGAAATAAGCATGTACATATTAATAATAAAATCTTAGCATTTTATTTGGCATTGTCAAACGAGTAATTTTAGGAATTAAATCAGTTGATAAGATTTTGGTTAAATTACGTTGAATTGAATGATCTTTATGAATCTGAAGACATCTATGATTTATTGCTAAAATCGATAAGGATAGTACGCAAAGATGGAAGGGATAGAATTAACCTTGCATCACAATTATCAGATATAACACTCTGGAGGAAGATAGAAAAATGGATAGAACTATTTTAGTATATCAATGCTAGGAAAGTGGATGAAAAGCGGAAGTAAGTGGAGTTGTTGAACTAATAAAACCAAAATAATATAGTATAGAAAGGATTCAAAATGATAGGGTCTATTTTTAAGAATTTAGGGACTACTTAATAATCTCAAAATGAACTTAATGAAAGTGAAATATCCTATATGATAATGGAAGAAATCAATCTATTTTTGACTTCGTTAAAATTACCATCGGATTTATCGACTGAAATCATAATCTAAATAGCATTTTAGTAACCAAGTTTTGATAAAGAGCATATCAAAAAGTTATTGGAGAAACAAGAAGACCTTCATAATACTCAATGGAAGAAAATGTTTAAATCAGGGAAAAGCATGCTGACTCATAAATCTGAAAAGTATGATCGTAGAAAGATGGATGAGTATGAAAATAAGGTTGTTTAGGTTTTTGGTGCAACTATGAAGTAATCTATTCAAATTATGTTAGATACTTGACACTTGAGGATAACCCTTGGTAACTACTGTTGATTAATAGTTAATTTAGTTTGCATTTAAGACATAAGATAAAAAAGTTTTATTTGGCTAATGGATAAATCTTTTCTAGTGAGGCAACTCATCAATAAAGATTAAAATTGATATGGTAGGCATTAAAATTGAGATCATTGAAAATTGATTATGTGGAAATGAAAACTAAAGTCGGATTAGAAATGGATATTAATCAATTACATGAAGAAACCATTAAGTTAGATGTTCAAAGAAGTCTGCATCTTCATAAAGAGAAGATCAATTCCTCTGTACTCTAAAGCTTATTGAGAATTTATGCGTTCTATAATTAGGAAGTTGGATATTGTCAAGGCATGAATTATATAGCAGGCTATTTATATTTGACCTTCTAAGATCAAGTAACAGCATACAAGGCCTTTGATAGGATGATGAATCTTTATTTTAAAGATCTGTATATCAATGATTTCTCCAAACTAGTACTAATTATATTTGATATATAGAAAATTGGGTTTTATTAATTCGATCGATTACTATAAGTCTTTTTGCCTGAGTTGTCATAGCATTTAAAAGATTAGAAGATAGATCCATCATATTATGTAGCCTCTTGGTTCATAACATTGTATTCCAATGTTTTTCAGTTTAGTCAACGATCAGCACTTTTAAATATTATATGGGATATCTTTTTGGCAGAAGAATGGAAAGGTATTTAATTTCTAATATTGAACCAAGGGTTTTTCAAGGTTACCTTTTATCTGCTTTGGCTATTGTAGTAAAAAATATTAGACTTAGAATTCGATGACATTCTGCATTACCTAGGACAACTGATAAAAAGTGAATTCTTTACGATAGATAATGAAATAGAATTGATTAAGCTCGTTTAAAATTATGACAAGACTGTCAAAGAGAATGAATCAATTAAGACAACCATTTTATAGAAGTTCAGAGTTACTAATAGAATGTTAAGAAGCTTGGATTCGGAATATCATAGTTTTCAAATGAAATTGAATAAAAAGTTGAATTTATGTTTGAAGAAATGAATCAATGTACATTAATAATGAATAAGAATTTATAATGATATTTATTAAGAGAACTAAATATAACAGCTCTATCATATATTCAGTAATTGCTGAATATTTAATATTATTCATCGTTTTAAATGTTAAGTTCTTTTCTAGGATCAAAATTAGGATCTTTAGCCTTTTATCTAAATAATAAGATTCAATATCACCTTTACAGAAATTAGAGCTCAGTTTGATCATCTCTATTAATGGGATTGTCTGGAATGTCTGGATACTAAGTCAAATCTAATTGCTTTTTCTAACACCAATTGATATAGTGAATTGTACAGAGAGTTCTTGAACCCCAAGGCCCTTTTGTAAAATTGGAAGCAAATCTTGCGCCACAATATCTACACCAATCCTATAAATTAATCATCACATTTACGTTTTTGTATTTAGAATAATCAAAATGTTTAACTGGTATAATGCCTAGTTCTTCATAGGAATAAGGATGTATATCTTTGCTACGTTTCTCTCTTTGAACTTTCTTTTATATTATTTCTTGGCTGTTACTTCTACTGGAGTCCATTCTTCTCTTGTCTGAATCTTGAGTCTCATGCTTTTTTTCTTAGATTTTACGTGTTCTGGCTGTAGTTCCAATGCTGTTAAATTCTGCTTTTGAGTGTTTTACTTTCTTTTGATATCCTATGAAAGGTATTTTGACAATCATGCTTGCTTCGCTCTTTTCTTATTTAGGTTTGACACACAGATCACAAATCATGACTTTTTTGCCAATCTTTTAAATTTTAACTTTGATCTCAGGAGGAGCACATTTACTATGAAATGATCTGCAACATCTAATGCAATGTATTAAAGCAGTCGTCATATTGGAAGAATTGATTTTACAGAATACACAAATATGAGAGGGACATCTAAATAAGTCAGCATTAGTATCAAGTGATTTTGATAAGGGATTGGCTTAGATACAACTCAAGTGAAAATATCGATTACAATTAGCAGTTGAACATTTAGATATGATTGATTTATTTTTGCTTTTCTTTACATTATCATCAGAAGGATCAAATTCATCAATTTACACAATCTCTTCTTTTTATTTCTTGTCTGGAGGATAGGTACCTTTCTATTTACAAAGCAAACAGACCACTAGATTATTTCTACAATCCGGACAAGAATATCTTATGTTGATCTTTTCCTTCAATTATTCACCACTCCAATTGAATTCAGGGAATGCATTTTTATTAAGAAAATCCTAATCAGGACCTTCGACGTTGATATAATCAGTAGTCTCTAACAATTCTTTGCATGCATCATGAAATGCTCTTCTACAATGTCCCATGCAAAAAATAGAACAATTAGATCTTTCACAGACATAACATAACTTTTTGATTAATTCTTCTTTGCTCTTTGATGCTAATCTTCTGGCATCTTCTCCTTACAATTCAACTGTCCTTTATTACTTCCTACCTAAATCCAAATCAGTTATTTTCTTAATTCTTCTTGAGGGTTTACTTAATTCATAAATCCAATTCATGGCTAGTTCTCTATAATTCTTTGCATAATTTGATGAATTTATCTTATTCAGTAAATCTGTTAATATTTATTCATCATCAGTACTATAATTGGATTAACTTAATTTGGATTCTATCAATTGATTAACACAATCTCCAACCTCTTCTAGATATTTCTTCTGTTCTTACAACGACATATGCAGATCAAACATTTTGCTTAATTTCTAACATCTACTTTCTGAACTTTTTAAAATTATCTTCCAAAAATTAGGATCCTAGATATTGATAGATTTGTCAGTCTTCTCTGAAACAAATGATTATTTTGATACTGTATAAGAGCCATTAATGAGTGAATATTTTGCAGTCCTTGAATTCTTTTCCAAAATCTCATCAATATTTTTCTCTTAAAAAGTATCACCATTTTAATTATTAGTTATCAATCCTATTATTCCATTTTTCAACAGGACTTCCATATCTTGTTTACTCATCTTTTTGTCATTTTTATTGCTCTTATAAGAATTCTCGCATGATTTAAATTGACCATTCATAAAGATTGCTTAATCTAACCCTAATTTCTTTATGGCTCTTTCAAACATTTCTGCTTCATAAGTATCCTTCGTAATCAATCTATAGACTGTAACTTCTTTAGATTGACCAATCCTATGAGCTCTTGCAGTTGCTTGCACATCATTTTATGGATTCCAATCTGAATCGTATATAACAACTATTTCAGCAGCAGTTAAGTTAATTCCTTGTCCTCCTGCCTTAGTGGATAACAGAAAAACTTCCCTCTTTTTAGAAGGATCGTTGAATCTGTCTATTGCATTAGATCTTTCTCTTGCCTTGATTTATCCATCGATTTTTTCATATTTGACTTACTTGAATTTCAAATACTCTTCTAATATTGATAACATCATAGTGAATTAAGAGAAAATGAGCATTTTCTTACCTTCACTTCTAAATTTATTTAATAATTTATCCAACAGAATCATTTTACCAGAACTTTCAACTAATTTATTTATATAATCAATTTTAGTCTAACAGCCTTTTGATAAATCGTTTTACATCTCTTAAATTAAAAATGGATGATTGCAACACTTTCTCAGTTGTATCTCAAGATTATTAAGAGATGCAGCATTTGCAGCCCATTAAGAGAATCCCTGTTCCAACATTGACTTATTTCGATCATACAAAGCTTTATAAATATGTTTCTAAACTGTTGTCATCTCAATATCTATAATGGTCTCTTGAAGTGGAGGAATCATTTATTCGACATCTTCTTTTTGTCTTCTCAGAATGTAAGGTTTCAATAAGACATTCAGCCTATCAACTTAATCTGATGTTTCTAACTATCCATAGTCTCGTTTGAAATAGTTAAGATTGCAGAATTGATTGGGTTCTATGAAGTTCAGTAAACTAAATAATTCTTCAGTATTGTTTTAAATAGGAGTTCCAGTCAAGAGTAAAGTGCGTTAACAGGAGAGTCTTTTAAGTGATTATAAGATTCTTGCATTAGAATTTTTTAACTTATGGGCTTCATCCACAACTATATATTAGAAAGGAATATTTATAAATATATTCTGAAAATCTTGCATAAATACTTCATAACTAGTTATAAGAATCTGAAATTTATATATTTCTGAGGCTGTTAATAGAATTCCTTTCATGCTTATATCTGTATAAAAGAATTCATATTATCTACAAAGTTATCTGCCAGCATTGCTTTCTTGATCATAATAGAGTACGGCATTTAGATTAGTCCATTCTTCAACTGTTCGTTTCCAATGTTGTAGAGTAGACAAAGGAGCTATTACTAAGAATGGACCTCTGTAATTTTCAAAATTATAGAGATGATTTAAGAATGCAATTGTCTGTATGGTTTTACCAAGTCCCATTTCATCAGCCAAAATAACATTTCTGTCTTCATACCATGCTCTGATTAACCAATTTAAACTATCCAGTTGATAATCCCTCAGCAAACGTTTATCCTTATAAATTGTTTGGGTGAGTTAAGTATATTCATGTGGAGGTTTTTATTAATTGAGGAAATACAATTATGATTTGATATCTTGGATTTGCATGTTGGATAATTTCTTTTTCTTGATACCTTGGTCATATTCTATTAAATTCTTATGATTTAAATTTTGCTGCATCATTAAATTTCTTGTTTCTTTATCTAGACTTCTATTAAATTATTTGAATTCTTGAATCTTTTGTCTGCAATCAATAAGAGATTCAGGTTCCCATGTAGCCTCTAGATAAGACAAATGTTTCCATTTTACAAAATAGAGTTTATCAGGTTCTTGTTAGAGGTTCTAGATCTCCTCTTTAGTTAATAATTGTATTTCCTCTGGTGATTCATTAAGCCATTCAAATGATTTTTCACCTGGATTCCATGATTCTATATCTGGATCAACAACATCCATTTAGGATTAAAAATCTTGCATTTCTAATTGCATCTCTTGAGCAACATCGATATCTTAATTTTGGAGGGATTACTTTAAGTAAACTTCCAGATCGAATTCTTAGTCATTCTCAATTTTTAATTTAATGTTTAGTTCTTACTCTAAGATGTTTTCAATCTCTTTGGCATGTTCTTGAAGATTATATTGTTTATCTTCTATGATATTCAAAACTTTAGAAACTAATTCTTTGATTTTCTCTTTTTTCAATTCTGGCATAATATCTTTCCTATGAGCATCATTGATCTTCTCTTTGTATGCTTGTTCATTGATATATCTTTGCTATTGTAATTTAGATTAATAGTTTTAATTGGCTTCTTCATACCAAATATTATAGAGTACAGTAGAACATTCTATTAGAGTGTTAGTGATTTTATTCATTTCTGTTCCTTCTTGCCATTCTTATGCTGCAGCTTTAAAGACTGAGCCCAATTCAGACCAGAAATCACTAAAATTTTTGTAATATCCCAAATAAAGTCGATTATTAATGGTTCCAAAATCAAGGAATGTTTTTTGTTCTAAGAAGTATACACCATAATGGATTTGATCTCTGGAGAAGTTGAGCAAGTGAGACATTACTTTAGTTAGTGATTCTGCCCACTTTCCTTTCATTTCCGATCCCTTTTTTGGATGAACAATAGGAAAGATTTCTGTACATGATAATACTCTATCTACTTCTTAGAAGGCTGGATCAAAATATTGATCATCTAGAAAGTCATCGATTTCCTCTTGGATACGCTTCTCGAAGACTTTGTTAAATCTATTAATTTTCTGCTTGCCATTCTTTTCTTCAAGGATCTGAGGATATAGAATAAATTGATTATACTCTATCTTCATTAAGCCATTCTGTATGTAAGTAGCTTCTATTCTTAAACTTTACTAAATATAAGATTTCGGAAGTGTTTTGGTCTATCTTTCTACATAAAATTTGATCAATCTCTGGAACGAAGATGCGCTTCGCTTCTGTTTCTTCAACTGGTTAATTTATGGGTTCATCTTCCTCGCTCATAGTTGCTGCATAATTCTTCTTGATAGCTCTGGCTGATCTCCGTTCATTTGCAATTGCATTATGCTCTAATGGGTAGTATTCCTCTTCCATCTAGTTGTATCTACAAATGCATCTAACATCATGTACTTTCTCTTTTGCTTATCTCGCAGTCTACCCAATTATCTATTACTTTAATCATCTTCACTTTCTTAATCACTCATTTATAAAATAATAAAGGACAAAAGAAAAATAAAAAATGTGATAAAATAAGCATCTCTCTATTTGAATTTCAGATAATTGCACTCAAATAGGCGCGCATTTAATTATTTAATATAATAACCATATTTTATGGAAATATTTACATTACATTCATCATCCATCTTCCTATACTCTTTCTTATTTATTTAATTATTTTATATGGATCCAAGTGCGCATTGGAAAGAACTAAATAAAAAGTATTACAAATTTCATCAATTCAATCCTATCACAGGTGAGTAGAAGAGTCTTGACTTTTTCTATTAACGCATAGCTGTATCCAAATGGGGTGGTCCCTTGGCTGCTACTAAAAATTATAATCAGGTTATCCTCATGCGTACCGATGACCTACTAAAAGACTCCATAGTGTTCTTCTCCAACAATGGTAAGATCATATCCAAAACTTAATATAAAGAAATCGATAGAGTATAACAATTAAATTATATAGATTGCATTATTCGATTTCCTAGAAGATGAACAACTATTGTTGCTCAAGGCCAACGGTTCGTATTATATAGTAGATCCCTTCAAAGGTACCAAAAAGACTTATGATCTGATGGATCAATTCAAACAATAATAAATTCACAAAGGCTTAATTGTTAACAATGGATTTGTATTGATGACAACAAATTTTGAATTCTTCTATATTCCTAATGCATATGAGCCTTAAGTTCACAAAATGAAGCCATCTAATCTCACCTAAGAACCTGAACATTGGTAAGTTATTCCACCTCAAAAAACATAGAGTGGAAAGATGGAACTCTTAATTGCCAATCCTGATGGTGGAATTATTCATATAATTGAAGATGAAAAATGGAAGATCTATTACAATAAGGATAAAATAGTTAATGAGATCGATAAGAAACTACCTGATCTCAGAAACATTAAAATGATCAGTCTATCATCCAATTACAAAAACCTAGCATTACTCTAATACTTAAATTAAAGATGGGTTGTAACATTCATTTCAGATTTCTTTGATTCTACAGATTGTAAATAAATACCAATTGATCTCAAAGAAGAGGATGTGAAAAAAGAAGAAAGTGCAGAAAAAGATATAAGTAAAATTGAAAGACCAAGAAGAATGCTTTGGTGTGGTGATGATTGTGTTGTTCTCCAATTACAATAATATTTAGTCTTAGTTTCTAAGGATTCTTACATTAAAGTCAAAATGAGCAATTCCCATTTTGCACTTAAGTAGGAAGTTGATGGAGTTAGGATTTTAACTTAAAAGAAAAATGAGATTTTGCGTAAATTACCTGAAGCTTATGTTAATGTCTTCTTACCACTCTCTGTTAAACCAGGGGCTTAATTGCATTCTGCATATGAGTCATTTGAATAAAAAAATCCTATTGAAGATGATGAATTAAGATCCAAAAAGACTGAACTTGGAGAAGCAGTTAATGATTGCATCAAAAGTGGATAATTTGAGATTAATCCTGAATATCAAATGAAACTATTAAAAGCAGCCAGTTATGGTAAAACATTCTTAGGAAACTAATTGATTGATCCAAACCTCCTAAATGAAACTTGTAAATACCTCAGAGTGTCAAATGCTCTACGTAGAAATGGTAGTGTAGGTGGTAGAGTTGTTACTTATGAATAAGTCTTGCAATTGATAAAGAATCCAGATCTATTTATCACTCTTATGCTCAGATATAGTTTACATTATTTAGCTATTGAAATTTCACGTTTCCTTAAATTTTAAATTAAATAAAAATCTACAATCTATACTCATTGGGCATGTTGTAAAGTAGAAAGTTAAATGGATGATGATTAATTATGTTAGTTAATCAAGGAGAAGATTAAGGAAGAAAAAGGAGTATCTTTCACTTAGATTGCATAGAAATCAATAGAAATAGGTAAGTCACAATTAGCATTAAAACTTCTGGATAATGAATAAAGCTTATCTAAACGTATTCCAGTTCTTATATGGATGGCCAATTATTAACAAGGCAACAACAATTCATATTATGAAAAAGCTTTGATTGATGCAATTGCCTCAAAGGATTCAAATCTGATTTATCTTGTAATAATGAAGTTTTTGAAAACAGATATGGATGAAACCTATAAGTTTGGTATTCTATCTTAAAATCCAGTTGCCCAATCCCATTTAATATATTACCTTAGAAATTTTGATGATAAATACTTATAGAAATATTTACAATATTTAAAGAAATACGATGAATGTGGTTTATTGGCTATCAATTAAGCATATCAATAGAATAATTTGACCGAGAAGATCAGGTTTTTGGAGTTTGCCTAGAAATACTTTGAAGAAGAAAGCAAAGATTCTTTCTATAGTAAAATATTACAAGAATAAATACGAACATTGAATGATTTGAAATAGGAAGTTGAAAGAGAGAAAAAGGAGAAGATCAAAGCGGTAATGGAAGAAAAACCATTGAATTCAATTATGGAAACATTTCTATCTAAAGATAATATTCAACTGGCTTAAGAATTTGCCAAGACATATAAAATTCCAGAAAGAAGGTACTCACTAATTATATCCTTAGATTTAATATAACAAGAGTGAAGGCATTAATTAATAATAAGAATTGGGAAGAATTGGAAAGATTTATGAATGAAAAGAACAAAAAGAATGTATCCATCCCCTATGAGTTAGTTGCAGATATGTTGATTAAAGCAGATTAAGAAGAAAGAGGTTTATAAATGATAATGAAAATGCCAGATCCAGAGGTAAATAGAATTTATATAGAATAGGAATCTTGCTATATGTTATTAAAAATCGGATAGTAGCGACATGCTGTTCAAGTAGCCATTAACAATAAGAAGTCACAATTGATACAAGATATCAGAGGATCTATAAATGACAATTCAGCTAAAGCATAACTTGAAATGTACTTAAGTTCAAATCAAAAATGATATAAAAGGTTATGTTTAATACAAAGAATAATATATAAATGTTAAACTTCTTTAGATTTGGTTGACTTTGGAATTTCAAGATATTTTTCTCTTTTCTATGGCAATCCATCTGAATTTATTTTAACTTTACAACACTACTTAATTAATTCTGGGAACAAAACATAAAATTATATAATGGCAAGAGATTATTAATTCAAATAACCCTCCTTTCTAAGAGTATCAAGTATTGTTTCCCAGATTGAGGAGCCTTATAAGTCTCCATAATTATAAAAATTTGCGTAAAGATTAACATCCTAATTAGATCTTAATTGGAAGATATAGCGAATGAATATGAATACAGGCCTTTACCTCTAAGTAGATAAGCATCTAATTTCATATTGTATGATCCAATCAACAGTTTGGGATCAAGGAGATCAATAACAAAGGATAGCTATCCTCTTCCATTTTAGAAATAATAATCACAGATATCCTAGATTAATGATATTAGAGTGAAGGAAGAATTATCTAAAGAAATTGAATAAGAATAAAAAGAACAACCTAATTTGGATGAAGATAAAGATAACAATAAAATAAAAAAGTCACAATAGGTCATTAAAACAAGTTAAATACAAAAACAAATAAAAAAAAAAAAGAATGAATTGGAATAATAACCTTGTTTTTGTAGAAATAGTGGTTGTTTAAAGAGATATTGTAGATGTTTTCATAGTGGAAGAATGTGTTTAAAGGAATGTTAATGTGTTGAAGGCTGTTTGAATAATGAGGATCATCTAGAAGAACGTAATATGGCAATAAAACATGTGAATGAGAAATGTCATAGAAACAAGAATATTCCCAAAGATGCCCTGTTTAAACTTAAGGATTGTTTTGGTTGCAGCTGTAAAAAGTCTAGGTGTCAAACAGGTTATTGTGAATGTTTTTTGAGAAAATCAAAATGCACAATTGATTGCGAATGTCAAAATTGTGAGAATGGTTTAGATGAAGCATATTTGGAAAGCTAAAAAAACAAAAAGAATTATAGAGTTAAAAGAAAGTGAGTATAATTAATATATTTATATATACAAAACATGTTAATATATTAAAGTAATAATTGTATTAATGAAACATAATTTATAAGCAAAGTAATAATTTAAGATTAATCATCAAGGAAAAATAAGAGAAATATAACAGGAGGAGAAATTCATTTAAACTAAATTGATGAGGCTGATAAAATAAATGAAGATGCTTCATAAGATTACGAAAGCAATCTATTAAAAGTTTTAGATTTGCAACCAGAGATCACTAAAATATTCATTGAAAGTATTTTAACACTTTTATCCCATAGATCTGACAAATGGTAGTTTCATTGAATTGAATGAACAAGCTTTAAGAAGGAAAATTCAAATGATGGAAGAAAGCAGAAAATAACAAATTCAAACTGAAAATGTATTATTAGTCTTGAACAAATTAATTCATGAAGCAGTCAAATTAATAGACAGATTTATCTTCTTTTTCTAAGGATTATTGGCAGGTAACCTTTAAAATTAACAAGGGAATGACATTGATGCATGTTTTCATCATTTTTCTAGGTTAAAGTACAGATTAAGAAGGCTTGACAACATTCTTTAAATTATATGCTAAATACTGTTTAAGAGTGGATTAAGTCTTTCATATCATAATATTAATCAGTGCTTTTGGTAGCTTATTTGTTTGTGTTCAATTAAAAGATTAGTAAGAAAAGACAAAAAACAATTAAGATAAAAAGTTTTATATCCAATCAATTATTAGTGCTCTTTGTAAAAGATACATTTTAATTTAGTTTATAATATTGCTTATCTGTTATGGGTGATAGGACATAGAAATATAGTTGAATTATCAAGTGGAATCACTCAGGATGACACAAATGATCAAGTCTAAGCTGTAATTGATGGTTCTGCATTATACAACTTTTGGACTTACACATAGATAGCAATTACTGTTCTGACTGTATTGGGGTGGTTTATTTCTGTGAATACAACTGAAAGTAATCTTAACTATTTAGCCTCGGTCGAAGCGGAGTAAGAAATAATCAATAATTTAATAGTTAAATATTTGGTGATGAAAATAGGAAGGAGAAATGATCAAATTATTTTTATTAAGATTTTGAATTAATTTACATACTTTAATTATTACACAGTTGCTATTTCTTATACACTAATATGATTGTATGTATTATTCTATCTTTCTTTTCAGGATTAAACTATTTCAATAATATATATTTTGAAATAAATTTAATGATAAATTAAGAATTACAATCATATGGATAATTACAACTGCCTTTATAATTAATGAATTTTAATAAATAATTTATAATAATCAGTATTAGATAAAACTAAAAATAACACTAAAATACATACTTTTCTTTACATGAGTCAGCACTCTTCAGGTCCCTGTCTTCCTCTATTTTAATAAGAAAATAAATACTTTATAACTATTCTAATTAATTCACTGCTTTGGACATTTCTTTTTTAAGATCTTATACAATATTTGATATATTATTTTATTTGTCATTAACTTTTCTTATGATGGAATCTAATTTTGTTTAAATAATGAATTACCAAACTATTTTCCAGTATTAAATTAAGCTAAATCATTAGTTTAATATTCTGATTATCCAAAGTAGCTCTTAAACTTTTCCTCAAAATTCTAGAATAAATTTGAATTAAATTACAATAATTTTTTTTTTGTCTTTGTTTTCTAATTACTTTAATTCCTAAAATATAGCTAAGTTTTCAAAAACTTAACTATCCTCTCTGTCCATATTGTTGATATGAGCAGTTAAGAAATCATCAGCAAACCTGACCTTTTTGTCGTTAGAATTAACGGCAAGCGACTTTTTATTATCTGAGAACAAAGGGGAGTATTGTTATTGTTATTGTTAATGTTATTATTAGTAAGATGATTATTGCTATTATTATTATTGATAATTGATATTTATATGTTATTAAGATTATTACTATTGTTATTATTATTGTACTTAATAAAGTTATTCTTAAAGTTCTTGATTTTATTATTTGAGCTTTGAAATCTATTATAGTAGTTCTCCTTAATTTCTCTTTTAAACTATAACTTCAAGTTCTTCCCTTAATTATTTTTCCTTTTGATATTATTTTAATAATTCTTAATACTCCTCCATAGACACACCTTTGGGTTTGTTTGTTTTAGGTTATTAAATATTTCTGCCATCCAACACTGCTCTCTTCGCTCGATTAGCAAACTATAATGTAGAAAAGGTCTCAGCACTGGAAGATATCGAAGGAGATACGCAGACGATGAATAGGATTTTACCACTGCCACTTAAAGAATCACTTAGAACTCTTGTCAATTTAGAATTTCTGAAAGGTATGTGTGTTCTATTTCTATCAATCAAAGCAGAGATACAATGTCCTAAACAAGATAAACTACCATTGATTGATGTCAATTCTTAGATGTGTAGTTCCTTCTCTTCAGGAGTCAAGTCAGTTGGAATTTTAAATTTCTCAGATCCAGCTAAGTCAACAATTTTAAGTGAGGACTCTTATAATACAGGTTCTCCATTTATAACTGAAACTTATTGAAGAGTCATCTAAAAACAACAATGAGATCTTGAACTCTTTGAATTGGCATGACTGCATCCTACAACTCTATTTCTTAATCCTAGAATTAAGTATTCATAGGCAGTATCAATGTCCATAATTCTTATTTGGGATAAATCTGGAATATTCACATCACCATTTTTGTTTTCACGAATGTCCAATCCTTGAGATTTTAGATTGAAAAGATCAAAAATCTATAAGTTTATTAGTTCTATATACTTTTTCATTGTAAATTTCATAGAATGATAAATAAAGTCGACATTAATCCTCTTCTATTTGACTTTATAATTGAGATATGATTGATTGAATTGCTCTAGGTAGAATTCCTCTCTCATTGCACCTTATAACCTAATGAAACTTCTCAGTGGAAACGTTAGCTACATTTTCAGGTAATCCACCCATAATTGTATAAGTTTTACCAGCTCCAGTTTATCCATAAGCAAAAATAGTGTTGTTTATTCCTTGTATGAATGACTTGATAGATTCAGAAACCAATCGTTGAACATCCTGTTGGTTGGCTGTTTTTGGAAGTATGTCGCTGAACTTCATTCGAAGACTATTTCCAATTCTAGTCACTTTTATTGTATTATCATCAATCATCTGTACAAAGTCCTCTTCACTTTCACTATTTAGAGTGGGTCTGACACGAACTGCTATTCTGACTTTGCTATTATCACTAGGGATGTCTCTCTAATTAGGGCTTTTTGATTTATTCATTCGTTAATTAATAATATAATGAATCAAACTAAACTAAAAAGTAGATTATTTTAATATAATTTATCATTCAAATATATAGGAAGATTGTTTATTAATCAAATTGACTCATTTATCAATCCCTTAATTGAAAACCCCTTTTGAAATCCTATTCCTTTAAATAACAATTATTTAAATAAATAAAAGAGTTCCTCTTTATAAATGAATCAAGAATAAGAATAAGAATAAGAAAATTTAGTTATTGTCTTAGAGATTGAAATTTCATTTATATTAGTCCATTTTTTTTGTTAATTCTGATTTATAATATATATTTTGATGATATGATTTATACCAAATAATCTAATATGTTGAACCATTATGAATTTGAATGGTTTTTAAGGAATGATAAATTTATAAGATATATGTTAAATTTTGAAGTAATTATGTATAATTGATGTGTTAGTTCTAGTGATAAACATTAAATAAATTAACTGTTAGAAAAATAAATGGAATTGAAACAACTAAATAAGTTTACCGAAGAATATAAACTAGAAAAGACTCATAAACTTATTAAATATCTTATTATTTTGGGTATAAGTGTAGCTAAACAATCACTAAATGATATTACTTAGGATGGAATCAAATCATTAGCTAGTATATTTAATAGTTAAATTAGATGCTTATAAAGAAAAGTCTATTCAATAAGAAATAAAAAGCTTACGCAAGAAAGTACTTTCATTGGAAAAGCATTTTTAACCAGAACAATAAATTAAATATCATAGTCAACCAAAATTACCTACTAAAATAACTCCTAAAATTACAGAACAAATACCAGTTTAATAAAATGTCAAAAAAGCCATACCATTCAAACATCACTTAGATGATTCAGAAATGTAATATTCAATATATTAATTGTTAGTAAATCAATATTGTGGAATCAATACAATAACAATTATGAACTAAACTACGAAAATAAAGATTCATAACATTAACCTAAAAGAAAGTAAACATTTGATTCATAACCAATTATTCCTCAATATCTACCTAGAAATGATTCATAAAACGAAATTTAACCATTATCATAAAGAGAGAATAGTGCCAGATAATAAACATAGCGATCTTCATATCATTCTAGCCAGATAGACAGTTTACACAGTCTACATAGTCGAAACTCACCTTAATTTAAAGATGAGATTAAGAAAATACATAAGGAGAATAAGACTCCTCAAGGAAGTTCTGTACCAAAACATCTTAGATAAGTGCAATCAAAAATTAAATAACAAATACTATAAGATAAAGAATAATATAGATCAAATCATGTTCAAAAAGTAGATGACCAATGCATTAATATAAATAATTCTATGAATCCACTGAATAACACTCCTTAGAATAAGTTGTTTTAACCTTGTCAATCTACTCATTTTGGTAGTGGGTAAGTAGGCAGCGCATAGCAACAGTAAAATCACCCTTAGGAATCAAATACTATCACCGAAAGAAAATTATTTAATATTGATGAGATTGCTTCATCATTTTTAAATTCTCCTTTCCTCAAAAGTTAGATCAAACAAAGACTATTTAATAAATAAGAATCGGCTTCTAAATCATCAGCATCCAGTACTTTCTCATTGTTCAATCCAAACAACGAACTTAAAAGTATAATTATTATTGTAATATAGATTTCTTTTAATAGTTAGACAAGTAAGTGGTCAACTAGTTATCTTTTTAATTTTGAAAAGTAATAATATGTTCAACTTATTATATAACTAATGCTTATTCTCATAAACCAGATTGGGTCTTGTAGTGTAGCGGTTATCACAAAGGATTCTGACTCCTTTAACCCAGGTTCGAGTCCTGGTAAGACCTTAATTTTTTTTAAATATTGTTAATTTTAAATTTGACTAAATTCATCACTCTTAAATTACTTAAATCCAACCTGACCTTCCAAAAGTATTTGGATCGGCAAACAATTCCATCATTTTTAAACCCTCCCCTGCCTTGTATTATGCTTTTGGTAATAAAGTCTCAATCATCTTGTAAATATATTCCATTCCTATTGCAGATATATTTTAAGCATCCTTTTCAATGACATCAAAGAATATATCTCCAGTTCTTTGATGTCTTAATTCTAATTGTTGTTTGGACTGCTTTCTAAACATCAACAATGTTCTTTTGGTTTTTCTAAAGTATGTGTAATCTTCGTTCCAAAAAACTTAAGTGGGATCTAAATCTGGCAATTATTCTTAATTTCTCAACCCGTCTATCTTTTTTATTTCCTTTTGCTCTTTTACATTCTTCTTGCTGAAGAATTCTGTAATCTTCCTAACTTGAGGTTCTGAGGGCATTATTGTCAATATCTTTTCTAATGATAATAGAACTGTTGTGAAATTCTCGACATAATTAAATCCAAGCTTTTCCAGCTGATCAATAATTTCCATAATATTATCTTTTTCACACCAAATGAACAACATGCCATTATGCATTTATGAATCTGTCAAATTGAATTATTTCTATATCTAAACAACAATAAATTACAAATTGCTCGATCTTCAGATGCTACCCCCACTTTAGATTAATAAATATTGCTTATAAATCGTTGCCTAGCTTAGTTTCGATTGGATTAGATTCCCGCACTATTTTAAATGATTCAGGAATGGCGGGTTTTCCTTGTGGTTGATATTTAGGATCCCAACGATAATCTAATACCATTCTTAATCTATTTTGATCTTCCTTACTCTTGGTAGTAGGTTTTTTGATATTCATATTTAATTAATGATTTTTTTTCAAGTTCTTAAATACAAAACTAAGTAAACATAAAGTGAATCCAATTATTAATATACAACTTCTCAATTTTTTGATAATGAATGATATCAATAAGTACGAATCAATGACAGTATGCATAAAATTATAAATTATTCTTGGTAATCTGTCTGAAGGAGAGTGGAAAAAACATCAGAAATATTTTAAAAAAAAAAGATATACAAATGAAATCAGTTTGTGCATTATTGATTTTATATATGCAGGATAATTACAGGATGATCAAAGAAATGGAATTTTTCACACATTAAATCAAAATGTATTTTAATAGTAACAACAATAAGAGGTCTAAAAGTCAATACAGAATGGATAAAAATCTAAAGTTGACGATCTTGAAAATAAAATTAATGTATTATATAATGTATAATAGGAAAGGATAGAAGAAAGAAGAAATTTTTAAATTGAATAGGATAATTGGTTATTAAAATATCTTTCAAATAGAAAAGTATCTGTCATTAAAAATAATCTAGAAGGATAATAATAGGCTTATCTGAATTTACATAACCCATTAAAGAATTTTTTAGTTAATTAAATCAATTCAAATAGTAGACTATACAATAAAATAAATTGATATCATTAAAATCTAAATTTTAGTTCCTTTAATTATCTTTCTAATACTTCATTATTCATTAATGAATCAAAAGGTATCAAATGAACAACTCTTTTAATTATCTTCATTATTCTGCCTAAATAAGGAGAATAATAATAGAATAGTAAGATTTATATGCTTATGGTTAGAAAAATAAATGATATTGACAACACCTATAATAAAATATTTATAAATACTGTCAGAAATAATTTCATTTCATCAAACTATGCTTATAGACTTTTATTGAATTGATTAGCTAAAACAAAAAATATTCTACTAACAATTTGTGAACCTTCTTATTCATAATATTCCATTTCAACTCTATGAGTAAAATTGTTAATCGCTTATTATGATTTAATTTAATTAGACATATAATTTAATGTTACAATCATCCCTTTAGCAAATGATCCATCAAACGAAATTCCACAAAATACTGATGATAAATTTTTAAATTTCTAATTATAATCATATTAAAATTACTTAATCAATTTATTGACAAAGTGAATTCGTATTAATATTTTCAACCAAGTCTATGAAATCTTAATCAATTAAATAATGATCATAATTTATGGTGTTTGATATTTAGATATAATTTGAAATAGCATTTTAAGCTTTATTAATTAAATCATAAAGTTCTAATTTATTGCTTTCTGTAAGAAAAGTAAAGTTCTGCCATCTGAAAAATATTTCTCTGTATAAGAATAAATTACCTGATCTCAATTTCATTTCTTAAACCTATTCATATAATTAGAGAGTATCATCATATTTACTAAAAAAAAGGGTTGTAGATGAAATGCTCAATACTGAAAAAATAAGAATAATAGACAATAACAATAGAAGAAATACTATATTAAAAATTTTAATTAAGCTTCTCGTTTTATTTACAGCTGAATAGCTCTATTTATATTTATGAAACTAATTTTAATGTTTCTAAAGATTTAAGGGTTTCTTTAAATGTTATTATAGTTGATTTTCAGGGTTATACATAAATAGGATATCAGTATTATGTTTAATTGAATCTATTAAATCATCAAATCTTTGAATTTCATTATTCAAAATTGATTCATCTATTAGAAATATAAGCTAGATAAATTAATCCAATTGCGAGAAAAACTAAATCTAGAAAAACTACAAATAGACATAAAATATTAGCAAAGCCAAATCAAAAGTTACCCATAGCACTATTAGTTTGTTATCCATATCCTTATGCATATGAATTGCATAATCATACATTGAAATTGTTAATTTTTCACATTCTTTATGAAGCATAAAATAATTAGCAAACAGTGATATTTAATATGGTTACCCTTATGTACTTTATCGATGATTAAATGTTATCATTTGGGAATGTTAATATTATAATATAATGAATAAAGCATCTCTAAAGGAAATTTCAAGCTCATATATTTCTGTTTCATTTTAATTCATAAAATTCATAGTAACATTCACATCATTTAAAAAGCTTTTAATATTTTGATTGTTTAATTAATCATATAGACTATCTCTTAGTTCTGTATATCCTAATTAAATTGACTCGTAGTATGGCTCTGTTAATTATGACAATTGATTGCTTGGTAGAAAACCCTCTCTGTTCATTTATTAATAGCCAGTTATTGTGACTCTCATTGAAAAAAATAAATCATGAGGTCCCATAATGGAAGCATAAAATGATGTCATAAATTCAAAGGATAAAAAGTTGTCTAAATCATATATAAGTTGTATGTATTATACTATTATAAAAATAATAAAAAATGACAACCAAATGTTGAATAGAAACATAAATTTGGTTTGATATTTTGATGGACTAATTGATAAAATTTACTGTAGCAATTCATAATGTTAATGAATTTTATCAGATTCCTGAGAACTTTCTTTCGATCTTAACATAGATGATTGAAATTATGAGTTCTCCTTTTTATCATAGCTTTAGAAACTTAATTGATTGTTAAAGCCTGGAGATTTGATGTTCTATTTAATTAAACTATTTCTTTGAGTTATCAACTATTATTCACTTTAATTAATAGTTTCTTCTCTTCTTGAATTAAGAACCGGAGAGTTGTTAACAAATATGACTGGATTTACTTATAACAATAAAGGTTTAGCGATGTTTTAAATAGAACCAATTTATTATTAATTTATAAAATTTACACTATTTAAATTTCCAATATGAGGTGAATCATCTTATTAATCGATAATGCAATCTAAAAGGATTGGTTAATTTAAAGACTCTTATTTTATAGAGTTTAAGGATACTCTTTGATGAACTTATGAAAACTCTCGAACCCTATTGAATTCAGCCATTTTTATAATATCCAATATATAATAACAATAACTACCTATTTACTTTCTTGATATTAATATATCACATTCAATATTATATAATCTTAAATTCTATCTAGCTTTGTCAGGAGATATTTTTATTTCGCTCTGCATTGAATCAAAACTACTTTAAGGGGAAGGTAAGTACAAATTAACTGAACTTAATTTTATCTCCTTTTCTTAATGTTCCATTAGAAGGGTCATGAAATTTGGAAAAATTTGTGAAATTTCAACTTAAGTAAATACTTTTAAAGTACTTAAGAATTTAATTTCGGACTCAGTCCATCCTATTAAAATTAGTAAATTTTTTGTAAATATGCATTTCATATTTTCTCCATCAATAACTAAAAATGCCTTATCTTGTGTGGCTTCTTATAAAAAAACTGCTAAGGTCATATTCCTGCTTTTGAATAGACTAGTAATAGAGTGACACATATTTACAGTTGTTAATATTTCTTGATTATTCATAACAAAGTTGATTTAGAAAGCATTATAATATTTACTAGTTCCATTTTCAATAAACTATTTAACATATAAATTATGATATGGAATCAAAAATTCTGGTAATAAATGTTCAAAAGATCTTTTCTTTTCATTATTTGATCCATAATTATCATAAAAGTTTTATGATTGGGCTATCAAAGTCAGATTCTACATATCTTCGCATAATTCCAAAATTGCAAAATGTATATTTTTTTGATTAATATTAAAATTGATTATTTATTAAAATTTATTCAATTCTACTTCTAAGCATTTTGAATTTTTATAAAATAATATTGATTTATGGTAATTTGATAAAATCTGCATTTGGGTCAGTTTAATCCGTGGCGGT